TCACGACAGTGCGGGATGTCATGCCTACCCTTCTCAATGTGCTGGGAAGCAGCGATCAGCGTGTGGTAGAGCAGGCATCGTTATGTGTATCGGGTATAGTGGATACCTTTGGCCACCAGCCGAAGCAATTGGAAGAACTGGTGAGCGTCGACTTGCTTCGCGCTGTCCTACGCTTGTTGGTGCCAGGAACATCCAACCTCGTCGGGTCCAACATTCACACTCAGTTCTTGCGAGTTCTCACTCTCACTGCACGAGCAAGCCCCCGCTTATCGGCTGAGCTGCTCAAGCTAAACATCGTTGACACGGTGTATCAGATGCTGACGGGTGTCTCCCCCCCTGCTGGTACGGAGGATGTGGCTTCCAAACTCGACAGCGTTGTCATTATGCAGGCTCTGATCCATCGCCCACGCGAGCAGATTTTGGAGACGCTCAACGTTGTCTGCGAGCTACTGCCTAGTCTGCCAAAGACTGCCGACAACGAGGTTACCGATATTGTGACTTCGTCTACTACCGATCGGGGCTCTCGCCACCGTCACCGCAAGGTGGCTTTGAACAACGAGAAACGCATTGAGCTCCTGAAAGGCTGTCCGATGGAGGTCCGCAGATTTGCCCTTATTCTTTTCCCAACTTTGACCGACGCGTACTCCAGCACTGTCAATCTCGGGGTGCGCCAGCGTGTCCTTACGGCCCAGCTCAAGATGCTTTCCAATTTGGATCAAGCCATTCTGACCGAAGCCCTGATTCCGGTCCCGTACGCTTCGTTCTTGGCCTCGATCTTGTCGCAACAAGACAATCCCGCACTTGTCCTACTAGGACTACAAGGCGCCGAACTTCTTCTGGATAGGTTGGGGAGCATTTATCGATATCAATTTTATCGAGAGGGCGTTTTCTCCGAGATCACAGCTCTCGCCAACCAAGAAGTACCAGAAGACACCCACAAGGCGAAGTCTGAACAGGGCGATCAAATCGGTGTTCAGAGATCGAATCCAGACAATAGGGAAGATCAGGCGATGAACGACTCGTCCAATAGTGCGGCCGACGAGGACACCTCTGATGACGATGGCGGCGACGAGGATCACCATGAAAACCAGGATGAAGACGGAAAGGAGGATGAGGAGGATGACGACGACGATGACGACGATGACGACGAAGAGGACCCTGAAGAACGACACGTGGATGGCGGTTCTCAGCGTAGTTCTCGAGCATCGACCATGTCCGTGGACCCTCCGATTGCACATCCGGCATTTAAGTCACTCAAGGACGTCATCCGTCAGAGGACGAAGAACTTTGTGGAAACTCACGAACGGCAGGACGCAGTCAAGCAAGACAAGGAGAAGGCCAATGAAATCCTTGGCGACCTCACTAGTCTCGCTGGTGATCTGGAGTCGTTCTACGTCAACAGGACGGCAAGCGATCTGAGGCCTTCTCGGGGCAAAGAACTTTTACACAAGCTTGCATCTCACTTCGACTCCAACGTCTTGGAGAGCATTACGAGCGCCGAGTTGCTTGCTTCTGGACTTGTCCGTGTTTTGCTGGCCATTTTCAGCAATCCGGACCAGAATCTGACGCGTGAGGCTCAGAGCAATTTCTTGGAGGTGTTTATGGGCTACACTGTGCGATCGAGGCCTAAAACAGCAACGGCTGATTCGCCCGTCACCCCCTTCAGCGTCATGGTCCACAAGCTTCAAGATTTGCTCAGTAGGTCAGAGCACTTCGAGGTTCTCACAGTTCATCAGAACGCTTTCGACGGAAACCGCAGTAATCCAGCGTCCATGCTGGGGAAACAAATCCGGATTCGTCTGACAGCGGATGATGAATCTGATATTCCGAAACCTTACCGCAACATCATGGTCACGATTCAAGCTATTGCAACGCTCAAATCGTTGGAGGAGTATCTACGGCCACGAATAGTCCCGGTCTCCGATCGCCACCGCGCGCGCCGTGACGGTCTCAGTCGCGCGCTTGCGGCCATGGCGAGTGCGGGCGGTTTGCCCTACCCAGGCGCTTCTGCCGATAGCCGACTTGCTGGCATGGGATTCGGTTCAGCTCTCCTTACCGGAGCTGGGCCTCCGCCACCTCCACCCGTACCCGCGCCCGGATCCACGTCCGCCTCGGCTTCTGCAAAGTCCTCGCGCAAAGCACATCGTCGCTCTGCCGCACAGGGAGACGATACACCAGCAGGCACCCTTAGCAACGCCAGACGCTCATCGCGGAAGCAACCTGCCGCTGAAGGAGCCCACACTGCGCAGCCACCTGCCGCCGACGGTGACGGACCGCAGGACACCCTCGAGTGCGCGGATGAGAAGCAATTGACTGATGACGAGGACGATAGCATGGCAGACGATGATGCTCTTGATGCGCTGGTCGGCGAACTGGAAGACGAGATGGACGACGAAGACGAAGACGACAATGTGCCTGCGCGAGACCCCTCTGCTGTTAACGTCGAGGTTGCTACTGGTGGCAAGGTGACGGCGCGCAAGGAAAGCGGAAGTCGTGTCCCAATACCGCGAGCGCCCCAGGATCTTGCTGCTCGCCCTGCGTTCCCTTGGTCAGCCAGCACCCAGGGCGGCGCGCGAGGCACGCCTCCTCCTTCTGCAAGCTCGGCCGCCAGGGCCTCTTACGCATCTGCCCTGCAGTCTACCCCCGATGACTGGCACATCGAGTTCTCCTTAGATGGGAAGACGCTGCCCAATTGGATGACCGTATACCGTGCAGTTCACAACTCCGTCATGGTCAGCCAGAACCCCCAGCAGCCTGGTGTAGGCCGCAGTTTGTGGTCGTCTACTTTCACGATCAGCTTCAAGAAGGTACCTGGACCGCCACCGCCTGGAGAACCCCAATCATCCACGCAACCCGGCTGTTCAGAGAGTGGAATGCCGGCCTCACTCACAAAGCACCCAACAACCAACTCCATATTGCAGCTGCTAAACGTTCTGCACGATTTGAATGCGAATGTCGAGGATGTGCTCCTGGAGAACCGCGGCACGACCATCGACCTTCAACGTGAGCCGCTTTCGCAGTTTGTCAACACAAAGTTGACGGCGAAACTCAATCGGCAGCTCGAAGAGCCCCTCATCGTGGCGAGCAACTGTCTCCCGGGGTGGTCCGAGGATCTGGCGCGCCTTTACCCATTCCTTTTCCCCTTTGAGACGCGCCATCTGTTCTTGCAGTCTACATCCTTTGGATACGCTCGATCTATGGCCAAATGGCAGAGCACCCAAGCTAACGACAACGACAACCGGCGGGATCGCATGAACGATCGCCCCCCCTTGGGTCGCATGCAGCGTCAGAAGGTGCGCATATCTCGTGGCATGATCCTCGAGGCTGCCATCAAGGTCATGGATCTGTACGGCGCATCACAGAGTATCCTCGAAGTAGAATATTTCGAAGAAGTGGGCACGGGACTTGGACCTACTCTTGAATTTTACTCCACTGTATCGCGGGAGTTCTCGAAGAAGAAGCTCACATTGTGGCGCGATTCGGACACACCCGAAGCGTCTGACTTTGTACAAGGCCCAGCTGGTCTCTTCCCTCGGCCCTTGAGTGAGAGCGAATTGAGCACCCCTAATGGCGAGCGCGTTCTTCACCTGTTCAAGACTCTTGGCAAGTTCGTCGCCCGATCAATGATTGATTCACGGATTATCGACATACATTTCAACCCAGTTTTCTTCCGTATTGGAGAAACTACGTCCTCTGGCGTGAAGCCTTCTTTGGCCTCCGTCAAGATGGTAGATGCTGGCCTGGCCCGCTCCTTGATGACTATCAAGAACTTTGCACTAGCTAAGAAGGAGATTGATGAGGATCCAAGCCGCGCGCCTGCACAAAAGGTGGCGGACCTGGAAAAGCTCACCATTGACGGGGTCCATCTCGAGGATCTATGCCTCGACTTCACGCTCCCTGGCTACCCCGGCATCGAATTAGAGGAGGGCGGGGCCCAGAAGCGTGTCACCATCGACAACGTCGAATCTTACCTCGAAAAGGTAGTCGATGTTACCTTGGAGTCTGGCGTACGACGACAGGTTGATGCTTTCCGTGCTGGATTCTCAGCCGTCTTCCCTTATTCGGCACTTAGTGCTTTCACGCCAGACGAGCTGGTCAATTTGTTTGGCAAGGCCGACGAAGACTGGTCGCTTGAGAGTAAGTGATCCATCTAACAGTAGTATTATCCACAGCTAACCTTTTTTCCTCAGCCCTTCTTGACTCGATGAAAGCCGATCACGGGTACAACATGGACAGCGCCAGTGTGCGCAACCTCTTGCACTTGATGAGCGAGTTTACGGCCGAGCAACGTCGCGACTTCTTACAATTCACTACGGGCAGCCCCAAGTTGCCTATCGGAGGGTTCAAGAGCCTTACACCAATTTTCACAGTCGTCCGCAAGCCCAGCGAGGAGCCATACACATCCGACGACTACCTGCCCAGCGTCATGACGTGCGTCAACTACCTGAAGCTGCCGGATTACAGTGGCCTAGAAGCTATGAGAAAACAGCTCACAACAGCTATGAAGGAGGGACAGGGAGCCTTCCACCTATCCTAAATTGAGAATGAGGGCGGAAGCATATAGCTGCGCCATCGCCACGACCACGCTGCGGCGAAAGCAAGGTGTGGAAAGCAACGGCGAGACCTCGGCAGAGGCAATTATGAGCGGCGGAGGAGAACGCCAGCTTCTGGCGGCGACGGAATAGCATTTGAGGGCACAGTAAGGCGTCAGGTTGATTCTGTCGTAATGATGGCTCTTTTCTGGAAGGGTCGGCTTATGTCTCCTAGGCGTGAGTATGGACGCCTACTTGTGTCGCTTTTAGTAGTAGGTGATGGTCACCGGTCACTCGTAACATTAGACTGCAAGCATCATCGGCGTTGGTCATCAATATCGGCGTTATCTCTATTGTGGCGTGTGGATAATCTGCGTGAATGTGTCATACAATATATACGTATATCGCTATGCTATGTAACAGCTCTCATGGCCGTTTCGCGTAATGTAAGCTGGTGAAAATAGCCAGTCACGATTCTTCGCCATCCGAGTCCCACATCACGGGCGGCGCTCTGTCGTCCCCCCTGATCAGACTGTCGGGCAGCATCTGACTTCTAGTCAGTAGCTGCGAGGAACGCAACAGTAGCGACCCATCACGCCCTGCCGAGGACACGTTCATCAAGTATGGCGGGGACGAGAGCTCCGGGAATGCGACTGTGCTGCCAGAGCTCTGCGTCGCAGGCCGTCTCAACGTCGGGGCCGCAGGTCGTGGTGTCCTGGCTGCTCTGGCCGAGCGTCTCGGTGTCTGCGAGGGCGTAGAAGCCTGCGAAGCCGTCGTGGCCTGCGAAGCGCGCACCACAGTGTCATTGTCAGCGTTGAGGTGCTGCGTGCGGCGCTTGAGAGGTGTAGAAGGGACGAGGATGTCGTCGTCCCCGGCTGGTGGAGCAGGGGTTGCAGCAGCAGCATCTGAGGGCGGGTTGGTGTTGTGCGTGGCCATGTCGGACATGAGCTGTGCCTCGACTTGTTGGGAGATGGAGAAGCTGCTGTTGGCTGACGTTGGTCCATCGCCAGTGGCAGCAGGGGGTGGTGACGAGACTGCGGGGTGGGTGACTTCCTGCGTCGGCTGTTCGTCCTCGTCGTCCTCGTCGTCCGATGCTTCTCCCACAGCATCGTCCCTGAATAGCGCCCGTTGAAGATTGGCGAGGATGGACTGGATAGGTCCCGGCTGCAGATACTGATATCGTCCTACGGGCCCGAAAATCCATTCCTCGTGGCGCAGAGACTCCTCATCATGCGGGTTATTCAGCTCAACGACTTGGCTGACGTAGTACCGATACTGTTTCTCCCCGCTTGCGTTGACAGCCTCATCATCAGGGTGCGTGATACCGCCGTAGCGGAGCAGGTTATCGCTCAAGAACCAAAGCCTCTGTACAGTCACGGGCACTCTGTAGGGGAAAGAAACGTGCAGTGAGTGCCCGGATATGAGTGCGGCGAGCTGTGTGGGGGGAAGAGGGATGAGGATGTCCGTGGTGGTGTCTGGTTCGCCCACCAGAGCCTGGATGATGTTGCGCGGTAGGCGCTGCGACTCGAGAGGCTGTGTAAGGCTGCCGGGCGAAACCGCGCCGAGAGGCTTGCGTAGTCTTCTAGCCGGTGTCTGGAAGGATGTCTCGGTGGGCGGCGTAGAGTGCTGAGGCTGCTGGCCTGTCGAGGTTGGCTCGCGGGAGGATTGGGATTTGGCAAAGTCGTCCGTGGACGAGGCCAGCTCGTCCAGGGCATGCTGCGTCTCGAGTCCAGTTTTGTAATCGCCGTCGTCTGCGGCCTCATCTTCGTCGTCCTCGCTGTCGTCAACGAAGAGGGGCTGTTGGATCTCAACAGGGTTGTCGTCGATGATGACTTGAAGCTTTTTAGGTGTCTTTCGCGGTGCTTCGGTAGACGATTGCGGGATGCGGCTGGTTGCTCCTTGCTCTGGCTGGAGTTCCTCGGTGGGAGGCGCGCTGCTCAGCTCGGAGGTGCTCTCAACCAGATATTCCAGATTGTTTTGCTCTCCGTAGACCTCTTTCGTAGGGAATTGTGAGATGTCGGCCGCGAGAGGTTGAGAAACTTCAGCTACCTCGCTGGACGTTCTTTCAAAGGCATCAGTCGTCTCGATAGATTGACTCTTGGTGCTTGTGCTTGCAGCTTTCTCTCCTTCGGGCTTTTGCTCGGTTACGGGCGCTTGATCACACTGGGCAACGGTTTCATCGAAATCGTTCCCCACGGATGCTCCTTGAGCCCCCCCTGATATCTCCTGTACCTCATCATGATGCACCTCAGATTCAACTTGGTGCATACCAGGAACAATGGTGTCGTCCCCTTCAGAGAAGTCCTCCTCCTCATCTGAATCAGGAATCTCCATCGTGATGCCCATGTCACTCTCATCATCCTTGTCACTCTTCACGCTTTGGTTCTCCTTGTTGGACTCTCGCCCGTGGTCCAGTGCTCCAAGAGCCATGCGCCTCTTGCCCCGTCCTCTCGACGGGCTGGCCATCTCGCCCACGACATCCTCGGTGATATCCTTCAGGGGCGTACCGACAGGGCGCACCGGCGAGTCCCAGCTCGCAGTGCCAAACGAGTCCTCGATGACCATCTTTCCCACTCTCACCATCTCTAGCGACCCGAGTTCCCTGATAACACCCGACGACTTGCTAGGGGTGGGCTTGTCATTCGCGGCTCCGTAGCGCGACAGAAGCTCTATCGATCTGGGCACGGAAGCCGGACTTGAAGCAGAGCTCTCTGGACGCACCCTTTTACTTGGAGTTTCGGGCCCTTTGCCGTCCGCCGCATAAGCTGACGGGTCCTCGGTCCATGTGATCTTCTTGGGTTTCGCCGCGGACGCATTACGTCTGGGTGGTTCAGTCGGATCCGCGTCGTACTCTGCCAGATCGACCTTTCTCGGGGATGTGCCCGCTCTCTTGGGCTTACTAGGGCTGGCCGCCAGCCAGTCATCGAACCCCTCGTCGTCCTCCGAGTCCTGAACAACAGCATCGCACGTATAATATTGTGTGAGCGTCTGCGTGTGCCAGGGCGTGTCGCCCATCGTCCTTCTCCTCTTGCCGTTGCCTTTGGCCTTGCCTTTCTTGTCGGACACATCTTCCTCTTCCTCAGCCTCGTCGCCCAGTGTGCGTCGCCTCTTCGCTTTAGTCGCTGTCGTTTTCGTCTTCTTCGCAGTCGCGGTGGTCTTGATCTTAGTCTTGTTCTTGCTGCCCTTGCCGCTCACGACGGGTTTCTTAGGCGTCGGCGGCTCCGACTCTGACATTGCATAGGACGGAACGTCGGACAGACTGCTGCTCGACACAAAATCAATCTGCGTGAGTGTCTTCTGCTTTGGGTCCCTCAGTCCTGCTCTCTGTTTCCCCTTTGCCAGGGCTCTGTCTGGCTTTCTGCTGCTGCTGCTGGCGCCACCGTTCTCTTTGTCTTCCTCGACCTCCTCGTCCTCGAGACCATCGCCTTCACTATCGGGGAGCTCGTCGAGCCGAGGTGAAATCTTCTTGGTGCTGTAGCTCTTCGCCACGCGCCGTCGCGCTGGGAACTGCACTTGCTTGAGGGTCGGCGTCGAGTGGTAGACGCGCGAAGGAGGGGCTTTACCGCCTGAACGGGTCGATGGCGGCATGTTTGTTGGCTTACATCGGTCAACAAAACTTTTCAAGAATTGTTTGGACGATGAGATGTGGAAAGGTCCGTTGACAGTGGTACGGACAGAGTGGTCTATGCTGTGAAGTGAGGTGGCGCGGCAGAATCACAAGGGTCTTCTTGGTGTTGGGCGCGTCTATCGCGTTAGGTACCTGAAAAGGTACGTACCTTTAATGGAAGGGCGCGTCCGCATCCCGCATGACGCACCATCCCCACAACACTCTCATTCACCATGAGCACGAAACAGAGAGAAGACAGGCCTGTCCATTCCGCCAGACGCAAACTACTCATCGCTCGTGACTCATTCCATCTCGTGTTGTACATCTTTTGTGCTACGCCCAAGCCGCCTCACCTAAATGCAGCCTTGACCTCGGCCCTGGGCCACTCAAACAAGACGTCTCCCCCGTAGATATCCGTGACAATTCGTCCGAGTCTCGATTCCACATCCCCGTAAAACCCCTCACACTCCCGCAGCACCTTGGCCACCAGGTCACGACTGAGCGCCGGATCGTCCGCGTCGCCAAAGTGCTTGTCCACCCTTTTGCGCAGCGCCTCGATGCCCTTGCGCACCTCCTTGGCATCGTACTGGCCCAGGACCTTGTTGAAGATGCTCTTGGAGTTGGATGGTTGCGCGGCAATGGAAACGGGTGCCTTGCCAGATTGCAGCTGCGCCTCAATGTTCTCGAGGTGGTCGAGGAGTTTGCCCAGCGGACGACGCATGACGGCGGCAAGGTAAAGATCCATGTGGTCGTGGTACTCCGTCTCAGCATTGGTCTTCCACGTCTCGAGCGTCTCGAGACCACGCGTGTCCGTCTCTTCGAGAAAGTGGTTCATGTTCTCAATGAGGAGAATGTGGAAGTTGAGCGCTTCCTTGTCCTCGGGGTCCGCACCACCCATCGAGACACCGACCGCGGGATTCTCGCGCGCAATGACCTTGAGCGAGTCGAACATGGACTTGAGCATGCGGTCGTACTCGTTGTCAATCGTCTTCCGGATGGGCAGCGTCGTGTCGACGCCAGTCAGCATGTTCTCCACGGCGGTCGAGAAGTGGGGGAAGACGCGGATGAAGGAGATGACGCCCTTGCGCTTCTTGATCTTGACCTTGGTGTCCTCGATGGCGCGGACCTGGTCATCCACAAACTTGCGCAGTCGACCCTTGAGGAGCCCGTGCTGCTTCTGGAAAATGGTATTGAGGAAGTCCTGGTTGGACTGGGAGATCTCGGCCTGCTTCTTCTCCACGGTCACCATGACACCAATGGCTTGCCTAGACAACAAGAGTTAGTGCCATATCGATACGGGGCATCATTTCCACGTACATGGGGTCCTGCCCAATAACCCATTCCATGAGCCTCGTGAGCTCGGAATCGAGGAATGCAAACATGACATCCATCGCGCGCGTGACCCTCTTCGCCAGGTCACGGTCAGGCTCCATCAAGCGGTGGCGCCTCAAGTCACCGCCGCGACGGTCGCGAGGCTTCACGGCAGCCACGCAATCGGGAAAATCAGATTGCTCGAGCGTCGTGGCGTGGAAAAAGTCAATGATAAAGTTCTGTTCCATCTCGACGAGAGGGAGCAGATCATCCAGCACGCCGGCAAACACCTCGTATGGGAAGCTCCGCCCATCGTTGGCGGCCTTGTCACGCTCTCCCTTGCTGTTGCCATCGGCCAAAGGCGATCGCCAGGCTCGCGCTAGTGTCTGGCTTCGCTTGACGGTTGCTTTTCTCGCCGCCGTCGCCACGTTCTCCTGCTGCTTCTCGCTCTGCGAAGTGAATAGCAGCTCGGCTTCCCCGCCCGTTACCTTGCGAGCATTCTTCTTCCAGCTCATAATGACAGTCAGGAACTCGTTCTTGTAGATGGGCGCTCCCTTTTCCTGGTACATGGCAACCAGGGCATCCCAGCTGCCGCGCTCGGCGAATCGAGTATAGAGCATCAGAGGATTGTACCGCCACAGCATGTCTCGCCCCGCGTCGTGGTGGGCTACATCGGCCTTCTTCGATAGGGCGCCCTCCATGGCTCGCTTCGTCTCAGCAAATGCCTGGTCGTACTGCTGAGGCATGAACTCGAGTAGCCGACGAATGAAGCTGGAGCTTTCTTGGATGTACATTTCCTTCTTCTCCTGCACGATTCGCATGTCACCAAAGTCCGACTTGAGCCCACTGCCATCAGGAGCTGTGGTGGGACTAGCCTTGAGACTGTGCGCTCCGTCCATTTTGGCCATGGCCCTGTACAGCGTGACCAATGCCTGCTCGACGTCCTCCAGACCGCGGAGGTGGTCGATTGGCGCGAGGCGTAGAGGGTCGAGGTCCGTGCTGGTGATGGCACATGTCTCGAGGAGCGATTCAAGCTCCTTCTTGAGCAGCTTCTGGTTCGCCGTCTGCACCTGCAGACCTTGACCTTGCGCTTCAATGTAGGCAATGTCTTCGGACAGGGTGGAGAGTTCCACCGAGTACAGCGTCAGAAGGTTATCCAACTCCTCACACTCGGAGATGGCGACATCGATCCCTAGTTTGATTGCGTCCACGCGGTCATCCTCTTCCTGGAAGCGAGCCAGCCAACCACCAGCTTGTGCCTTGTTGATCTCACGCTCCAGATCGAACTGCATCTCCTCCATGTTGCAGGACTGCATCTGCTGGCCAGGGATCCAGCCAAAATGGTCAAGCCAGGTCCCAAACTCTTCGCTCCGGCCGTCGAGGACAATCGGGTCGATGCCCAAGCTTTGGAGGTATTTCGCGTCTTGCCGGGCGACCAGCGACTTACGCGGCGGGGGCTTTGGTGGCTCGAGCTCGTGCACGGCAATAGCTTCCTTGGTCTGCTCCTCGACGGGGCCCTGTTGACTCGGCGGTCGGCTGCTGGAGGTCGGCACCGAGATCTTGACCTCGGGGACCCTGGAGGCACGCTGCGGTGCTCTTGGGGGAGGAACAGGCTCAGGAGTGGCCTCGCGCTCGGTTCTTGACTTGGGTCGCTCTGGCACTGGTTTTGGCGGTGCCGGGACGACGCCAGTGATGCCGTCAGGTTCGTCGGACGTTTTATTCTGCATTTGTTGCGCGGCTTGACGAAGCCTCTCGCCAGCGCCTCCTGGGCGCGGCTTGAATGCATTGGCCATGGCGGCAGCCGACGCCGCTTTGCGGAATGCGCCAGCAATCTCGCCCTTTGATCTCTGCGCTTTGATCATGGGTCCCAGACCAGGCCGTGCTTCTTCTTCCGGTACAGGCGGTGGTTCAGGTGGTGACATGGGCTCGCTCATGGGTGTCGAGGGGGCTGACGCCTCACTCTTGACTGTGTTTGCCTCCTCCGGCTCGGGCGAGGTCACTGGTGCTGGCGGTGATGCCACAGGCTCCCTTGGCCGAGGAGACTCAGCCTTGGCCGCCGCGCTGAACGATGGCGGTGGAGTGCTACGGTCCTGTATTGTGCTTGCCAAGGAAGTCGCGGTGCCTGGTCTGTAGCTCAAGGAGTCCTTCCTAGGTGACATGCGCTCACTGCTGCGCGGAGGGGGTGCCACCGGGTCCTTGGGTGTCGAGGCTCTTGGTGGCGTGTCTCGCGCTGGAGACTCTCTGCCAGCGACATCCCTCTTGGCCGACAGAGGTGGCGGTACCAAATCACGGTCTTGTGGACGCGTGGGATCCATTGGTGGCCTTCGACGCTCGGGCGCGGAGGGCTGCTCTTCGCGGGGGGTCCTCGGCCTGGACCCGGCTAGCGATGACTGTGATCGTGACTGAGATGGAGCCTGACCCTGCTGAGGAGGAGTAGGTAGAGGCTGCGTGGGAGGCTCTGACGGATCCCCGAAGCGGCCAGGCGCACCAGGGCCCTGCATCCCGTTGCGTGAGCGCGGTGGTATGCTCGGCACATCCTCGCTTCGTGCCGTCGCGAACGACCTCGCAACTGACTCTTGGCTACGGCTGTTGGGGTTGGCATGCCGGATACCAGGTCTTTCCCTCGAGGTGGTAGAGTCAATGCTGCCGGCGGGTGACCCATCACCACCAGCCGTGTTTCGAATCGGTGGTGTCCACTGCTGAGGCCTCGAGGGTGGCTCACCAGTGACCGACGGGGGCGGGCCGCGGCCAGGCGAGGGACCACGGCTGCGGCTGCGACTGCGCGCCTGGCCTTGACTGGGCGGCTGGACTGGGGGCTGGACTGGGGGTTGGCCTGGGGGTTGGCCTGGGGGTTGGCCTGGCGTGAGGGCCGAGGGCACCGGGCTCGAGGCATCTGGCACGATTGTCGCGGCGGACGAGGCAAATGTCTGGTTGCTCTGCTGTCGCTGCAGAGAAGGGGGTGGAACGGCTGTCGCGGCGGATGAGGCGCTCCACGTCTGGTTGCTCTGCTGCCGCTGCAGAGGAGGGGGATATCGCTTGCCAGCGCCAAGCACCTGGTCCAGCTCTTTCTGATCGAAACCTACCAGCTCAGGCACCTTTCCGCTCGTGTATTTGCCGTAGATCTTGATCATGGACGCAATGAAGAATTTCTTTTCCTTGTCGCTCTGTGCCTGCCAAAAGTACGGTTTCCCGAGCGAGACCAGGAACCCCGTCTCCCCCGCGGATTCTCTGTGCTCCCATGAGACACTGGGGGCCGTGTACGACTCGATCCGCGTCAGGTCATCCAGATTCCACGTCTTCCCGATCGAGTAGGTCCCGTTTGGATTCTCCTTGGACTTGTGCATGCGCACACGGCCGGACTTGCGCACCGCGATGATGATGACGCGTGGTTTCTCGGCCTCGGGGGCACGCGCGTTGGCGGGCGGTGGCGACGCCGGGTGGGACGAGAACTCGACGATGCGAATGTGCGTGATATATGTCTCCTGGAGGGAGCCGTCGGGGTCCTTTTTGTTGAAGCACGTCTCGATGATGCGCCGCTTCTCGTCCTCGAATCGCTCGGCCCTGCTGGGACCTCCAGGAGGACCGGCGCCATTGCCGCGGTCCATGTGCGCTCAGGTCGGGTCGGTCATCAAGGGGCGTTTAGTGTTTTGGTCGACCCCGAGGGCATGTCGTCGTGCTGCTTGCAAAGGCACTGACTGCTTGGTTAAGGAGCGATTGGGAGTGGTGGTGCTCGAGCTACGTACAGTAGCTTCTGGGGGCTATGGCCATGTCCAGTCGGGTGCCACTGCCACTGCCACTGCCACCTCAATTGCTTGGGGAGGCTGGAGCCTGTGGCGCGCGCCCAGCTGGAACGCTTTGTTTGGTGTGTGAGCGGTTGGCCTACCCGGAACGCGGTACCTTGCAGACAGCTCTAGTCATAAATTGAGCTACAAGATCTCTCAAGATTTCAATTACGGATGTACGTATACACGGTTCTCTATATGTGATCATCATCCATGTCTCTCTCAACTTATGCGTCCCAAGGGAAGCCCCGACGCGGTTTCGATTGAACTGCTAAGCGCACCATGTTGCTACAGCTGCATTGCTAACAGGACGGAAATGGTGGACTTTTTGATTTTGTCTTTACCCAACATCTTCACCCAACTCGCGAAACAAACCCAGCAAACGCACTTGTTTGACCTGACCTGTTTTGCTTCTCTTACGATAACTACACAAAGTTGAATTATTGCAAACCCGTTCACGCTCGGAACGCCTTTCTAACTACAGTGCATGACCCAATCGCTGGCCAGCACACATTATGCCTTGACACCCGTTGGCCCTGTGCAAGGCGTGGGCGGCTGTGAGGCCCACTGGGCCACCGCCAGCAACGATGACTTCGAAAGGCATGATGAATTGGGGGCTATTCGTGGGATGGTATGGAAGTGCTATTGTTTGACTACATATCTCGCACTGGTTGAGGTCCTCAAATACATTTGATGTATGTCTCATTTGTGTGACTTGCTGTTCGTCAATCATGAGTGTTCATCGTGTCATGAAGCCGTGCAAGCATGAGGGTCGTTCTCACACCAGCGAAATCGAATGCGAGCGACAAATTGAGCCTCGCACTCGGATAAGCGACTTCTCAAGATTCGACCAACTAGGTGTAGCGCGATCCTTGCTCCTCTCAGCCCGACGACTGGTCGCATTCGCACCACCACACCGAGTGCATACAAGTACATATTTCATGCAAGAGCGTCGATTGCGGCGATGACAGATCGGCCACACCATCGCGACAGTCGATCCGCTGGCTTCGCGCCACGATGAAGTGCTCATGTCAAAGGCGCGTCGAGGAGCAGTGCTTTCGGGCAATTCCGGACAAAGAGCCTCCTATGTCTCTGATATATCTTCATAAGCCAACTCGTGGTTCGACATAGAGCCGTCGCGACCGATGCACACGTGTGCAGTCCCTCAGCTACAGCGTCGCCATGCCCTACCTCATCCTCGATCTTCTGCCATCCTCGAACGACGCAGCCGGTTTGGCCGTTGAAGAGTCCAAGTATTTGGAAGCAATTCTTTCTGGTCAAGGTAGGCAGGCGTATTCACTAGTGGGCACTCTCAGGCTGCGCAAGTACATTCTTCATGGAGCAAATGCTCTCCTCTACAGTCACTCACCCTAGCCTTGGCTCAACAATCCTCTTCACCTTGTCCAGATCCAGCGCGTCAACGTGCCGCCCCTTGTATCCCGTCATGCTTTCGGCCATGCAAAGTACATTGTAGATGGCTTCCTCAGTCGCATCACCCACGGCTTCAAAGAGACCGTTCACCGTGTCATTGTCGCTCATGCTCACCTGCATCGGCCCCGGCTCGTACGGGTTCACCACATTTCCGCCATCCATGCTCATCTCATGATAGGGGATCTTGTTCCCCGTACTGAAGGCTAGAAAAATGTCTCCCGATGAGTTATTCCCGTAGCCGCCCACCTTGGACAGCCCCACTGTGGCACGCTTCGCCAGGCGTTGGAGCTGGATAGGGAGAAGGGGGCAGTCCGTGGCGATGACGACGATAATGCTGCCGTCTTTCCTCGGTGTGCGGGCCAGATCTTCTTTGGTTTTGTTCTCGTCCTGGATGATCTGCCCCACGGGGACGCCGCCAATGTGCAGAGTTTCGGCCGGTCCATAGTTGGCCTGGACGAGCACACCAACAGTGTACGTCGTCTCCTCGCCGTTGAGGTCGAAACCCCTGACGGTGCGACTGCTGGACCCCGTCCCGCCCTTGAAGCGGTGACAGATCATGCCCGTACCACCACCCGTGTTTCCCTCGGCGACAGGATCGGAGGATGCTCGTTCAATGCCCTCCATGATATGCGCCGGTGTCACCGCGAACAGGGACTGGTCGTTCAGGAAGCCGTCAAAGGTCTCCGCCACACAGGGCAGGATGAATAGACCCATCTCACCATCCTCGCCGCGACAGTGCTTGTAGCAATACTCAAGAATGCCCCTGTATGCGTCTCCGATCGCAGAAGTGGTCGTCAGAACGATGGGGCTGGATAGGATGCCGGTTTCGTGCAGCCAGTGGGAGGATGTCATCTCGCCGGCGCCGTTGAAGGTGAAATAACCGGCAAATGAGGAAAACTTGTCCCAGTTTTTCCGCGGGAGAATGGTCGTCACTCCAGTGTTTGTGTCGCTGTGCTCATCTGAGTGTAGTGATTGCGTATGGACGAGTACCCCGGGGACATCTGTAAGTGAATTGTGTGGCCCGGTAGGCCATCGCCCGAGGCGCAACTTGGGGAGAACCTCCCGGATACGAGGCATTCTGGGCAGATATGGGGTTCCAGAGGTAACTGAGGATAGCTAATGTGGAATGGTGAAGCCATTGGCCTCAAAATATACTTACGTTTTGGAAAATGGGGGTTGACCGGTTGAGTCATGTTGATATGTTGTCAGTTGAGCTCGGCTCTCGGCTTCGAACTCGGTTTTGACTCTTGATCCTGTCGGCACTCGCCGTCAGCAACAACCAGGATGTACTCAACTCATTCAAGCAATCATGATGAATTTATTGGATATCTGCACGGCAATCCTCGTCCGCTGCTGCCTGATAGCTTGGCTCTGCCTCGACATAATGAAGTATTTGTCAGGTATCAGACCCTGCGTGTATATCTGGTTCTTAGCCTGCAGTGCCCTGCAGAACAACTAACATGGTCGCCTAGACTTTTTGCAGTAAGACATCTTGAACCTTTCGTCTATATGCATGAATCCAGAGACTCAACCAGAGCCGCATCATCTCAAGTCTCAAAGCCTTCTCCTATCGCCTATTCGCCTGCCACTGCCTGTCACTACACCTCATATATACCATCCGCCAATCCAGTCGTCTGTGCAGTTCCTTAGGACTTGTGGCTGTCCGTCTCATTGGCGTCAGGGCGCATTGCCGCATCCGCGTCGAAACTGGGATCGCGATACAATGGCTGTGTCTCTGCATCGCCAGCCGTGGCACTGATGCCCCTCTGCTGCTGCATGAGCTGCTCGGGCGGGGTCGCACTGTAGTACTCCCGACAGTGAGGACAGACAGCAGGCACTGATCTGGTCCACAGGCCGCCGATCGTATTGACGACTTTGATGAAGCTCTTGCCGGCGAGCCACGTGTGGATGAGGCTAGAAATACAGTGGTCAGGTCGAACAAGTCTGCATAAACAGAGGACTATACTCACAAGGTTGCAATCAAAGGCTGTGTAGCATAAGCAGCCACAGCACCTCTCGCACCCCAGCTGTGCCAAGGGTAGAGCGCCCACGTTAAGCATAGGATCAACAGGGTCAGCACGCCAATCGTGGCGTCAGTAAGGAACAGAAACAGAGGGTTCACTTTGGCCTTTTGGGCAAAGACGTTGCCCCCCAGTGGCAGTGCGATTGCGCCCTCACCACTGCGGCGCTTCCGCCCGTGAAGTAGGAGGACCGCGGACGAGATGAAGGAGAATGTCGCGGGCATGATGCCCACGCCCGGCAGAGGACATTCGACCCAAATGACGCTGTGTGCAATGCACAGCGTCAAGGTCGGGACATAGAGCGCGAGCAGAATGCATCGCAGACTCTTGTTGATGTCGTTCTCGCACATGGTCGGTATGTTCAAAAGTCGGGGTGAACGGCTATGAGATGAGGTGAAATGGTGAATAGTATCCTAGCGCAATCAAAATGCGTCTTGTTGGCCTTGGACGGTACATGTATATATATACGATACATGTTCCACGTCGTCAGCGTGTGCTGGGGGCCGGTACCCGGCGAGTACGCGACGGCCGCGTCAGCGCAGGACGTCAAACACCACAACAACCAGGAAGTCTTGGGGGCCGACTATACTTGACGAATCAGACCGTAGAAGGAGGCTTCATTGCCTCTTTGACGCATGTCTATGCATGCCGATCCATTGTCGCACAGAATGGAGACTTGAGAGGGAGTTCTGTGACTTCCGTCAGCCTTACGGGCGGCGAGACCCGCCCATCGGTCATTACCAGCTTCAGACGCTGCGGGGTGTGTTGATTCCGCTTTCGAATTTCGATGGATTGTATCTTTTTTCGGCTTCGCTGCGATGAAGCCGGCTGATTCTGACTCCGAAGTTCAGCGAGTCCAGCCTGTGCGGTCAATGTCTAGGAATCGAGGTCTGCGCCCGTGACAGCCTGTATCCGTATCATGAGTTCCAGTCAGCGACCGGAGCGGTGCTGAACAGCGGCGCGTGTGTCCCGTCGACTTGAGAGATTGAACGTGCAGAGGTACCGCCGGTGCCTTTAGTGACGGGTTGACGATTGTTGTCAAGCTTTGCCGCGAGTGGCACATGTACGCAGTACGACTGCAATGACTGCACCCAGGGTACATTTCCCGCTTAAACTAGAATCGACGCGTACAGTTAGAGAGGCTTTCCTAAACGCGCCTCTAGCTATATCTTTTCGTCACAGACCATCGCTCCGTACTGGGTTCCCGCAAAACTCAGCCATCAACAGAATCATTGGAGCAAAATCCATTGACAACGGTGATGTATTTCCACCAAATAAAAGGAGAAGAATGTAATCTATCACAAATAAAACTCCTCCAATGTATTCATCATCTGATGAATTCCATGTGATAGAGAAAATATGAACCCGCAGGATGATCGAAGAGTAGGAGCGGCAAACGTGTATGGATTCTCTCTTCCGTACAGGGTAGGCACACACGTCGGATTTGGGCAAGGAGATGATGAAAGTCCCCCAGAGATCTACTGAAGCCGGGGAGGTCGGGGATTTCCACTAGCTCGGGGCGCCTCCACATTGTCTCCAACATGCAGCATCGGATCCGATGGTCATGATGCCTCTCCCCCGCAACTCCAATCGCTTTCCTCACGGCCGAGGTTCTGTTTCAGTCGTTGACGCCTACTTCTTTCTTTTTCTTCTTCTTCATCTACTTACCGCCATCTCGTACTCACTAATTGCGGGACATCATTGAAAAGTCGCCATGTCGACCCCTTTCATCAGAATAGCGCCCAATGTGAGCTCAACCACGAGCCGATTCCGTACCTGGCAATGCTAACAGCAGCAACAGGCGGCTAAGCGGGCAGCGTCCCTCCTGAGAACTGTGCAATACACTCATCCTCCCTCCTGCCCTTGCCATTCCAACCCCGGATACCACCAGAATCAGCATCCCTCGTCACTTCTCAGCCACCTCAAGGACACTCGTCGTTATGCCACGCCTGCCGGCGCTGAGCAGAAGGAATATGCGTTCGAGATGGCTGCCTCATCCATCCGATTTGGCCCAGGCGTCACCAAGGAAGTCGGCATGGATTTCAAGAACTTAGGTGCCAAGAAGGTCTGCGTTGTGACGGACAGGACGGTGGACAAGCTGGATGCCATGAAACAGGTGAGGGAGGGCTTGACAAGGGAGGGTATCGAGTTCAGGGTCTTCAGCAATGTCAAGGTTGAGCCCAAGGACCATTCGTACGTCAAAACTTTGCGAGACCATGTTCAATGCTGACTCGAAGTAGCATCAAAGAGGCGATCGAATGGGTCAAGCCCTATGGGCCCGACGCCTTCCTCGCCGTGGGTGGCGGATCAGTCATGGACACGGCCAAGCTGATGAACCTCTACTACTGCTATCCCGACGCCGACTTTCTTGACTTTGTCAATGCACCACTGGGCAAGGGTCGCCCAATTGACAAGCCCCTCAGGCCTCTCATCGCCGTACCCACGACAGCCGGCACGGGCAGCGAGACCACAGGCACAGCCATATTCGATCTTGTCTCCAAGCGCGCAAAGACAGGCGTCGCGCACCGCAACCTCAAACCTACGCTGGGTATCTGCGATCCCATCAACACGAGGACAATGCCTGCCGCTGTCAAGGCGAGCTCGGGACTGGACGTCTTGTGTCATTCACTGGAGTCCTATACTGCCATCCCGTACTACGAGCGCACCCCACGCCCAACCAACCCCATCAACCGCCCGGCATATCAAGGCGCGAACCCTATCTCCGACGTTTTCTCCTTCCATGCGCTCAAGAGCACCATCAAGTATCTCCCTCGCGCGATCCGCGACCCAGATGATTTCGAGGCGCAGAGCGAGATGCTCCTCGCTGCTACGCTGGCTGGCGTCGGCTTCGGCAACGCCGGTGTGCACCTGTGCCACGGCATGTCGTACCCCATCTCTGGACAGAACCCGGGCTACAGGCATAACGGTTACGACATTGACCATGACCTGATCCCTCACGGTGTCTCGGTCGCGGTGTCAGCGCCGGCCGTCTTCCGCTTCACGGCACCCTCGAACCCTGAGCGCCATCTGGCAGCTGCCGAGGCCTTTGGCGTGGACATCTCGAATGTGAAGCATGAAAGCGCAGGCGAGGTGCTGGCCGATGCGATTACCAAATTTCTAGCGGACCTGGGTGACCAGCCAAGAGGTATCAAGGACCTGGGCTTCTCCAATGGAGATATTGAAGCGCTCGTGGAAGGCACACTGCCACAGCATCGTGTCATCAAGTTGGCGCCTGGTTTGGAAACGGAGTTGGAGGCCGAGAAGGACCAGTTGAGGCGGTTGTTTGAGGACGCAATGTCGCATTGAGTCTGTAGAGGCGAGGCTGTGCTCATGTTTGGGAGGTTGTAGTATCAATGTGAAGAGATAACTTGATCCTCAAGTAGTAGGGGCAGCGCACGCTGCATGGACGGGAACGTGATGTCTGTGACTGAAGCTGAACTTCCGTCGACAAACTGCGTAGGGCGGCATGGTGCGCCGGCCAAGGCAGTCCTAAGTGCCCATCACTTAAACTTGTCCTGATCGTTGCGTATCATCTTTCTGACGACGTTGATCTGCTTCAAAGTGCCCAGCTTTCGAGCATCCGCGAGTCTTTTGTCGGCACGCTGTTGGCCGTTCGACAAGACGACAGTCTGATCTGGCAGTACCGTACCTGGCGCGACAGTCGCTCTGGCGGCGATTGTGCAGTCCTCCATGGTCAGCTTAACTCACGATGGCATGGTACTTGCACCTACTTCTCCAATCTTCGCGCCACTGCCAATGCGCGAGCCGACCTGAACCACGGAGCCGTCCCCGATTTCAGTGCCACCAGCTTCAATGACAGCGTTCACCTCGACCACAACATAATCGCCCAAAGAGACACCACCTCGGATGGCAGTGTCGATATTCTGAGGTTCCACGCCGATCTGAGCCCGCTCTTGCACAATACTGCGTCGACCGATCAGAATGCTGCCGAGGTTCGAGTCGAGCCGTGCACGAGGATGGATGAGTGTTTCGGACTGAATTGTGATGGAGTGTGTACCCTGGAGAACAGCGTCTTTCGGAATGGTAACTGTCGAAGAGAAGTTGACCGGGGGTTTTGGTCCAGCAGGAACGGTCGACTGGCGTTTGGCGGTCGACATATCGTCGATGTCGCTGCTGTCGGCGGCGCCTTTGTGGTGTGGTTCGAGTACATGGAGCTCCGAACGTGATAAAGTCCATGATATCAGTGATATCCGCACTAACAGGTCTGGTGCGAATGACTTGTACCCCGCCGCCATGGCGCTGCTACCATAAGTACCGGCTAACGGTGGCGCTGAATAGTCGGCCAAGCGCATTGACCAATCACAGCCACGCCATTCCATTATTCTGACCTCCGCGAAAGCACTCCCAAGTGCCGCATCGTCACGACTTTCTTCCCTCGACCTTTCAATCGACGCCACCCGCCGTGAGCTCGCACAACATACCGCACACAATGCTGTCCTCGAAGGCGACGACCAGGCAGGCCGTTACCCTCTCACGGACCGCCGTGAGAGGCCTGGCGACCGTGCAGGATGGCACCCCCAAGCGAATCTATGGTGGTCTGCGAGACCAGGACCGCATTTTCCAGAACCTGTATGGACGATACCCAGCCGACCTCAAGAGCGCGAAGCGAATGGGAGACTGGCACAAGACCAAGGAGATCCTGGACAAGGGACACGACTGGATCATCAGCGAGGTCAAGGCGTCTGGTCTGCGCGGTCGCGGTGGTGCTGGTTTCCCTTCTGGACTGAAATGGGTGCGTTGTCAATATACACAGCCTTGTGTGTTTGGGGCCTTTCCACTGACCAAACTAGTCATTCATGAACTTCAAGGACTGGGACAAGGACGACAAGCCACGATACCTCGTCGTCAACGCCGATGAGGGCGAGCCCGGCACATGCAAGGACCGCGAAATCATGCGCAAGGACCCTCATAAACTCATCGAGGGCTGCCTCGTCGCTGGCCGTGCCATGAACGCCACCGCCGCCTACATCTACATTCGTGGCGAGTTCATCCACGAGGCTGCTGTCCTCCAGCGTGCTATCAACGAAGCCTACCAGGACGGCCTGATTGGCAAGAACGCCTGCAACTCTGGCTACGACTTTGACGTGTTCGTCCACCGCGGTGCTGGTGCCTACGTCTGTGGCGAGGAGACCTCGTTGATCGAGTCCCTCGAGGGCAAGCCCGGCAAGCCCCGTCTCAAGCCCCCCTTCCCTGCTGCCGTCGGTGTTTTCGGGTGCCCCTCCACCGTGGCCAACGTCGAGACCATTGCCGTCGCGCCCACCATCTGCCGCCGTGGCGGTGACTGGTTCGCGGGCTTTGGCCGTGAGCGCAACCAGGGTACCAAGCTCTTCTGTATTTCCGGCAACGTCAACAACCCGTGCACCGTGGAGGAGGAGATGTCCATCCCGCTACGGGAGCTCATCGACAAGCACTGCGGCGGTGTCAAGGGTGGGTGGGACAACCTCCTGGCTGTCATTCCTGGAGGCTCATCGACACCTATCCTCCCCAAGAGCGTGTGCGACGACCAGCTCATGGACTTTGATGCGCTCAAGGACAGCCAGAGTGGTCTTGGTACCGCCGCTGTCATCGTCATGGACAAGAGCGCCGACGTCGTCCGTGGCATCAGCCGTCTCAGCCACTTCTACCGTCACGAGAGTTGCGGACAGTGCACACCCTGCCGTGAGGGCAGCAAGTGGACTGAGCAGATCATGCAGCGTTTCGAGAGGGGCCAGGGCCGCGAGAGAGAGATTGATATGCTCCAGGAGCTGACCAAGCAGGTTGAGGGTCACACAATTTGCGGTACGTTGGATTCTTTCTCTTGAGGTAATCGGTGATGTGTACTAACGGGTTTGCAGCTTTGGGAGAGGCTTTCGCCTGGCCCATTCAGGGTCTCATCCGTCACTTCCGGCCCGAGCTGGAGGCCAGGATGCAGGCGTACGCAGAGCAGCACGGCGGCCACCAGACACTGGCCGGTGGTTTGGAGCACGACGCGCGGGCGCATGGAAAGCTGACTTCGCCCGGACAATAGGCGTAGACTAGATCTTTTGCGCGAAGAATGGCCTCTTGTAGAGGGAGGCGCGGTTTGATTGGGCTCACGTCCGTGTACCTACATAGTTCTGCATAGTCTGCCACATGTAAGGTGGTGTATTTACTTTGTAAAAGCATTCGAGTTGACCGTGAAGTACCTAAGAATACGGCTTCATCATCACTCAAGCGACATAGGTGCACGGGTGACACGACTATAGCGCCTCACAAGATCATCCGCACACGATTCAACAGTTTGCCCCAAGAGGAATTGTGCTCATTCAGTCGTCGTCCTAGACAGCCTTTCGAGACTGCTCTTGAGGTTCTGCCGTTGTGGACGACGAGGAGGGGCGCCAGTAAGATCACCAACCTGCCACGCTGCGGATCCACACCCCAGCATCCATCTTCACCGACGATATCGCTCTCGCAATCTTATCATATTTTGTGAAATTGATCAAAAAGTTTTTGATCAACGTCGACTCGACCTAAGGAAGATAACCTTTCACCGGTATTTGACCTGAAAATCACGTCGCACAGGCAAATTGAAAGGTGTAGCCGTCACAATGACTGGTCTCTATGAGCACTTTGTTGCCTTTGGTGTTGATAACGGTGTGTACCACCACCCCCGTTTGATGGTGTCTCGATCTGCCCACTGACAACAGCAGCCGGGCTTGAGCGCTTGATGCGTCTCGCCCAGTCATTCATGATGATCCTCACGTCGTACCCTGCCTTTCTGCAGTACTTGACATCCTACACCCCTCATCTCGCGACGCTCGCGACGCTTTCGTCCACCTCGTCGCACCTGAACCTCGTCCGGAGGTGGCTGCGTACTTTCCGCTTCTTCGACACCTTCTCCAGGTCTGTCTCTCTGTACATGAGCCAAGAAAAGGCCTTGGACACGTGGCTCAGCGCCCACGCGGCGACGTGTCTTGGCATCTTCGGAATGCTCGAGACCATCACGGTCCTGGATCTCTGCAGGATCGAAGGCCTCGAGGTGTTTGGCTACAAGGAAGCTTTGGGGATCAATCTCGAGGCACAGCGATTCTGGTTCATGGGTTTACTCTTGTCCGCCTGTTCTACGCTAGTCAAGCTGGTCAGGCTCTCTGCGTACAAGCCCGTACCTGCCACAGGAGACGGCTACGGCACGTCGGCGGAGAAGGATGGGAAGACGGTCGAGGAGAGACTGCGCGAAGAGAGGAAGCGAAGGAAGGATGAGAAGAAGGCCCACTCCAAGAAGATGAAGGACGAGGTGACGACACTGAGTTTTCGTTTTGCCGCTGATGTGATGGATCTGGTCATTCCGGCTACGGCGCTGGGATGGGTCACGCAGAATTGGGGACGAGCCAGTATCATCATGTTCCTCACATCAGTCTTGACGGGAACGGAGGTCTGGTGGAAGGTGGGCAAGAAGTTGCAAACGACCTGAATAACCCTTGTGGGGTGAGAGGTGCCAAAACGACCTATCTAGATGGGCGATGATTTTGGATATAATAGAGTTGTATGTTGAAATTTATAGACAGCACTTATTTCTATACCCAAACCACATTATACTCTTCTAGATGCGCCACACAATGCTTCATATTTTCATGACTTGGTTGTTAAATCCAAAACACCGCACAGTGCTCAACGCCGTCCGGTGACGACAAAACAGCCCGTTTCAACAGACGCTTTCCAGCCATCCTGGAATAATGCAGCCAACACAGCCTGCCGAAGCTGGGAAACGCCACTGGCGCTGTGCCGGCCCAAGCCGGTGACCACGGTGTAAGGGTCCTCTCGCGCCTTGCGTATTCTGAATTCGCCCAGATTATCCCACCAGGCTTGGACCCTGGTTCTCGCAATGCGCACGCCATCACGCACACTCACGCCGTGCAAGTCAATCTTATTACGGCTGCTTTGCTTGTCGACGAGTAGGTCGGCAGCAGCCGAGGACATGGCATGCGAGTGGAGAGCTTGCTCTCTCGCGCGCTCATGGTACACCACTGCCCCCTGGCGGTAATGGCCTCCCTTGCGGATCATGCTTGTGCTCTGGGCTGAAGCATCGAGACGAGAGCGATTAGCATCGTTGATGCGCTTCACGACCTCCGCATGATCCCACATGCCACCAGATGAGGCGCGCGACTCGGAACGTGGGGACTTGCTTGATCCTGGCGTCAGTGGTTTGCTGCCGGGCAGTGAACCCGCATGACCTTCCAAATCTTCATTTGGTAATGGGGTCATGAGATGAGTGAGTTGAAGTCGCTCTTTGTGTGGGTTCTTGGTGAAGTGTTTGCTAAGCAATGCCGCGATGTCCTGGGTCCCTTGGTCGGTGACCTGCAGCAGAGTGAGAAAATATCGCTCAGGCACCTTTGGGTGCTCATTAGCGAGTCGCTTGGCGGTGGCAATGCTCCCTTCATCTTCAGAGGTAATCCCAAGGTCGCTGTACTGGTCCAATATCGCAGCGGCCGTCGCGCCGCTGGAGGTCTTCTTCCGATAGTACACGTCTGATACGTGGTCAAAGGGTTGAAGTAAGTGGTCGGCCAGGAAGGCTATCTCATCTTGGTCTGCATTGCGGTCAGCACGAGTGCCGTGAACAAAGGAGTCAACCTACGCTTGAGCTCCTTCACTTGATTTTTCGTCAGCACCTCCTTGGTTGAGACGTCCAAGTCGAAAGCCGCAGCCTTGCCCGCGCGCTTCTTGCCTTTCTTTTTCCCTTTGCTTCTACTTGATTGCTCCTCACTGTCATCGAAGAATGCGTCTATGCCCCTGACATTCTCGCCCTCGAAGATGCGATTCTGAATATCCAGTAAGCTGTCAAGAGCGGCCTGAAAGTTGCCATTGAACTTTTGCAGCGCGTATCGGATGTCGATATCCTTCAAGTCGCCAAACATACTTCGCAGGTTGAGAAACTTAGTCTCATCGCTGTCGTCATTGAATGACGTGAGCTGAGGGATATATTCGGAGCGGTCTGTGGAGGATGCATCCGTTGAAGAAGCTTGTTGCTGATGTGACGACGTTCCATTGCTCTGGCTTGTTGCAGACGCGTGGTCTTGAATCCCCTGAGCCGGCGTGTCGTCTAGGCCCGAGGCGCCGCTCGGATCGAACGCTGTAGCCTCCTCAATTACCACGTCCTGGGAGAGACCTTTGAGCGTTTGCTCGGCAGCATTGTAGCCAGCGGAAGTGGTCAGATCATGATCGCCAGCAATGGCTACCACGAGGGGCTCGTCAAGGAGCGTGTGGAATGATTTCTGAGCATGTTAGTCGCAAAGAGGACAGAAGTGTTGGACTCGGGTTACAATGCAGCCCTCATCCGCCGAGCGAACTCACAATCAGCCTGTTGAGCGGAACATCATCCATTGAATTCATTGACAGTGCTGCCATTGTAATTTGCCCCCCGTCAGCAAGCTTCAGCAGGGGTTCCAAATAGAGTGTCTCGATGTGTAGAAGTCCGAAAATCGCATGATCAAGTATCAACAAAAGCCGAGCTATTGATGATGAAGGGAAGAATTCGAAATTGTCGCTCAAGATCACCGTTGCACTCTCAATATTTCACAGGAATCCTTTGTCGATTTCGACGTTCAGACTAGATCCTGAATAAATGTCGTCAATGTGGGATTATGTATAAGATAAATCATCTCAGCGACTGATCCGGCGCATCAATGACTCGACAGCCTGATCGGGATCTAGACTGACATCACGTGCCCGAGAGCCGTCGCGATAGCGTTGTCTCCTGTCGTCTAGAGGGCGGGGCACAATTAACGATTTGACGACAAGCATGCCCCAGGATGGGATTACTGACGGGCTTTTCCTGGACTACTTGCGCATATTCCGCCCCAGGAGAACGAATCAATTATTCAACATAATTAGATTGAGTCTGGGTGCAGAAATGTGGCCTGCGGAGGAATTACCCCAGATATCCCGAAGACAGCTCGCTATTGGCTCCAGTGCCACAGTTCGCTGAATAGTGGGGCCAACTGCTGCCTGCCACTACGTCAGCCACTCAGGCACGAGACGCATTGCACTGGTCATGGATCCGGCCTGTTGTAATGGGCGCTCGTGCCTTGCTTGCTTCATGTCTCGATAAGCGTCCATCACCATCAGCAACGCGCTCAAGCCGGAACCGATCTGTACACCACTAGCTGCGTCGCAGCATCGTATACTTTCTACACAAGCGACGCAATACTCGTTTGATAGGTCGCGTCTCGATACTCATCCGCCATCGCTCTTTCGCGGCCTCGCCGCAGCGCTCCATCATGCGTCATTCAGTCGCATCATGGCTTGGAGTAGCCACCACAACGTTGCTCCTGGCAACAACAATCGAGGCCAAGGACTGGACGCCCAAGCACGAGTCCGGACGATGCGCATTTCGAGGCCATTGTGGAAAGCAGAGCTTCTTCGGCAAGGAACTACCTTGCGTCGATAATGGGCTGGCCGAGGACCCGGACGCGGAGCTTCGCAAAGAGCTTGTCGACCTCTGTGGTGCGAAATGGGCTGAAGGCCCCGTCTGCTGCGATCTAGAACAGGTCAAAGCCCTCAAATCGGAGATGGGAACGCCGAACACCTTGATTGGATCCTGCCCAGCGTGCAAAGACAACTTCTTCAACATGTTCTGTACCTTTACGTGCTCACCCGATCAATCTACTTTCATCAACATCACGCAATCGGAAAAAAAAGGTGGCAAGCAACTCGTCACCGAGCTCGACCAGCTTATCTCCGAGGAATACGGCAAAGGCTTCTACAACAGTTGCAAGGAAGTCAAGTTTGGCGGCGCAAACAGCAAAGCGATGGATCTGATTGGGGGCGGCGCTACCGATTACCATCAACTCCTCAAGTTCCTGGGTACCAAAAAGCCCTTTGTCGGATCGCCCTTCCAGATCAACTTCCCAGAGCAGTATGATGAACAGGACATGGAGCCATTGGAGATGAAGCCAAAGAAGTGCAACGACGAGGACCCCGACTACCGATGCGTGTGCGTTGATTGTCCGGAAGTGTGCCCGGAACTGCCAGATGTCAAGGAAACCGACTCGTGCCACGTTGGCGTGCTGCCATGCCTATCGTTCGCCTCGATCTTCGTGTACTCCATCCTGCTGTTTGCTTTCATCGTACTCGCTTTTGGTCATGTAGCCTGGCGCCGGTTCGCTTCTCGTAGGGTTGAGCGGACAAGACTTCTACACCAGTCGTCGCATAGCGATGATGAGGACGAGGGTGGTCCAGTCGCGACCGAAGCCATGCGAGATCGTCCCACCAAGCGCTACCGCCTCAATGACGCCTGCGACAAGGTTTTCTACAAGCTCGGACACGCGGCCGCTCGCTTCCCCGCAATGACCATCGGCGCCAGTCTGGTAATCGTTGCTATTCTGAGCGCTGGTCTTTTCCGCTTTGACATTGAGCAAGCACCCGCCAAGCTGTGGGTCAGTCCCTCATCAGCTGCTGCGCAGGAAAAGGCCTACTTTGATTCGAACTTTGGACCTTTTTACCGCGCAGAGAAGATCTTTCTTGTCAATGATACCCTCCCATCAGGCCCTGGCCCGGTGCTCAGCTACGAAACTCTCCAGTGGTGGACAGAGGTTGAGAAGAGCATCGAGAAGCTGGAGAGCCCTGTCTACGGCAAGTACTTCCAGGACGTGTGCTTCAAACCAACGGGCGACGACTGTGTTGTGCAATCCGTAACGGCCTACTGGTACTCCAAGGGTGGCATCGATGAGGACTACTGGAAAGAAGACTTGCGCGCTTGTGCAAGGTCCCCGGTTGACTGCCGGCCGGCCTTTGGGCAGCCACTCGAGCCCAACATGCTTCTCAGCGGCTACGGCGACGATGTCACGGATGCGACGGCCATGACTGTCACATGGGTAGTCAAGAATGCGCAGGAGGGGAGTGGCGCATTGCTACGTGCCATTGACTTCGAGAATGTCATGCTGGAGCGCCTGCACGAGGTGCAACAGGAAGCCCAGGACCGCGGTCTGCGTTTGTCATTCAACACCGAGGTCAGCTTGGAGCAAGAGCTCAACAAATCGACGAATACCGACGCCAAGATTATTGTCATCAGCTACATTGTCATGTTCATCTACGCCTGCATGGCGCTCGGTACTCCTCTCAAGCACATCTTCCGCAATCCGGCGGTTCTGCTTGTTGAGTCCAAGGTCACACTTGGTCTGGTGGGCATCATCATTGTGCTCATGTCGATTGCGGCCTCTGTTGGCTTCTTTTCCTGGGTGGGCCTCAAAGCGACCCTCATTATCCTTGAAGTCATACCCTTCATTGTTCTCGCGGTTGGCGTTGACAACATCTTTCTCATTGTTCATGAGCTTGAGCGTGTCAACGCAAGCTGTCCCGACAAGATGGTGGAGGAGCGTGTCGCCCGCGCTTTGGGCCGCATGGGCCCTTCCATCTTGTTCTCTGCACTGACCGAGACTGTGGCTTTTGCTCTGGGCGCCGCTGTTGGCATGCCTGCCGTCCGCAACTTCGCTGCGTATGCTGCTGGTGCAGTATTTGTCAATGCACTGCTGCAGATGACCATGTTTGTCTCTTTTCTGTCCCTCAACCAGATGCGCGTTGAGGATCATCGGTGTGAACTCTGGCCTTGGTGGCAGATCACCAAGGCACGTATCCACCTCAATGGCACCAACGGCTATGCCACTGGTGCTGCGCGCTCAGCAGAGATTGAGGAGGAAAGCTTCCTGCAGATCTTCATCAGGAGCCACTACGCGCCGAGACTTCTGCAGAAGAGAGTCAAGATGGCCGTGATTACCATCTTCTTGGGTCTTTTCGCAGCTGCCATAGCGCTTCTGCCCGGCATAGAACTCGGCCTAGATCAGAGGGTTGCAATTCCCGATGGCTCGTATCTCATCCCATACTTCAACGACCTGTACGAGTACCTGGATACCGGCCCGCCTGTCTACTTTGTCACGCGCGATTTGGACGTTGCGCAGCGCAGGGAGCAGCAAGAAATCTGCTCCCGCTTCACGACATGCCAGGATCTATCCTTGACAAACACCCTCGAGCTCGAGAGGCAGAGGCCCGACGTCTCATACATCTCCACCCCGACTGCCAGCTGGATTGATGACTTCTTCATGTGGCTGAACCCTATCTACGAGTCATGTTGTATCGAGGCCGGCCAGACTTGCTTCACCGATCGGAAGCCCGAATGGAACACCACTTTGCATGGCATGCCCGAGGGCGATGAGTTCATCCGCTACCTTGAGAAGTTTTTGACGACACCTGCAGGGGATGAATGTCCCTTGGGAGGTCAATCTGCCTACGGCGGATCCGTCATCCTGAACGAAGACGGCAGCGGCGTCAAGGCAACTAACTTCCGCACCATGCACACTCCCCTTCGCAGCCAGGAGGATTTCATCAGCGCCTACAGTTCGGCCCGTCGCATTGCCTCGGAAATCAGTGAGCGCACCGGCGCAGACGTTTTCCCCTACAGCGTGTTCTACATTTTCTTCCACCAGTATCTCGACATTGTTGGTCTGACCGCTGGGCTTTTGTGCGCTGTTGTTGGCATCATCTTCGTCGTGGCAGCAATCCTTCTTGGATCGGTGTTGACATCGGCTGTTGTCACTGTGACCGTCGTCATGAGTGTCATTGATATCATGGGCGCCATGTCGGTCTTCCATGTGTCTCTGAATGCCGTGTCGCTTGTCAACCTGATTATCTGCGTCGGAATATCCGTCGAGTTCTGCGCTCACATTGCCCGCGCGTTCATGTTCCCCTCGTGTACGGTCATGCAGAGCAACAACAATGGCTTCCGTGGGCGCGACGCCCGTGCTTGGACTGCTCTGGTCAACGTCGGCGGCTCTGTCTTTTCTGGTATCACCATCACCAAATTGCTTGGTGTTTGTGTGTTGGCTTTCACGCGATCCAAAATTTTCGAGATTTACTACTTCCGCGTCTGGCTCTCGCTCGTCATCTTTGCTGCCTTGCATGCACTGGTGTTCTTGCCCGTCGCGCTGAGCATTGCCGGTGGCCAGGGCTATGTTGACCCGGAGAGTGAAGGCACAGCTGCTCAAGACTTGACTGACCGGAGGTGGCGCGCTACCCAGCCTGATTCTGACGATGACGAGTACTGAGAATGTAGACGTCAGGAACGACTCAATCGTGGGAGGCACAGGCGTTATGGTTTCCCTGGACCCTGGGATGCAGCCCAGCCCGGGCTGCCAATTTGGAAGCCCTTGCTCGATACTATGATGTTTGGGCAGGCCCAGCTTTGCATTGGTACTGGGCAACGCCCCAGACTCGCTCATTTGTCGTCGGGTCGCCAAGAGCAGTATACAGGGTCGCACAGGCCGCTCGCACCGATCTTCTGTCTAGGGGACGATACACGGAAAACACATGCTGGTCCCCGGCTCACACTCAATGAAAGCGTCCCACCGTTGACACTGAGCATGTTTCCTATTAGAGAAGCAGAAGGTCTTCGGTACCTGGGGCACTGGCTCAATCAATCCCCCTTCGAATGGTTTGATCAAGCTATCATCGCTCCGACACAGGATTCGAAGCGCCAGCGAATGGCAGAGCATATGGACCTGGAGTTTCTTATTCTTACATTGTTCAAGCGCGGTTTCTCAGCAGAGTAAGGTGGTGATAGATACACCCGTACATAGTAGCGGGCAATAGGCAGCGCTGTACTGCTTGCCGCGTGTATGTACGTGCCCGGCGAATCAACATTGTTTTATTGATGATTTGAACTTTTCATTTGCAGTTGCTAGCCATCAGTCAAGGAAGTTACTTAGGTTGTCATCCACAGAGATTTAGAACGTGATGCCATTTCTTTCGGGTCTAACGCTGCGACCATCTCCCACAAAAATATGGTCGCTTCTAGGAGAGTCCTCTCTATCAACACCTGATAATCCGTTCAATTTGAAAAGACTGGAAATTATGAGTCTTCACCTTCAACATTGAATAAACGGTGCCTATGTGTGGCTTATGTAAGCATAGAACCGGTCAGATCAAACTGAACGAGGCGCGCCACATGATCCATTTCGCCCTTCAACAAAGCCCGACACTGTCATGGCTTTGGTCGACACAGGAAAGAGGCCAATTGCCTCGTTGATCCTCCTCTTCGCGGGATGGAAGGCGTTTCTCCTCGCCATTGCACTCGCCGCCGCTGTCAGCCCAGCGTACGACACGTCAACATCACTGTTCCTCGCGCAGCTCCCCGAGGTGCCATCCGCGCCTTTCCTCACGGAGAAACTGACACGATGGGACGCGCTGTACTTCCTGCACGCCTCGGCGCATGGCGGCAAGGTCTACGAGCAAGAATGGGCTTTTCAATTGGGATTCTCGCAGCTCGTGCGCCTTGTGAGCTGGCCTGGGGGTGAACCCATCATAGCCATCCTAGCGGCGACCCTGTCCCACTTGGGAAGCGTGTTGGTTCTGCATCAGCTCACGATTCTAGTCTCAAGGGACTCTCGTTTGGCGTTCTTGACAAGTGTGCTGCACATCTTATCTCCCGCGGGTATCTTCCTCTCTGCGCCGTACGCTGAGAGCTCGTTCGCTGGACTGTCGTTCCTGGGGAATTGGCTATTCGCCCTGGGGTACGAGTACGCTAGCGAGCCATGGAAGCGAACTTGTGCAATTGTGGGTGCCGGTGCTGTGTTTGGCGTGGCGACTGGGTTCCGAAGCAACGGGTTGGGCAGTGGTGTGCTCTTCCTTGTGGAAGCTCTACGTTGTGCCGCGCACTTCATCGAGCGCCCTACTTTGGTTCGCCTTGGCAGACTTGTGGCCCCCGTTGTTGGCGGGACAGCCATTGCCGCCGGAGCTGCCATTCCGCAATTCTACATCTGGCAGCGCTATTGTGGCGAAGGACATCTCAGGCCCTGGTGCGAGAAGACTGTGCCTAGTATCTACAGCTTTGTGCAGGAACATTACTGGTGAGTTTTTGGGATCTGAATTTGTGTGACTAATTCTGACGGTGTTTAGGAACGTTGGCTTCCTGCGATATTGGACGCCGGAGCAGATCCCCCTTTTCCTCCTCGCATCGCCTGTTCTCGGCCTGCTCATCGTCTCGGGTACCAAAGTCCTGCTTAAATCTACTTCTGCCTTCCCGATTGTCTCCTTCAATGAGAAACAGAAGGTGTTTGTGCAGACACTCGCGGGCGTGCAGGCATTTATCGCCATGCTAGCCATCACGAATTACCACGTGCAGATTGTCAACCGGCTGTCGTCAGCCTATGTGGTCTGGTACTGGTGGATTGCCAGCTGTCTCATGCAAGAGAAGAGGCGCGATCTCGGACTAGGCATCGTTAGGTTCTTTGTCATGTACGCTGGAATCCAAGCCGGACTCTTTTCGAGCTTTTTGCCGCCCGCGTGAGAGCAGCAGGACTCGCTCTGGCTTGCCCCCTTTTGTAGGTAAATGTATTCAATTTTCTATCTGACATGTCTTTTTTTAAAGCTTGACTCCATCCAAGATGGGCTTGGCCTCCTCGCTCTTCCACCAGCTGACGCCCTCCTCTCCCGGATAGGAGAACTTGTCCATGCTGTCTGCCTTCATCTCGACACTGTACCCGGGCTCCATGGGTGTCTGGTAATAGCCGCCCTTGATCTTGGAGGGGTGGAGGAAGTGGTCGTGCAGGTGGTCCACGTACTCGAGCACCGACAGCTTGCCGCTGACGACGACATAGTCAATGGTGCTGAGGTGCTGGGTGTACTCGGGCAGCCCAACGCCGCCCGAGTGGGGCACGATGGGGATGTTGTACTTTTTGGCGATGAGCAGGACGGCGAGGACCTCGTTCACGCCGCCGAGACGGCAGGCGTCAATCTGGCAAAAGTCAATCGCGCCGGATTGGATGAGCTGCTTGAAGATGACCCTGTTCTGGCACATTTCGCCCGTGGCCACGCCGATGCCGTGCGGCTTGAGGGCGTCGCGGATCTTCTTGTGGCCGAGGATGTCGTCGGGGGAGGTGGGCTCCTCGATGAACCAGGGCTTGAAGACGGCCAGCTGCTCCATGTAGGAGATGGCCTCGGGGACGGACCAGACCTGATTGGCGTCGACCATGAGGACGTTGCCCTTGTCGTAGCCAATAACGTCTCGGGCAATGGTGAGGCGACGCTTGTCCTCCTCGACGCTGCCGCCGACCTTGAGCTTAAAGTGGCGGTAGCCCTGGTCGAGGGTCTCCTGGAGGAGGGCCTTCATCTTGTCTTCGCCGTAGCCGAGCCAGCCGGCGCTCGTGGTGTACGCGGGCACGGCCTTACTGCTGAGCGCCTCATCGAGCCTGGCGGCCTTGCCGCCCTCCTGCTGGCGCAGCAGCTCGATGGCCTCGTCGGGGGTGATGGCGTCGGTAATGTACCGAAAGTCGATGCAGCGGACAAACTCCTCCGGGGTCATGTCCGCGACGATGCGCCAGACGGGCTTGCCGAGGACCTTGGCCCAGAGGTCCCAGACGGCGTTGACGACGGCGCCGAGGGCAAGGTGGATGACGCCCTTCTCCGGGCCGATCCATCGGAGTTGCGAGTCGTTGACGAGATGGCGCCAGGTCTTGCCCCAGTCGGCGACTAGGGAGGAGAGGGTGCGACCCTTGAGGCGGTCGGCGACGTGGGTGATGGCTGAGCAGACAATGTCGTTGCCGCGACCGATGGTGAAGGTCTGCCGGGTTCTCCATTAGTTTATCTCGCAGCCTGGGACACTGCAGGGGTGCTGGTTGTCACTGACCATGCCATGGCCTGTGTAGTCTGAGTCGGTCTTCAGGATGCAGTACGCGGAGGAGTAGTCGCCAGCAGCGTTCATGGCATCTGAGCCGGTCTTGTCGAGGGAGGTGGGGAAGCGCACATCGCGCGTAGAGAAGCCGGTGATGGTGATATCAGGCATTTTGACAGGGTGCTGAAGAGAGAGGGAATTATACAGGCGAAGGAGAGGAAGAGGGGCTGACGAGGGTGGGAAGACGCGTCGTTTGTCGCGTTTTAATCATCGGCAAAGGAGAGGTTTCGTTCAGGGTCTGGGTCAACAGTATCTATGTCACGATCAATTGACCCGGACAACCGAGATCGGGGTCTTGTTGGAGATGGCCAGGCGCACGTTTGGCGACGGTGATTGATGGATTAATTCCCGGCGGGTCTTTCCAGCTGATGTTGGATCGTGGAAGTCTGTACGCCTCATGTGGGTTCGCCGAAATACCCGACGGCTTTTGGGGAGGCGTGTAAGCTGACGCGTGAGCTGGTACTTGCAACGCAGATTGTTTGCCATTAGATAATGCAGCTTTATTGATCAGATGCTCCAATTACGCTGTAATGTCTCTGGGCTCTGTCGCGCATTGATCAGTTTTCATGGCAAGTACATGCTGGCAGCATCGTGATTGACATCAACAAATGCCCCACCCCCACCTTAGCCTTGGCTTGGGGAAATCGCTGCCCCTCACTTTCACTTCACTTCTGTCCTGTGCCTGGCTCTGGGGTGCCTCACAACAAAGCGTTGAGATGCCGAAAGCCGAGTGTTAAGGGCTAGCGCAGGTCGCAAATACCAAAGTCATCATTGCTTTCGGAGAATGAACCGAATTGTGAATGATGATCAGAGCTCCCGCCTTTGGGGGCTGTGAAATCCTTCATTGTTAACATATCCGTAAGGAGCATTCCTCGTCAATTAGAACTTTGTGCAACAAAGCCTGGACGAACCTGCTGTGCCTCGGTCACCAAATCTGCTGACTGAGCCGAGCTTATTACCGCATGTTCGATTTCCATTTTCTGAGACGTACAGAAAATAACAATAGGGGTTCCACACCATCATGCAATCATTGAGATAGCATGACGATGGAAGAACCTGACCTGTAGGGTAAGGTAAACAGAACCTGACATTGCGGACCATCCCAGCCCCCAACACGCCCGCCTTCAGGCAGGGGCAATTGTCAATTGCATGAGCGCGCATCACTATTTTACAATGCAAAAAAGAAACAAGCATCTACCGCAGGCTTGGAGATATCCAATTCTTTGCGACAGTCAAGCCTCCTGTCCGTCTAAGACACAAGCCACAAACGGCAACTAGCTCCGTACAAGCAGGCTGAACGTCAGAAACGGAGCGCTCTCAGTTGAGCACGGATCCACCGTTTCTCTCGACGGGCTGACCTTGCGCAGCCACCAGACTTTCATGTCTCACCCTCTCACTGAGACCTATGCATTCCTGGTCAAAGACTCAAAACCCCCAAGTTGGTCGTGCGCTTGCGGCCAATGCGATACTAAGTCACATGTACCGAGCTCCAGCAACGATTTGCATCAATCTCGGTATCTTTTTCCGCCCTGGTACGCGTGATCGCACACCGTCCACGGATGGTGGTGACTGACCGTCTCTTCCCCGCTTGCTTGAAGGATCCCTCACAACCAGCCTTGTTTATCGTACAACTACGTAGTACGTCTGCCAAGCGGTGACGTGTAAACGCCAGCTATGCGGGCCCTCACGCTCAGCCCCTTGGACGGACGCGCAAGTTGAGGCTATGCCGCTCGATAAGATACGGACATATCCCCTTCCGCGCCCTGCCGAACAACACCACGTTTGCCTGCCTTTGCCAGCAAATCAAGACAAGGCAACCCACTGGACACAAACAGGCTGCCCAGTGCCAGACTAATTTACTAGGCTGGCCTGCCGTAATGACAGGTCTCATGAGAATGGCGGTATGCATCTGCTGGACATGGAGTCACTGGGCTGACCTCCTCACATGAGTGAATGGCGGCATGGCTTGCCTTATTCAGAGTCAATCAGACTTTCAGTACCTTGCTCTGGAATGAAGGTATATCTCTCAACCCATTTCATCCATCCAACGTTATTCCTCGCGTGTCAGTGCTATTTTCGAGCCTGAACTCATTGCCTGCCTCGCCGTCGTCAGACATTGATTGAGTGACACCTTGCTCCATCGCTGCCTCTGCCTGTCCGTGTCTGAGTCTGACGCACAGGCTGTCTGCCCGTCCGTCGCCCACTGCCGTCGATCCATCGCCTTTTTAAGACGGAGAACCCGTGCCCACGCAGCGCACGATCGTCACCACCACGCTGGGATTCATTCCAAACCCCACGCCGGAACGGAGGCGAGCCACAAAGCCTTGCGCTGCAATGGAATGTCAAGCCAGCTCACAGCCTGCGGCACGCCGGCCTCAGCTACTGCCTCTGCCGCTGTCTGTGTCGCCGCCCTCACCTTCACATTCACCCTCACCTTCGCAGCCTGCCACCAACCTTCGCGTCCGTCGCAAGCTGCAAAAGACACCAAAGCAGCTCTGTATCAAGGCGTCTGCTCGCAATCGCTCCCACTCGACAGCAACACCCACGTCCACATCGACGCCCACTACCGCGACCTCTGCTTCCCCATCCGGCATATCACCACGTTCCCTCCCTCCTTTGGAATGCTCTGTGGCCGAGACATCTCAGACTCGTGAGCGGCCCACCATGCCCATGCCGACAGACCTCAGCGACTCAAAATGGCTCGAGTATATCGAGCGCAGCGGCCTCATGAGCTCTGCAGATTTACCATATGGTCTCGGCACTTCGCCCTCCAACTCCATCCTCTCTGACTTGTCCAACCTCACCTTCTCTCGATCCTCGCCTCGCCCGTCACTGGACAGCGTCGCCTGCTCCCCACCGCCACCGAGGTCGTCCTCGTCCGCCTCCGTCATGCACAAGCCGCGCAAGTCCCTCTCTAAGAGGAGTCTCATTGCCCCGGCATTCAAGCTCGCGAGCTTTGACGGTCTCTCCCCTAAGAAGAGCGTCAAGGAAATCCGGGTGGTCAAGAGGAAAGCGAGCGTCGAGCTCATCGCCGAGCAGTACCAGGCCTTTCTCGAGTCGAGGGATGCCGAGGAGGAGGAGGAGGAGGCCGCCGCGTCAGAAGAAGGGGAACGTCTTGAGGCATTGAAGAACACATTAGATTCACCGATGCCGACGCCACCACAGGAGGCTCCTCTGCTACTTGAGCCCGTCCGCTTCGACCCGAGCACACATGCCACACCGGTGCAGCCGCAGCAGTCGCCAAAGGCCTCGCCGGTCCGAGATACATCATCTGACCGGCAGCGGGAGACCATCGTCGAAGCAGCGCGACCCGAGGCCACCACCTTGTCTCCCGGCTCCGATGGGACTCTCGTGGCCTTTGAGGAGGATGCCATCTATTTCAAACCCGTGTCTTTCTCTTGCGATTCTTCACCGCCAGCCTCCCAGCGCCAGTCGCTCGACAAGCCGCTGCCCCGGACACCCCAACCCGAAACGACACCCTTGTCCACATCCATCTCGATGCTGTCCAAGGAGCTGACGGCAGGCATGCCGAGCGATGCCCTGCAGATCGGCGTCATGATCGAGGCGTACGAGCGACTGAGGGACCAGACCGACACCAAGGACATGGGCGAGGATGAAAGACGAAATATGCGATCAATGTTTGATTCCTGGCTGGCTGCCCTCCATACCATGCAGAGGGGTCTGCGAGGCTCGCAGTCCAGCCCGAGGAGTGATGAGTGAGGATTTGAGAAGCATTGTATTTACAAACAAGTGTACAAGATTGGTAGCAGGGATGGGACTACTATTAGCGTTGGCGTTTTGGAAGGCATGGACTGTACTGGACTGGCTGCAATTGAGGGTATCCTAGCCACCTCTTCTATTTATCTCTGATCAATATTGACTATTCTGTCAAATCGCTGATAGAGTCACTCTGAATGTACGTTTCCTGCGGTCTATCTTTGTACAAGTCAGCGGTACGTATATGCCACCACATGCCGACGGACAGGTGATGACGATGATGTGGGGGCATGTCAAACACAGAACATGCGTGAACTCGATCGTGAACCTTCTCCCAACGCGCGTCCTTCCATCGCGTCTCGACTGCAGATCAACCCACGCCATGGACGACGACTTTGGCGCCGACGCTGCCCTCCTCGAGGCCATGGCTTCAGCCGATACTGCTGCCCCTCCACGCCCAAAGGTCACCCAACCGACACCCCAGCGCCTCGACAAGGCACCTCCCACCTCCGCCTCGAGCGGCAGCAAGCCAGGCGTCACGCAGCCCACGCCACAAGCCCTCGCGAAACCCTCCGGCGGCTCCTCCATACTCGTATCCCCACGCCAGCGCGGCAACCCTGTCCTCACCGCGCTCAAGAGCATACCGTGGGAGTACTCCGACATCCCTGCCGACTACGTCCTCGGCCTGACAACCTGCGCGCTCTTCCTCTCGCTGAAATACCACCGCCTGCATCCCGAATACATCTACACGCGGATACGCAACCTGCAGGGCAAATACAACTTACGCATCGTGCTGACCATGGTCGACATTCCAAACCACGAAGACCCCCTGCGGGAGCTCAGCAAGACGAGCCTGGTGAACGGCGTCACGCTGCTGCTCTGCTGGAGCGCGGCCGAGGTGGCGCGCTACCTGGAACTGTACAAGGCCTACGAGAACGCCGCCTTCACCGCCATCAAGGGCCAGCAGGCGAGCACCTACGCCGACCGGCTGACGGACTTTGTCACAGTGCCGCGGTCCCTGAACAAGTCGGACGCCATTGCGCTCGTGGCCAACTTTGGCTCGCTCCGGAACGCGATCAACGCCGAGCAGGAGGCGCTCGGCATGATCAGCGGGTGGGGTGGCACCAAGGTCAAGAGATGGGTCACGGCGGTCGAGGAGCCGTTTCGCGTCAAGAAGACGGCCAAGCGTGGCCTACGACGGGACGAGTCCACCGCCGTCGGCGACCGCACGGATGTGCTGCACGAGGCGAGGCCGTTGGCGAGGGTGCCGCTGCGGGAGATGTCGACGACGGGGGAAGGGTCGGGCACCGCCAAGGGCTCCGCGAGTACGCCAGCGGCGGCGGCGAAACAGTATGCTGTCGCTGGCGATGTGAGCGACAGTGAGAATGAGGAGGAGGCCATGATGGCGGCGGCCATGGAGGAGTCGCGGCGGATGGCGGAGGACTCGCAGAGGAAGAGTCAGGGAGAGGACGGGAAGAATGGAGAGGAGGCAAGCGGCTCTGGGTTGACGGATGGTGTTGCCTCTGCTTTGGCCAAGCTGCGTGATGGCAGCTGAAGTGCTCAGTCCTGGAATTCACCTCCTCTAATACCAGCACCATGGACGACTGCCGAAGCTACTGGAAGGTTGGGCACTGCAATCGACATGGCCAATCTTGCCCTCGAGGCTCTACATCCCAACGCGAGGGAGGATCTCAGCTCAATGGTGGAAGCTCACCATGTTCACGTTGCAGTGCGTCATCTGTCAATCGACTGGCCATGCGGCGAGCATCAGGTGCATTCAACGACAGGAGTTTCGGTGGCATTAAACACGCCAATCGTCATGTGCGCTGTCTCAGGTTGCATCGGGGCAGATCACCACTCCCAGTAGCAGATCTGCTCCTAGCTACATCAGATGGCTCTCCGAGCTCGAACTCGGAGAATTGTACACTGCTGGCTTTGTCCACGGGGGTGGCAGTTGCAAAAGCCTTCAAGTGTGGCACGCCCTACAGTGGAATTGGGAGCTACAATTCAATCAGAGGCTCGCTTTGGGACATGATTCATGCAGGGGACGAATCTTACGACCTCGGGCTGGCGCAAATGTCTTACCAATACATCACTATTGACAAACAAGGTTAAGGATCATGCCATGCCGGAATGCACGCCACCATATCCACTCCAGTGCGTGCAGCCAGAGAGGACGGACACCCGTGACCCGCGAGGATGAAGGTGTGAGACTTCAGCCCAACCTTGGTAGCCTTGAGTCTTGGAGTCAGACAACAGCCATGATGGAGCTAGGTGGTGCACTACCGAGGGGCATGGCACTCGACCTTCCCCCGCACATGTTCAGCGAAAGCCGACTGACGCCCACCTGTACTGCGACATGACACGCGGTAAGGATTGTCACGGCGAGCGCAGTTGGTACACGCGCCAGAGTACTACCTGCCCTTCAGGGACAGGTCGCACACTCTCAATGGACGGATATTGCACGCTGATCGTCATTCGGACGCGGGGCAAAAGGACATGATGTGAAGTTGAGAGACAAGATATAAAACACTGGGCAAGCTACTGCTCAAAGGACAGGACGTCCAGCTGTCTGCTCGTGAACGAACCTACTTCGTTGTGTCCGAGGCAATACGATGAAGATGCGAGTGACGAAGAGCTGTCTTCTTTTTAGCCTGACTGGCTCGTCTCTGGCCTACCCAAAGCGCGAGACATCTGCTGGCCCAGACGCGCAGAAAGCAAAGGCAATCAAAGAGACCTATCAGAGGTCGTGGAAAGGCTACTATGACCATGCGTTTCCGAACGACACTCTCACCCCTTTGACGAACTCATACGTCAATGACAGGTATGTCCTATCTTCTTCCTGAATAGACACTGAATATTCAAATAATGCCGTGTAGGAATCGCTGGGGCGTCACAGCGATCGACGCGATCAGTGCGAGTATCGTCCTTCGCGATGAGAAGAGCGTCAATCAGATCCTCGAATTCGTGCCGACAATCAACTTTACGACCACGGCCGAGCCCGGTGACATTTCGCTGTTTGAGACCAACATTCGCTACTTTGGCGGTCTTTTGTCCGGTGAGCTCGTCCTAGTGGCCACCCCTCTCATCCCATACTTACAGTTCAGCCTATGATCTTCTCTCGCAAGAGCCATGGAGCGACCTTGTCACGAACAATACTCACGTCGAAGCTTGCCTCAAGCAGGCTCAGTCCCTGGCAGACTCGTTGAAGTTCGCCTTTGACACGCCGTCCGGCGTCCCTGACCCTATCATCCAACTCAACCCTGAGCCCAAACGCCATGGTTCGACACAGAACAACATTGCCGAAGCGGGCACCCTCGTTCTAGAGTGGACACGTCTATCCGACATAACAGGAGACCCCCGGTACGCCGAGCTTGCTCAGAAGGCGGAGTCCTACATGCTCAAGCCCTCGCCTCCCGAGACCGAGCCCTTCCCGGGACTGACAGGCACCTTTCTGAGCCTCGAGGATGGCACATTTGTGGACAAAGATGGTGGCTGGGGAGGGTACACGGACTCTTTCTACGAGTATCTGATCAAAATGTTCCTTTACGACCCCGAGGAATTCGGCCTCTACAAAGAACGGTGGATTGCGGCCGCGGATTCTACCATTCAGTTCTTGTCAAGCCATCCTTCCACCAGGGAAGACATTACTTTCCTGGCTCAATACGCCGGCACCGATATCATCCCCACATCTTCTCATTGTAAGTGTGCCCGCAGCACACCGCCTAGCACACATCAGGCTGACCAACACAGTGGCCTCCTTCACCGGCGGAAACTTCATGCTCGGTGGCATCGTGCTCAAGGAGCAAAAGTACATTGACTTTGGACTCACCCTCGCCAATTCCTACTACGAAACCTACCGCGGTATCATCACGGGCATCGGTCCCGAGGGCTTCCGCTGGGTCGACAATACCCTCCCCACCAACTCAACCAATAACCTACAGCCACCTAGTGAAGATGCCGGGTTTTGCGAGAAGGCTGGGTTTTGGGCCACCTCGACCGCCTACATTCTCCGTCCCGGGATCCTCGAGACGCTGTACTACGCCTACCGTGCCACAGGCGACAAGAATTACCAGGACATGGCGTGGGAGGCATACGAGAACATTGTCGCGGCAGCCGAGACGGGTGCGGCGTTTAGCAGCTTGCGCGACGTGACGGTTGTGGGTGGGGGGTACATTGACAAGATGGAGAGCTTCTGGCTGACCGAGACGCTCAAGTATTTGTTCTTGATGTTTGACGAGGAGAGTGAGCTGCAGGTCCAGAAGGAGGGCAGCAAGATGAGATGGGTGTTCAACACGGAGGCGCACCCCGTCAAGATCCGATAGGCAGTCAGCTCACATTACAAGCAAAGTCTCCGTCTTGAATAATAGCATTAGTGATTACATTGGTTGCGTTATGGTCGTTGTTGTACAAGTCGCTGAATACTTAAGAGCCACCATCGCGCTTGGCGTATTCCTCCTCCATGCGCTCTTCATATTCCCTGTCCGCTTGCTTCTCGGCTTCCGTCTTCTCCCGCGTGACGCCTGCACCGGTGTTTGCGCCAGCGCCGGTGGGCTGTTGCTGTGTTGGGAGAGTTGAGGTGGTGGTTGTGGTCTCAGGCTTGTCCTGAGCGGATGCTGAGGTGTTGGTGAAGGATGGAAGGCCCATGTTGAGTTTTGACAAGGTGAGCGTATAAATGTTTGAGGGATAGAGTTTGATTATTTAGGTATTTTTTTTTTACCTCACTGGGACACGGTTCAGAGGAAAGACCCGTCTGTTTTATTCACAGGCTGGTGGAATGTCGATGAAGCTCGTGGTGAAGTTCGACCTTGGTTGTGGCGATAACTGTGGCTGTGCAATACGTCATGTGGCTTGGCACCGGATAGAGCCGGGTGCACCGCCACAGTCTGTCCTGCCTACCCTGTGGACTTCTTTAGCGCCAAGTCGGGGGGAACAAAACGGATGGCTATAAGTCAAAAGACAATTTTGGGTCAATGGCCCTTAAACCCCGAGCCGTCGCTGGAAATGCCAGCTGGGAAGAAAGTGAAACGTAAAATATCGGTACAAAGTTGGGCATGAGAACCAAATCAACAAAATGCATGAAAGATTCCATGTGACAACAGAATAGGTATTATAAAATATTTATCGCTATGCCAAAGGTCCCCCGAAACCAAAAAACACTACCTGTCTGCTTCTCATCTATGTACATATTTCACATGCCTTTTCCGATCCATTTCAGGTGGCTAAAGACTCCCCTTTCAAAACTCCCTGCTCTCACCCAGCCCACAGACGTCAAACACGCCCTCTTCGGGCACCTCTCGTCTCGCCAAAGCCTTGCGCAACAGCTCGGGCGGCTCCATCACCGGCTCCGTCGTCAGCAGCCACGTGCCCCAGTGAATACCAATGGCGCGCTTACATGCCGTGTCAAGAAAAATCTCCACGGCATCGTATGGATTCGCGTGTACCGGGCTGAACGACGCGCGAGGACTGTACGCGCCAATGGGGATCAGCCCCAGATCAAAGGGCCCCTTGTGGTATCCGATCATCTTGAACTGCGGGTTCCGCGGGAGATGGTCGTGCGTGGGCGAGTAATCGTCCTCATCGACAGAGTGCCCAGGCACGGCGCGGTATCCCGTGTCGCCGCCGAAGAACACGCTGCTCCCACCGGACGAGACAGCCCACGAGGCCCAGAGGGTGGTGTCCCTGTCGAACGGCGTGCGGGCGGAGGTGTGCTGCGCGGGGAGACACGAGAATGTCGCCGTCAAGGGCTTTTGTGAGCTGCTCTCGTCGTTGTTGACCTGCGGGACGGTGATGTGGACATTGACGTCCTCCCACCAGTCCATCTCCGTGACGTTTGCGGTCCCTGAGCTGCGAAACCACTTTTCGAGACCGAGAGGGACGAAAAAATGCGCATGGGGGAAATGCTTCTGGACTTCAAGCGATGTGGGGTGCGACAGGTGGTCGTAGTGCGAGTGGCTGATGACCACGGCGTCAACGTAGGGCAAGTCTGCCGCTGAGGCGGGCGCGGGCGTGATGCGCTTGTTGGAGAAGAGATCGAGAGGGAAGGGCGAGCATGACTTTTCAAAGACGGGGTCGAAGAGGACGCGCAGGCCAGAGGGGAACTCGACGTAGTAGGCGGCGTGGCCCAGCCAAGTGGCCCTGAGTTTGGGGGTGTCACGGCTGGGGAGGAAGGTTGGTTTGACCAGAGGAATGGGCAGCGGGTCAGGGACGGTTGGGAACTTCATCTTGCCGGTGAGAATAGGACTGCGGTGGGCATCAATGTCAGTGCGCTGTCTTAATTCTGGTGGTGCCAGGAGCAAGTGAGTCCAGTCACTCACATGAAGATGTGCTTCATGGGCTCGAGTGGCCTGTAGCTGGGATAGGGGTTCTTGAACCCGGTTATGCGTCCATTCTTGACGACATGGTGAGGCCTGGCTTTCTCCTGGTCGGGGACAAGAGCGTTGGCGACGTTGGTCACCTTTGTGACGGGCGCAGAGGTGGTCATGGTGGCTGTGGATCTGAGCAGTATTCTAGGGACTGTCATTCGAGGAGACGAGAGCATCATGGGGAGCGAAGTCGACCTGAGGGGGGAGGCATGGTCGAGATAATATACGGAAGCTCAATGGCGTTCGAACATGGCATTTGGTGAGATCGGAGGCTTTGCGCCCGGGTACCAGCACGGCACGTGGGAGATGGATGCATCAACGGACTTAGGGCCATTTATTAAGTGCGTGAGGCAGTGATCTTGCCACAGGGCAATTGTCATCTACAGAAGGCATAATTATATGTACGTATACCTATGAGTCCTCAGTCGAAACATAAGTCATTTCCCACAAGGACGACAAGTCAATCGCTTCCAATTGCCAGACTTCCACGATATCAAAGCAGCAGAAAAAATGTATGAGATCATGACGAGGCCTAGACCCAAAGAGGCGGCCGCAGCGAATGCCGCCCTCCCGCAATCCGAGCGCTAGCTCCGTTCCGGAGATAGGGGCGTGGCGCAGTCCGAGACTAGTCTAGTCAGCTCACTCATTTTAGGATAAGCTACAAGTTTGCAAGTGTCCACGAACGACAGACTTGTGAGACCCGAAATGCAAATGGTATTGAAAAGAAATAGACACGCTATCCAACGCCCTCCTCGCATCAGTCATCAATATCATCAGTCAACCAGCTCCCCCGCGCGCTCACAGCTCTTCGTCGAGCCTCACGGTACCCTCGTCAGCACCCAGCTCCCCCTCGAGCTCCTCCGTCACAAAGCCCTCGTAGTCGTCCAGGCCCTTCTGCACATGAATCTTGAACTTGATCACGTCGTTCAGCATGCGGTCAATCTCTGTATGGAGCTCCTCTCGGAGTGAGTTGGCCCGCAGTACCAGCTGCTCGTACCTGTCCTAGTCAGCATCGACCGCAAGAGAAACCGAGAGAGTGCAACGTACTCAATCGTGGTGTTGATCTCCCGCTGCTCCAACAGCTGCACACCCTCACTCAGACCCGCCCGCATCTGCGACAGTTCTTTCTCAATCTTCTCAATTTGCGCATCCGAGTTGAGCTTCTGCGCCTGGGTCACCTCTTTGGTCTTCTCCCACTCTTGTTCGGCCGCGCGGACACGGTGGTTGAGCGCTTCGACCTCGCTACGCTTGTCCTCAATCGCTTCCTTGATGCCATCCAACAGGTCGTGATCTTTCATCATATCCTCCATCGCAGCGCTTCTTCGCTCGGATATTTCCTTGCGCAGCGAGATGAAGTGATTGCGGATGGACCCGCGAAGATCTAGGTTCAGAATGTGGCCAGGCTGATATCCAGTGGTGGGGTCCTCCAAGAGCCGCCCTGTCGATGCTGCGTTGACCGAGGTTTTGAAATTCGATGATGTAAAATCCGAGTTGTCGCTGACCTGGATCTGGAGCTCGTAGTCTTGTCCGTGCGCATTGGCAGCGGTCGAGGGTATCAGGGCAATCTGGTACGCGACTGTGTTGTACCGATCCACTGTGCGCTCCAGCTCCTCCAGCTTGCGGCCCGCTTCGGCCTCTCTGTCAGATGCCTTCTTCTTGACCTCCTCCAGACGCTGGCTGGCCGACTCAATGCCCTTTTGCAATCGCTCGCGCTCGGAATTCATGCGGTCGATATCCTGCATGCTGATTCCCTGAGCGTCCACCGATTTCTGTAGACTCCGTCTCTCGTCCTCGGCTTCCGATACCTCAGCATTGAGCTTCTCCAGTTCCTCCTCGAGGACCTGTATCCGGTTCTCGTATTTGTCGGTGCGCTGCATGGCCAGGTGGTTGTACTCTTCAAACTTTGCCTTGTCCTCCTCCATGATTTTGAAGTGGTTGTCGAGCACAGCAGGGTCGGGCGTCGCCTTTTGCAGGTCCTCAATCTCCTTGAGCAACCGCGCATTCTCGGCTTCCAGCATCTCAAGTTCAGACGTGTACTTGGAGTTGCTCTCCTGAAAGGCCACCGCCATGTCCGCCACGTGCGGCGCCAGCACACGCTCCGCCTCCTCGTCTCCCATATCTTCATCCATAGCCAGCCAGTCCTTATACGCCGTGCTCAAAAAGTGGAAAATGATGCGATCGCCGCTGACGTCGACGCCGCTCTCCATACAAGCATCGTCGTACCGCCCAGCAGCAAACCCATCCAGCATCTGCGCCAGCTGCATCATCCAGTGGAGCAGCCCCAGGAATGTGTACCAGTTCTGTCCACCGACTGCGGCGATCTGGCTCTTTGTGATGCTCCGTTCGAACGGGTACCGTAGTTGCTTCAATATCGGCGGGACTTCCTGGTCAATGTTCTTTTGGAAGCGGTGGCTCGGGTCGATGCGGTGATACAGCCATTGGAACATGTAATTAAAGTCCTTTTGCGTGGGCGACTTCATGACGTTGGCCGAGAGAACGTGCTTCATCTCCAGCTCAAAGTTGTGGTGCGTCATGTACTCCATCAACTCCTGACCCAGGCGCGCCTGGTAGGAGCGATCTCTCAATGGGCGGGGATCTCTCGGTACCCCAGCTGCTTGGGGCGTCGCTTGAAAAAAACTCTGGCCGCTGACCGGCGCGTCCCTTGATTGACGCGGGTGGTATACACTGCTTCGTCTGTCGACATCGCGAGTCGCGGCAGCCGGGGTGAAGCTTCCCTTTGGCTGATACGACTGGCGTTTGTTGGCGCTGTAGTCGCCGCCGATCGAGAAGCGCGGCTGGCTCGGTCGCGACATCGCGAGAGATTGTCGCGAGCCCGACACGGAGCGGCCAGCAAAGTTGGTGCTGCTCGATCGCTTCATGGTCGAGCCAGGTTGAGGGATTGCTGTGTTGTTGGTGATGCCGCCCAGGGTCTGTGTGGATGAACATTAGCATTGGCGCGATGCGACGGGATGCGTTTCGCAGGAGCAGCTAGTGCGTACCTCGCGAGGTCTACGGACGGACCACAGACCCGTGTCCTGCGACATTGCGGCCTCGGAGTCGTAGGTATCGTTGCGTCGTGAATCGTAAGGTCGTCAAGGTCGTGATGACTACTGTGAAAATAAGGACTTGAGCGCGCGACAATGCGCAATCCGACGTGGAATGGCCTGTGACCGAAAAGTATTGGTGTTGCTGGGCATGAAAGTAAACAAAACCGCAGAGTGACTTTGATTGGTGCCCATAGTGGGCCTATCTCAAGCTGTGCTCTACTGTGTCGCGCGCGCACGTGACGCGTCATCTCCAGACTCCAGCCGAGACGCCGGCAGGTGGAGCTTGCTTGTCCGTCGTCACTGCTGCCTCGGCCCAAGACCGGCCTGATCAATTGCCCACCCACCTGATTTCACAGATCGACGAATCTGGTAGTTATTCGATTGTCATCTTCCATCAGCGACAAAGGTGTGATGCGATAGCAGCATCCACGGCCGGCAAGATGTCAATTCGCGAAGATCTCGTCGCCTCAGCGGTATGTATCCCGTCCCCAAGTTGTTCGTAGGATAAGCTAACAGCGAGCGCAGGTGCAATGTCAGTTGCCGTACCCTTGACTCACATCCAGCGAGGCTAACAAGTGACAAAGTCCTCCAAGACCCGAGCGTGGCGTCTTCGTCCGTCGAGAACCGCATCTCCTTCCTCCGCTCCAAGAACCTCACTCAACAAGAAATCGACAATGCACTAGCGAGGACAGGCGCGCCTCCTGCGCCTGCGCAGCAGGCATCTTACCCACAGTCTGGGCCCCCAGCGCCCTACTATCCCCCATACGCGCAACAAGCATGGCAACCGCCGCCTCCACCGCCGAGGAGAGACTGGAGGGATTGGTTCATTGCGGCGACTGTGGCTGGCGGCGTTGGCTATGGACTCTACGCATTGGGCAAGGTATGTCATTCAGACACATGGCCATGGGATCGCGCTGACCTATCAGCGATATGTGATGCCTCTAGTAGCGCCACCGACGCCAGAGAAGCTGGAGCAAGACAAGAAATCCATCGAAGAGCAATTTGACCGCGCATTCGGCCTCGTCGAGCAGCTTGCCAAGGACACCGAGGAGCTCAAGAAGGCCGAGCAAGCACGGAGTGACCGCCTCGATAACGCTCTCACCGACCTCGAAGCTGTCATGTCTGATCTCAAGGCTGCCAATCGGAGACGCGAGGATGACGCTCAGCGCGTGAGGGAGGAGGTACAGGGGTTGAAGGACAGTATTCCGAAGGCATTGAACAACCAAAAGGAACTGGCGGACACACGTTTGCGAGAAATCAACGGGGAACTGGGCAGTCTGAAGACGCTGGTCACCCAGCGGATGAGCGCCCCAGCCGCGTCTTCGCCTGCCGCCCCTTTGCGCAACGGCACCCTAGCGTCAACAAATGAGCCGTCAGGGACAACCGTTGAGACTGCCTCAGAACCATCCGCCGCTGCAAGCTCTCCTTCGACGGAATCGCCCAAGAAGCCTTGGGCGCCGACCCCGCGCGCTAAGCCATCCATTGGTGGAAAGGCCGCCATCCCAGCTTGGCAAATGGCTGCTGCGAAGAAGGAGCAGGAGGAGGGTGGCTCGTCAGCTACTACACCAGCACCAGCCAAGGTGGAGGATGAGCCTGCCGCATCAGCGTCTTCTTCGTAAAGAAGGCGACGTCGATAGATGTACTGTATGTAATGGAGCGTTTGTGTTTGGCCCTTCTTGTCCACAAAATGCTGTGAAGATTCTTGCTGGTCGTGACGCTGGTTTGAGAAATTTGTGATGCGAGGGCCAGAGGGTCACTGAAACTAACGCGTCCAATTGACGCCCAGCCCGATATCATAGCCAGGCTCCGCGACGGCAATTCCTAGTGGCATGAAGGAGATGCCCGACACGACACACCGATGCCGTGATAAGAAGGATCGCGTAGCTAGAGGACGTACGCTAGCATATCTCAAGCCTACGAGCCATCGACAACGACTCCAGAGCCTATCGCCACGAGACGCGAGTCATGGGCGAGTTGGCCTCATGCCAGTTGGTTATGGTGGTGCTGGAAGGAAAGTCACTTAAGCTTCGTAGGTACTCGAGAAAACCGTATATTTCACGGCGATTTTTCGTCGTATACCACCACGCGTATACTGATTTATATTGCTGTGGAAAAGTAACCGCCTCCGCGGGAGAGCTCATGTGCTGACATCAGGCATAGGAGCGAGCATCTTGTATACGCCGCCTTACTTTAAGTTCAGGCAATCCAACGCCACAATGTTCTCTCAAGCACTAGATAAGTCAACAGACGCCGCTTCCTATCCACAGCGCCCATGTGACTTTCTTACTCAACAATATTCAATTCGAATTCGCCTCGCCAAGATTAACCTGGAGTCTAAGGCAACATGAGCCGCCTCGCTGGCGAGCGACACTGTTCGTGTGGGCGGAGAACATTCCCAGATTAATGAGGCACGGCTTCCAGTGGTCGCATGACCACGTCCAATCTGGCGCGGGATCAATGGACCTGAGGAAACGGACGCCTATGCTGCTTCTACGGCGCTATCGACACATGAGAAGATATTTGGTCCACGGTCACGGGTGGCAGGGCTATCTGTGCGCATACGCTATAAAGAAATCGACAATCATCGACTTCGACCTGGAGTGGATAAAGAAAGACACAGTACAGGAGGTGGTTGCATACAACTGGAGGCGTGAGAAGGTCTATCAAGCGCGGCCACAGCTGGGACATTGCTTCAACGCCGTCTACGACCAGATGCCGCTCCAGGGATGGTGGCCATGGCCAAAGTAGGCTGGAAGAAAGAAACATTACGGATACTATCAGATTATGAGCCAAATGCATGGAAATGTTTCATTCTTCCATGTCACTTATGCATGGAATCTGTGACGCCTTCATTGACACGTGTACCCCACCCTCCTTCTCAACCCCGTGCCGAGGCCGAATCGATCTTGATGGTACCCACCTTTTCGTCCCAGTATGATGGATAGAAAGCATCCTATTGAGCCAAATCCCCTCGACGCTATGCTTCGTCTGGGAATTCATCGCGAAACCCGGCGGCTCGGCTCGTTCTCATAGAAGCCTTCCCAGTTCCCGGTTCCCTGTTCCCACCTTACTCGCAAGGTGTGACTTGTTGGACAAAGCCCAACTCCGCATATTGTCATGGCAGACCGATCATTTGATCGTTTTCTCTCCCTTGCTCTCTAGAGATCTCCTCTACATCCCTCCCTTCTTCCTTCTAGCTAGCCTCTGGATCAAAGAGGGCACCGACGACAGAGATGGATCTCCAAAACGTCAGGTTGCTGCTCATGCTCTTGCCAAGAGTGCCACTCATCGCGCGCATGACAATACTGCATCTGCTGCACCTCTCCGAATCGTCAAAGTACCTGGACCTGAGATCGACTCTTACAATAGGCGTGCTCAGAAGTTTCCTGACGCCAACGCCAGGGAAATCTCGGAGCATCTCTGCTGTTCAGAAACTGACACTACGAGATCCGGGTGTCAAGGGGCGGATATGGGTCGCCACGTACACGGCACCTGAGCCGGTCGGGTCCAACGTCAAAGACATACTTCACAGGGCTGTGAAGGACTTGAGAGACCCTGGTCTTGGCGCGTTCGAATTTGACATGCCAGAGCTCAAACCCGTCGAGGCAGAATGGACAGGCTATCGGAAAGATGCTTCGGCAGACGAAGCACCACCTGATGTACCAGAGCAAGCCAAGTACCAGAAAATGATGGAGGAGGTCACCAGTCCCACGACCATATTGTACCTCCACGGAGGGGCGTACTACCTCTGCGACCCGGCCACGCACCGTGCGACCAGCAAGAAACTCGCCAAAATCACGGGAGGCAGAAGCTACTCCGTCCGCTACCGACTTGCGCCGCAGGCCCCATTCCCATCTGCTCTTCTCGACGCCCTTGTGTCCTATCTGACCCTTCTCTATCCGCCCGAGGGAGCGTGGCACGATCCTGTGCGGCCAGAGAACATAGCTATGGCAGGCGACAGCGCAGGAGGAAATCTCATTCTCGCCCTACTGCAGCTCGTCCTCCACCTGCAACGAACGAGCCAGAAGGTTCTCTGGCAGGGGGAAGAACGCGATGTCCCTGTGCCCAGCTGCGTGGCCTGCAACTCGCCATGGCTAGACATTACACAATCGTCTCCCTCGTGGGAAGGCACCACGCCCGCACCGTGGGATTATCTACCGAAACCAGAGCAAGTGGCCTCGTCAGAGATAGAGCCTTGTTCTATATGGCCTGCCACACCCGAGCGGAAGCATCTTTATGTCGCGGACGATCTGATCACCCACCCACTTGCATCCGTGGTGGTGAACAGCAGCTGGAAGGGTGCTCCGCCTGTGTACATGTGCACAGGCTGGGAGATACTCGCCTTGGAGGACAAGTATTTTGCCAAGAAGCTTGAGAGCGAGGGAGTCACGGTTGTCTTTGAGGAGTACGAGGCCATGCCGCATTGTTTCGCCATGATTTTGGACAAGACTGCGAATGCTGCGCGGTGTTTCGAAGGATGGGGTAGGTTCATTCGTACGTGCACAACAGGAGGCACGGTAGAGTCGAGCGCTGTCGAAATCAAGGCGAAGACTCGGGATGAGAAGGTGTTGGCATTTGACAAGCTGAGCAGCGTCAAGGACGAGGACATGGTAGAGCGTGTGCAGAAGAAGGGCGAGCTCCTAGCCAAGCTTTGAATAGCACGCACACATTCATGGAGTCTGTTTTTAGGTTATGGTTCCACTGGGTCCGCAGTCTGGCAAGGCGTTGGGCGTTTGGGATGGTCTTTGGAAGAATCGAAATACATCTGATAGGCGCTGATATACATGGCACATGCGGGTCCCCCGAATGTGCTCACCATGGGCTTGTCACCGGCCACGGTATGGGCACTGGAGACCTTGAACTCGTTAATGATGTCGATCACCGCCTGGACGCCCCAATCACCGCAGCATGGCATGTCAAAGGACGGGAACAGCGTGAAGCCGCCAATGGGCTCGGCGGCCCTGTACGCGTTGCGCAGCTGAGGGAGCGTCCAGGTGTCCGTGGGGCCCGTCATGTTGACGGCAAAGCTATCGATGCCCAGATTCTTCGCGGCGCAGATGTCGGACGTCCATTGGTCTTGTGACTGGCCGTCTGTGAGGCCGACCATGTAATGGGCGAAGACTTGTCGAGCGGCCATTGTGAAGGTGTGTTGCAGATTAGCAAGCAAGGTATGCCGTGATCAAATGAGAATCGATACGATGTGATCAATGCTGATGCACAGCAGATGAATGAAGAGGGCACATAGCCTCTTTTTGTTCGATCTAGCAACTTAAACGGGTCCTTTCGTCTTCGTACTCAAGGTGTCGATACAACGCTGTGATCCTACAGTCCGACCCTTCAAGCAGCAAAGGTCCGACACGGGCCACACGACCTTGCAGACGTAACGACGGCAGTTGGACCACGAGGTGCTAGTTCCCAGTACGAGGGGGAAAGCGCTTCCTTCGAAGACACACCACCACCGCACTGATGGCTGGAGTGCGTAGCGATGTCTGACGTTTCTCGCCGCGACGCCCGCGACGCCGACACCCCTAGGCCCGTTCCAGCACTCCAGCTAAGCACCACGAGCAAGGCTGGCTGATCGGTCAGATCGGGAAGGTAATTGAGATGATGCGCCGAAGGGGACCATCCCCACCGGCGGGAGCGCGAGGGAACAACAAATGTGGAAGTTCAACTTGAAATGATCAAACGATGATGAGAATTTGAATCTGCGCTGCGCCAGGCCGAACGTAAGTCGAGGCTTCTGTGGCTATCCTATACTGTGACTGCTGTCCGTTTGACCATCGTTTGGTGAGTCTGGAGACCTTCACTGGCGATAATCATAGGCAGATGATAATGCATCCATTACTGGAAGGCTTGATACGTATTAAAAATAAAAGCAAATACAGAGTGAGTGTCTTGGCTGGGATACGATCCAACATCAATAATGAAATGGCCGTGGGAACTCATTGTCTTGCCCTTTCGTGACAAGGGAAACCCACGAGAAAAACTCAACCATCAAAGCCTCATGCATTGACATGGTTGAAGCCAAAAACTACTGGCTGTTTTTCTCAGCCCGCTTCTTCAAGGGTCTCCGACTGAACGCGTGGAAGCGCCCCCTTGACTTGACACAGTACATCTGCACTTTGAGTGTTCGATCCTGGGCCCCATTATCCATATCACTTGCAGCTGTCTACAGCGGGAAAGACAATGTGCAATGTCCATGCGCGCATTGCGGAAGCAACACCTCTGCCCAATGGCTAGGCAACATGAATCTTTCAGCATGTGAGGGCTCCAATCAGTGTCTGCAGGTTGTCCGCCACCCGCCATCCGTGCTTGACACCGAAATACTGGCTGTTGTTTGTGTGATACAACGAGCCTCACTGCTGTAGTCGGGTTGCAGGTTGGTTGCCTTGCAGATCGCCTTGAGGTTCAAGAAAACGAGAGATTCCTCTCGATACAACAAACTGACAATTGAACCGTGGAAGGCCTTGGTCATATTTCCCTGCCAGTAGTTCCCGTACCCCAGACTACTACTGTTCTTTCAACATGAAGGGAAATGCGCAAGATGAAACGAGGCTGAACACAAGGCGGCTCAAACTTGAGGTTCAACAGCAATTCCTACACCATCTCCAAGCTCCGGGAGGGCTGCCTTGCCACGTCGAGCAAATACATCCGGCAGCACACAATGCACACTGGCTGGACACCGCACCATGCGGTGCGAAAATGCACTGTTCTCAGCAACCTGTCAAAGAAGGCTGGGGTTGAGCCTCAGGGAGCCCAAGTTTGCAGTTGCGTTGTACATGTACGCGAGACGCCTTTGTGACATGAAATCTGATGGCGTTTGCCTTGTGCGACAGAGGATGTGACTGATATAAAGAAGCTTGCTCTTGACATAGAAACCCTCCAAAGACCACAGCATGGAATATTCTGAAAGTTAAGGGGAATTCCGTTGACTGCCCTTAATCATATTGCCACTGCAGGTCGGAGAGAATGGGATCTTCACACAAGAGCTCAACCACATCATCGTCATCCTCTTCCTCTTATTCATCCTCTTCATCGTCCTCTTCATCAAGCTCCCCCTCTTCCTCCTCACATTCGCCTTCCTCTTCTTCCAGATATACCACCCACACGCAAATAGACTCCAAGCGCTCGACCTTATTCGGCATGATAGCGTACACAGCTGGCGCCAACCGACGCTGCGACGCGATCCGCAAAACTTCTCTCTCGCCTCCCCGGTCTCGAGCTTCTAGAACGGGTTGCTCCAAGGGGAACCCTGATGATGACTTGTTCTGGGTCGCGACGAAGACAAAGTCTGCGTCAGAAAAAAGGGGCCTGACACGGAGCAAGTTGGAGAAACTGAATCATCCGCCGTCCGGTCCTAAGAGGCCCTTCGACCCGCCGTCTGCTGCACCCAGGGGACCTATTGGAGGGATGTTTTTTGCTGGATCACAGAAACCTCCTCCTATGAGCGGAATGGGTGGCCTGCCACCAGGTGATGGACGTATGCCGCCGAAAGCAGCTGGCCCCCCTGGCGGGTTCAGACCTCCAATGGGTGCAGGCTATTAGCTCTGAGAAGGGCAGGTGGTGTTACCCTAGATGAGCCAAACTTCATCGAGAGTCTGAGTTTAAATGAATATGATTCAATGTTAAGCAGAGTATGGCAGGGTGAGCTGATGTTCAGATCCAACAGTGCACTCTTCGCTTCGCTTGTACTATCCAGACAACATGTAGGGTATCGTCTATGTCTCTGACGATGTTGACATACATCGTTTCAGAGCCTCGTTTCTCTTCACAGTCAAGAATGTCAGACTCCACAACTGCCGAATATTGCTCTCCGTCGGATTGTAGTCCCCCAGGGGCACCGTCACAAACCCCTCTCCATCCCCATACTTCCAGCTCCAGACCTCGTTGCCCAGGATGCTCCGATTATCCTTAATCACATCCCAGAGCCTGTTGTACGCGCTCAACACCTTGCTGTGCAGCGCTTCGTCTGTGAAGAAGTCAGGGGCGTCATCAGAGACCAGGCAGCGACCGGGCTAGTGCTCGAGACCCTTCGCCATCATGATCAGCTGCCAGCCCCAGACCAAGGTGCCGTGGTAGTCGTCGTTAGTAAAGTTGGCGCTGTAGATTGCATCAGAGCCGTCGGCCGGGTTAGCGACAAACAGGCCTACATCGGCTGTGAGGACGATAGGGAAGGTGGCCAAAATGTGGTCTGCCGTCTGGCTGATGAAGGAGCTGAGCTGTGTCTGGTTCGTCGTATTGAGGAGGAAGTGGCGGAAACCGTCGTCCGTGTTGTATGGGAGTCTCTCGTCAATGCCCACATATAGGGCAAAGAAAAGCCCTCCGGGGTCTTGCACCATTGGTCTCATCAAACCAAGCATGACGGCTTAAGAAAAGAAGCCACGCTGATTGGGGCGCCAGCACGGTCATGTCAGGCTTCCAACTTCAATGTGACTCTGTCGGATCCTTGGCGGGGGAAGCCAAACACCCCGCGTTCTTCAATGGCTAATTTAGGTACGCTTTACTTTGATCCTGAACGGATCGTCATCTGAGACACCACACTCGGGGACGAGATTGTGGAAAGGGGGAGTGCGTCGGAGCAGTAGCCGATGTAGCACCATGTGCGGAACTGCCGATGCACAGGCGCAGGCTCCAGACCTTCGTTCGAAATGAGCCGAATACAGCCGGATTGTATCTTCCAGGCGAGAATGGTCTCTCAAGTCCATTTCCATTAAGGGGGCAAAGATTCCCGGGAAACGGGAGCAGACGACTTCCCTCGGTAGCCTCATGCACCTTACGTGGTCGTGAGCAAGAGGACTCGCATTATCAGGCTTCGCACCATCTCCAAGAAAAACGAGCGCCTCCCCCTCCCCCGGGTTTGTTCAGACTTTCCATCCAAACAAGTCTGTACGTACGCAACACAGCCGCTGCCACCGCCGCAGCATGTGCGCTACTTCCGCGGATTCTGGCCCAAGCCGAAGGACCCTATGAGCCGACCTGGGACTCGACAGACAGGCACAATGCGACCCTTGAGTGGTTTCTAGATGTCAATTTTGGTGTATATTGGCACTGGGGCGCCTTCACAACGCCCCAGTACGGTTCAGAGTGGTATGGACGCAACATGTACATAGCCGATTCCAACGAGCACGACCACCCCAAGAATGGGGCTATGACAGGTTCATCACCGGAGGCAAAGAACTCCAGGGCAATGACGTCCAATTCAATCCCGTCCTGGCCTCCGAAGGCGGCGAGTTCGACCCGGCCGCGTGGATGCGGGTCATCAAGGCCTCGGACGCACGCTTCGCAGGACCTGTTGCTGAGCATCACGATGGCTTCTCCATGTGGGACAGTGAGGTCAATGAGTGGAACTCGGTTGATCTTGGCCCCAAGATTGACCTGGTCAAGCTGCTCGCCGACTTGGTGCCTGAAAACGATATGAAGCTGGTGATTGCCATGCACCAGGCCTTCAACGTCAACGGCTTCTTCGCGCACGCGCCCCAGCAGGACGATCCCAGCCTAGGCACGCTGCTGGGCCAGGTGCCCGCGAAGAGGGCGACCAGAGGTGGCTCAAGAAGCAGCTCGAGGTGCTGGATCATGTCCAGCCGGACATGATCTGGTACGACTTTGCACTGGACAGCCCGGGGTATTGCCAAGGCGACAGCGACCATCGCTCCATTGGTGAGGATGAGCGTTTGAAATTCTTGGCCCACTACTTCAATTGCGGCGTCGAATAGGACATGGACGTCCTGACCACATACAAACCTCTTGTCGATGGGTTCCATGATACCTCAGCTGTCGCGGACTGGGAGCGCGGTGGTCCCGCCGAGCTCACGCGCCCGTGCTGGCTGACTGACGAGGCCATCAGCGCTACCAGCTGGAGCTACACCGAGGGTATCTCCTATTACAGCATCCCATCCATGCTCCATTCGCTGCTAGATCGCGTGAGCAAGAACGGCAACATGCTGCTCAACATCTCGCCCACTACTGTAGGTGTTATTCCACAGGAGCAGGAGGACGTCCTGCGCGCCATTGGCGACTATCTCGGGCGCTATGGCAAATCTGTATACGGCACGCCAGCCTGGAATATCTACGGCGAGGGCCCCAACATGGCCGGCGGTGGTTCTTTCACCGCACCCCTCGTCGGTAACAGCAGCGTCATTCGCTTCACGCGCAACAAGGAGAACAATGTGCTGTACGCAGCTGGGCTGGGCTGGCCAGAGGACAGGAAGGTCTCGATTCAGAACCTCGGCTCCGATGCGCTCGTCAGCCTCGAAAGCTTGCAGTCCGTGCAGCTTCTTGGCGACGACGCCAGTCAGCAAGCGAATGCCGAGTGGGAGCAGACTGACGAGGCGCTCGACATCACCTTCCCCGAGCAGCCTGCCGAGTCGTGGGCCTATGCCCTCAAATTGACATTCGACCAACGCATCCCGGTGCCTCAGCCCAAAGAGGGCGCGTCCATCTTTTCGGGGAGCGAGGCGCAGGGCGAGGGTGTCACGCTTGGCTTGGGTGACTTCAAGCGTATCTTCATGACTGAGGCTGGGCTCGCGCCCAAGAAGATTCGCTCCATTCGCGTCTCGCCCGGCTCCAAGGGGACGCTCTGTGCGAACTGGGACCTCAAGGGCGCGAGCACGGAGTTGGGCGCTGGTGAGCACAGGGTGGAGGCGTGCTCAGTGGGCTCCATCAGGATTGAGAATGTTTAAGGAAGCAGAATAGGTCTCTATGGGCGTGGCAAGGTTCTTTTTGTCGCTAGCATTTTGCGGGAGAACAACTGTATGAAGTTTTGTGATTGCTGCCTATGTTCTGTTAGTGCCACTGAAGCTAGGAAAAGATGCGCATATCTGTAATGCATGTCGACTGGAGTTGATATGCAAGAATCGGGATACCTGATTATGAGATTCTAGGCTCTTAGAACCCCGGTATGCCGATATTCGTTTCAACCTTCGTTCACCTAACTAGGACCACCATGTTTCCCGATGTATTTAAGCTTCACACAATTGTTGTTTACAAGCAAATGACGCGACAACAGTGAACAATGGCCCGTTGTACTCCGTACAACAAACAGAATCCTTCCGGCTCCGCTGCCGGTACGCGTTGACCTAGTCACCGCCCCCCCCCCCCCCCCCTCACAGCCCTGTGAGGCTGACTGGCGGACACAATCCCACCCACACCATCAGTTCAAGCTCAAAGTCCAAAGGCATCAATCAGTCGATCGGATTGTCCAACGGACAGAATGCAACCCAGCGAACACTTTACGCTGCCGTCATGGTTGCATGAGCCTACCGCCTGGACCGGCGTGGCCGCTGTAAGCTCAGCCACAACAGTGAAGTTGTTGGCCTCCACGACATTGAAGCAACGCGTCTGCACTGACTCCTACACACGAGCAGACAAGTACTTTTCTATCCACCTGGATGCTTCCGATGACTGCCGTCGCCGTGAAACTAGTCTCAGGACTCCCGGAGGTTAGCTTGCCTCACAGCTTATTGCCAATGCTCCCCCACGCCCACCGTGACCTACGGTTTACCCCTGCCCGAGTGACTCGAACTGCAGATCCATGGGCGCATAGCATGTACGTAAGTCCCCCTCCAGGCTGCTAGGTGGCACAGCATCAGCACGCTGTTTGTGCGACACCACGGCCAACCTGCATGGCAACGAGGAGGCGGCGATTGGTCACCATGAACATGACTGGCTCTGGGGTCTTATATCACGCAGTTAGGGCTGCCTTGAGCTGGCCGCGGTATTCGCTAAGGTACTGCGCACCGTGCCTTAGGTGAGAAGATGGACTAGGCATCAACGCAATCACGTTACTCCAAATATCATATAACTGCCCTGCTCTCGCACTTCCGGAATCTACATGTCAGATATCCATCAAGGCTGGAGTCTTTTCTTGTTCGACCCCCTGAAGAAACTCCTTCCATCGCTCAGAGTGACACCGTTTTGCCGATGGAGGTGAACGATGCTCCCTCACAGGGCTCGCCCAACACTACCTCTCAGCAGCAATTCGCCGTACTCGACATGTTCATTCCCGGCTTCTCGCTGGTCTCTTCTCTTGCGCAGGCGTACCTGGGTATCGACCTCAACCTCTACATCCCCATGCTGATGGTCCTTGTGAGTACCTCTTTCGCATGGAGCTATATCTCTTCCATGCTGTACGGCCTCATTGAAAGCCATCTCATGTCTTCTGTGCGGATCCGTACCGATGATGAGATCTTCAACATGATCATGGCGTGGGTCGCCACGCAAAATTTCTCGCGCAAGAGTCGGCGCTTTATCGCCAACACCAACCTCAACTCGAGGGCCTGGTCCATGTGGCGCTTCTTCAATGATGAAGACGAGGATGAGGATGAGGACGAGGAGCAAGACTGGCGAAAAAAGGAGACCAGCAAGAATAAGAAGCAGTTGCGATATACACCCAGCTATGGCACTCATCTCTTCTTCTTCCGGCACCGGCCTCTCCTGTTCGAGCGCTGCGAGAATCGGGAGCAGATGGGATCCCTGATGATCTCCGAGAAGGAGGAGATTATTATCTCATGCTTTGGTCGTAGCGCCGATCTGATCAAGGAGCTTCTGCACGAAGCACGGGAGCAGCACATGGCCAAGGACGAACAAAAGACGCTCATCTACCGGGGTGGGAGTGATGGGCAGGGGGGCGACCTCACTTGGAAGCGCTGCATGGCTCGGTCAACGCGGCCGTTCTCGACAGTAATTCTCAACGAGAAGGTCAAGCAGGAGCTTGTGGACGACGTCGCCGACTATCTCGCGCCAAAGACCCGAAAATGGTACGCGAATCGCGGCATTCCCTATCGACGAGGCTACCTCCTCCATGGGCCTCCCGGCACGGGCAAGAGTTCGTTGAGTCTGGCGTTGGCTGGCTATTTCCGAATGAAGATTTACATCCTCTCGCTGAGCTCGCCCATGGCTACCGAGGATAATGTGTCGCAACTGTTCGCATCCCTCCCCATGCGCTGCGTCGTCCTGCTGGAGGACATTGACAGCGCTGGCCTCACACACACGCGCGAAGGCGAGAGCAGAAGCAAGGACGATGCTGCGTCCCCTCCCGCTCCCGCCGCAGAGAACAAGGCGGTCCCCCACACGGGCAGGCTCTCTCTTTCCGGTCTCTTGAACATTCTCGACGGCGTCGCCTCGCAAGAGGGCCGCGTGCTCATCATGACAACCAACCACATTGAGAAACTCGACAAGGCCTTGATCCGCCCCGGTCGCGTGGATATGACGGTCGAGTTTGGTCGAGCGGATCCTGGCATGACGGCTTCCATCTTTCGAGCCATGTACACACCTTTTGAGGGTGAGGAGACACCTTCCACAAGCGGTCCCAACAGCCCTGCCCCCTCGCCAGCCAAGAAGGGTACAAAAGCGCTGAAGGACACAGCTCTTGCAGAGAAACAGAAGCTGCGTGACGACGAGGCCCGGAACCGGGCCACTGAGCGCATTGTTGACCTGTCCCATCAATTCGCCGCCAAGATCCCATCCGGCGAGTTCTCACCCGCCGAGATTCAGGGTCTTCTCCTACGACACAAGCGTTCGCCTCTCGCTGCGATCGATGCGGTAGACAGCTGGATCACATCCACTCGCAAGGACAAGATGGAGCGGGAGGCGCGGGAGGCCGAGGAGAAGGAGAAGGCGAGGAAGAAGGCGGAGAGGGAGAAGCGGCGCAAGGCCAAACAAAAGGCCAAGAAGAAGGCCAAAGGCGAGGACGTCAGCTCGTCGGGATCAGGCTCGGATTTGGAGATTGAGGCCCAAGAGCAGGCTGGAGGGAAAGATACAAGGAGCAAGGCCACTCCGGACTCGGGGTACGGAACGTCCTGATGATTGCACGATGGAATGAATGCCACTGGCAGAGAGCAGAATGAGACAGTTTAGGATAGACTTGGAGATGATTTTGCTCATCCAGCCGGACTGATGTAGCGAGTATGGTGTTACGAGATACCGCCAGTTTTCCCCCATATAGACAACCACCCGTCCATTCTTGATTGCCTATGAAAACTACGTTCTGGAAATCAGGAGTCTCGTTTAATAGCATCTCGACAAAACAGCATATGTGCTTGCACCTAGTCCCTCATGCTTCTACCCAGTGGCTTCCTTTGTCTGTGGTCTTACCGTCATGCGCACGCGATCCAGTCCAAAGCCTCCATGTGCCAGCCCCTGTGTCGCTGCAGGCCTAGGGGGATTAGGGTCTACAAGCCACGACTCTCGCTTTTTGATAGTTGAACACGATAAGTAGCACCAGTGCTTGGATCCAGTTGCCCCTGTCTCTGTCATGGTGCTTCCATTGTCGTCTGACCGTCGTGAGCGGCGTTCCATTCCAAAGGTTCCATGTGCCAGCCCCCTCTGTCGCTGCCTGCTCAGCTTGCCCGCTCGCCGGCTCCTCGACGCGCGTGTGCGTGACGCAACAAAGCTCCCTCGAAGAGACGTCTCCGGATTCCCCTCCCAGTACAGGCAGCAGTCGCGATGTCATGATTTCAAATCATCTCCATCGCTTATCGTGCACAGCCTCGTCTTCTCTGCACGAACCCATCACTCTCAGCTTCGCCATTGCGAGTCATCGTACGATGTTTCGAAGCGCATCCAAGAGCAGGAGTTGTTGATCGTGCAGTTCTGTCGATTTGAGTCGTAGCCAAGGCCAGCACAGCCACCGGATGCATGTGCCGTGGACCATGGACATCGATATCAACAGACTGGGCGTTGATCGTTCAAGGCGGCAGACGTGTGATGGATGAAAAGCCAAGTCACACTCGGGGAGATGAGATGTCGTTCGAAATCGAACCATTTCGTTTCCCTGGCCAGAAGCTCTAGTGCCTTTGCTCATGCAGGGATCGCCCTCCGTCTGGCCAATCACCAAGAGCCTTTTGCAGGTGTTCCTGCGTGCACGGCCGCCACACACAATGGGAGAGGCTGAGACAAGGCAGCGCCTTCGGTGGATTTTGGAAGCAACTAACAACTTACGTTGTACGTACTCCGTACGGAGTACAGAAAGACACGTTCAATCTGGAGCCGAAGCAGGTTGATGCGCAGACCAGAGGTTGATCTCTGTTTCACCTGATCAGGTCTAGCGTGGACTGCTGGTGTTGCCATATTGGGCAGGCTGAAGGGGGCATGGTTCGTGGGCAAGAATACACCGAAGGCAGGCAAGACCCTGTGTCGTGTGCCTCTTCGACGACCGGCGCGTTTGTCAACTCGAAAGGAGCAATGGCAGCTGTCTCCAACCATCACCATCCTTTTGTCGACTCAACAAACATCGTCTCGAGCACTCACAGTGGACCCGTGACATGCTTCTAGATTACTGATTGAGCTGCTATCGCATTCGAGCGCTGGCAAAAAAAGCGGTGAAAAAAAAGACTAGGGAAGGAACTGCTGCGGTAGTTTAATTCGCGATAGAATGGCATCCGGGGGGTCCACTGTATCTTGGGCCTGCTTGGCCGCTGGCTGGCTGGCTTGCTGGCGGCTGCTGGCCCGCTCGCTGCCCCTCCATTTCAATCCATTCTTCGGGACATACATTTAGCATCCCAACGCCCACCACAATCTCTCCTTTCCCTCCAGTCTCCTAATCTCGCATACTCTCTGCACTTCAGATCCCAGAAACACCCGTCAAAATGGCCTCCCGACCTCAGAACATTGGCATCAAGGCCATTGAGATTTACTTCCCCAACCAGGTACGCATATGTCCTCCCCTGCGCGTACACGCTGTGTCCTGGACCCCTGAGGCAACCCCTCCATACGCAGGCAGAACAAAGTAGCCGAACCTCGATCCTGACCATCCCTCACAGTACGTCGAGCAGACCGAGCTCGAGAAGCACGATGGCGTCTCGACCGGCAAGTACACCATTGGCCTCGGCCAGACGAAGATGGCCTTCTGCGACGACCGCGAGGACATTTACTCCTTCGCCCTGACCGTCACCTCCCGCCTCCTCAAGAACTACGCCGTGGACCCCAAGTCCGTCGGCCGCCTCGAAGTCGGCACCGAGACCATTCTCGACAAGTCAAAGTCCGTCAAGACCGTTCTCATGCAGCTCTTTGGCGACAACACCAACGTTGAGGGCGTTGACACCCTCAACGCCTGCTACGGCGGCACAAACGCCCTCCTCAACACCGTCAACTGGATCGAATCCTCTGCCTGGGACGGCCGTGACGGCATCGTCGTCGCCGGCGACATTGCCCTCTACGCCAAGGGCGCCGCCCGTCCCACGGGTGGTGCCGGCGCCGTCGCCATGCTCATCGGCCCGGACGCCCCCGTCGTCCTCGAGCCTGGCCTGCGCGGCACCTACATGCAGCATGCCTACGACTTCTACAAGCCCGACCTGACCTCGGAGTACCCTTACGTCGACGGCCACTACTCCAACACCTGCTACATGCGCGCCCTGGACGCCGCCTACAGCGACTACTGCGCCAAGGAGGCCAAGCAGCTCAACGGCGCCGCCGCCGACGGCAAGCCCACCCTCGAACGCTTCGACTACCTCGCCTTTCACGCGCCCAACTGCAAGCTCGTCGCCAAGTCGTACGCCCGCCTACTGTACCATGACTACCTGGCCAACGCTGACGCCCCGGCCTTTGGCGAGGTCGCCCCCGAGCTGCGCGACATGGACTACGAAAAGTCCCTGACCGACAAGGTCGTCGAGAAGACGTTCATGGGCCTCACCAAGAAGAAGTTCCAGGACCGCGTCGGACCCTCCCTCAACGTCGCCACCATGTGCGGCAACATGTACTGCGCCAGCGTCTGGGGTGGCCTCGCCTCGCTGCTGCACTACGCCGCGCCCGCCGACCTGCACGGCAAGCGCATCGGCGTCTTCAGCTACGGCTCCGGCCTCGCCGCCACCTTCCTCTCCTTCCGCGTCAAGGGCTCCACCGAGACCATCAGCAAGACCCTCGACATCCCCGCCCGCCTCGAGGCCCGCAAGGCCCTCGCGCCCACCGAGTACGAGGCCTTCTGCGACCTGCGCAAGCAGGCTCATCTCCAGAAGGACTTTGCCCCCAAGGGCCAGACGGAGAACATCACCCCGGGGACATACTACCTCGAGAAGGTGGACGACATGTTCAGGAGGGAGTACACCATGAAGGTGTAAGGCTACCGAAAGGGCGAGGCGAGTGAGCGAGTGGAAGCTGACGGCATGAAAGCATATTTGATGACTGTTTATTCATTTAATTTATTTTTGGGGAGGACTGGCGGTCCGGTCCTCGCTTAAAAGATGAACATAGACAGGGAGGTTTAGTCTTTGGAATTTGTTTATTCCCTTTGTTGGTCGACTATATTATATAGAGGTCGAATGATGAATCAAGACATTACGTTTCTTAAACTACACTGTTTTTCTTACATTCATTCGTGCAGCGCCTTTTGCGCGCTTCTACTCCTTCTTCTCCTTGTACTTCCAAGTCGCGTTTCTATGCAGCCAGTAGTCGCCGCTCTTGATGCTCTTGGCGATACCGTACAGACCACCTAGCGGCCGCAGGCTCTTGACGCGCTGCCGCCACTCGCCTAGCTCCCTCCGTCTCCGGTCCACGTCCACCTTGACCTTATCGTACACGCTGGGCAGGGTTATGGCGTGGTACTTCTCACGCAGCGCCGTGTACCACTTCTCATCATACAGCGCCCAGAACTCGTTGGGCGAGTAGTAGGTGTGCGCGTATAGCCACTTCATGCCACCGAGCTGCACGAGCTTGTCCTCTAGGGCGCGGTTCTTGTGGACAAAGGCCTCGGCGTTGACGGGGCCCCAGCCCCACAGGCCAATGTTGAGCATCTCCTTGGGCGTCCCGTCGGCGTTCACCTCGTTCTTGTTGTGGGGATGGAAGGTAGGGGCCGGGGCCTGCTTGAGTGGGCACAGCCACAGCGGCCAGATGTCAAAGTTCTCGGCCGTGTAGTCGACGAACGTCTCGACATTGTCGTACGGCACCGCGAGATCCTGCACCACGAAGCGAGCAGACTCCCCCGAGCCGTGGAGGGCGCGGTAGAGCATGCGGGTGTGCAGAAAGTCGTCGAGGAACCAGCGGAAGAAGCGGTTAAAGGGTACCATCCAGAAGTACTTGAACGCCGAGGCGCCGACCCAGAAGCCGCCGCGGTCGTAGCGGAAGAGGTACTCGCCCAGGGGGATGTAGTCGGTGGCCGCCTCGACGGTCGCCGAGCGCTCTTGCACGTGCATGTAGTACCACGGATCCCAAGCGCCTGAGAATGTGCGGATCGGCTCCGCGGTCGGCTTCTCGTCGGTGAGCTTGCCGGTGACGATGACAGCGTGGGTCGGCGAGAAGACAATGCCGTCGACGTAGTCATTGTCCAGGTTGGCCGTCTCTTTCCTCACCTTCTCCACCGCCTTCTTGACAGAGCCGACGCGGTGGTACGTCGTCTGGACATACTTCTTGGCGTCCATGAGCTGCAGCTCGATCAGCGTCGTCGTGCCCAGCGTGCCGACCGCACCAGCCGCCCCGTGGAACAGATCCGCCCTCTCCTCCCGACTGGCCTTGACGACCTCTCCATTGCCCAGTACCATCTCGACGGACTTTATCGTCTCGTCAAAGAAGCCATGCTTGAAACTCGAACTCTCGCCCGCCGTGCCTGCGAAGCCGCCACCCGTTGTGATGCCGGGGAACTCCATCACCACCGGCGGCACGAGCCCATGCCGGAGGGTGTGCTCCACTAATCGGTCCATGGGCACGTTGGGCTCCACGAGCGCAATCTTCTGCGCGCGGTCGACGCTGAGCACATTGTTGAGGCTCGAAATGTCGACAAAGCGGGCCTGGGGCTGGCCGGGCTTGGGTCGTGGACGCGTCGAGTTTGTCGAGCCGTGGAAGATGCGGTAGGGCTCTGAGCGCTCAAAGTAGCCGCGGACGGCGGTCGAGATGGCCTTGACGGCTTGCCTGTGGCGCTCCATGGCTGGCGGCGCTGGCACAGGTGGTGGGCAGCTGAGGAAATAAATTGGAGATTGTAAATTAAAGCTGAGGTCCGAGACGCGTATGATGATGCTTGGCTCTAGTTGGGGTCTAGGTGTCGTGGGGGGGGGGTCAACTGCAAGCTCGCCTGGCTACCCTGTACGTGGACCTTTGCTGCTTGGTTTGAGCTCCTGAATCATGAGTAGTCAAATTCTGTGCTTGCGTAGTACACATTACTAGGTGAGTATTGACGTGCTATATGCTTCCAGCCGGTAAGCAATGTGTATGGCGCGGGAGTTCGACGGTGAGGCTGACCAGGCTCAGCTCCAGCGGTGGAAATGCAAGAATCTGGAACTGCTGTGTATTGGGCCGATTCGACGAGTCAAATCATGAATTGAAGACCCCAAATTGCCTATCTACCCTTCATCTCCTCTTGAAACTTATCCGTCCACTCAGTGAACTCATCCTTCCCGCCATCCCAACTCCGTCCGAGCAGCTCACTCACAGCAAACGCATCCAGAAAGCACTGGTCCATGATACTATCAATCTCATCCGGCTCAAGCTCATAGAACGCACAAGCCAGGTCGCCGCATCGATCTGGCAGCACGCGTAGAACCGCCGCAGCCTCGTCCAACCGCTTGGTCACATTCTGCGCGTCTTCGTCGGCTGTTGCGGGTGGTGGAAGCTGGGGGAGCTTCTTGATCCTCCTCTTGACAATGGCATTGTATAGAATGGTGACGAGGCGCAGCCTTTTGAGTGATGTCTCGAGGCGTGGGCGAATCTTGTCGGGGTCGGCTTTGGGTATGGCAGATGCCGAATCCATCATGTCGTCAACCATGTCTTGCGCGCTCAGGTGGGCGTTTTGCAATCCCTCCGCAAGCTGATCCACCTCATCTTCCTCGTCGCCCTCTTCCTCATCCTCGGCTTCCTCGTCACCCCATTCTTTCAGCTCTTCCATGACATCTTGCAGTGTGTCTCTCCACTCCTCGACCTTGATCTTCAAGAACCCCCCGATGCCGAGGTTGGCAAGTTTTGTGACTTCGTCACAAGCCGCCCAGAGCACACCCGTAAAGGCAATACTGCCCTTCCTGTCAGGGCCAAAGCCTTCCTTGCTGCCACTCAGAGCCTTGCCGTCGCGCGGGACCTTGCTCAGCAGGCCCGACAGCTCGATAAACACGGTGCGACAGCACCAGGCCAGTTCCTTGCGGAAGACAGATGTGTACCGATCGGGGGTGCACTCCTCCAGAGCACTTGCCAGACCCGGGACCGGGCCACCAACGAGATCGCGCACGATTCCGACGACAGCTTTGGCGGAGAAAGGTTCGTTCACAACGAGGAGGGAAAGCTTTGTGGTGTGTGCGCGGATGAGCGACGCAGAATCGCGCGCAAGGGCGATGGCATCGATTGGCTGACCCTCCTTTGTCAGTGTCGGTGTATTTGACGAGGGCTGGTTTGGCGTGGCATGGATCTTGGTGAGAGCCGTCTGTAGCTGGGCGAGGAGAGTCAGAGAGGTATTGAGGATTGCGTCGAGAGACTGAAGGCTTTCGGGCGCCATGTTTGCTGGGGTGCTCGTGCGGCGCGGGGGAGTTGACGCGGGCGTTACAAGATCAGATGTATGATATTCCAAGTCAGTATAAGTCTATGGAACCAGGGTTGGTGGTGAATCAATCTGTTGATGATGGATGGAGGGGCAGCCGTTGGAGGGGCAGCTCAACTTTTTTATGGACCCACAGCAGCTGCGGCGTGTATATGAGAATGACGAGGAAGATCCGACTTGAAGGGCTAGCAATGAGATAGAGGTCTTGAAATTGAATTGAATCAAGCGCCTGCCTTACTCGGTTTTCTCTTACTACTTTTGGATCATTTCAACACTAGATCGTCGCTAAAGGCGGATGCTTCATGACGGTTGCCAATGTCACCAGGCGAGCTATGTGCTCCTTGCACGAAAGAGGCTTAGCGTTCTTCGAGCCAGCACTAACAATTAATCGACCCACCACAAATGACCCTGAACACATCACCATGTCCGATAGCCTCCAGTCTCCAGCTTAACTTTCCATATCCCTTCACTCCGCATTGAGCCCCCCCGGTCCTTTTCAGCGTCAATTGACCGCACCAGGATGCTGCAGGTCTCTAAATTGACGTTGTTGGGCGCCCTCTCGACCCTCACGCTCGCGAGCACGCTGCCCCGAGGCGTCGGGCCAGAGTGTATGTTCAGGCCACTCCACACGACCCTTTGAACCAGCCCTGTTAACAAGCTGCTAGTCGCCTCACACTACGAAAACGCCCTGGCGCACGACCTAGGGCAGGAATGGCGCTGTATAAACCACCCGGAGATCCGGATTCCGACGACATATATTAACGACGGAACGTGTCATTGTCCCGACGGCTCTGACGAACCAGGCACAGCAGCCTGTGCGTATCTCGACACCGCCTCGCCCGCACAACCTCTGCCCGGGTCCTCATCTGGAACGACCAAGACCAAAAACGCCCTCCCTGGCTTTTGGTGCGAGAACAAGGGCCACATTGGGGCCTATGTACCCTTCTCGTACGTGAACGACGGCGTCTGCGACTATGACATTTGCTGTGATGGCACCGAAGAGTTTGGTGGCAAGGCGAAATGTGAGAACAAATGTGCCTCCATAGGCAAGGAGTTTAGAAAGCTCGCAAAGGAGAAGAAGGCCAAGATGGAGAGGGCAGGTGTCAAGAGGATGAAGATGGCCAAAGAGGCGGATACCTTGCGTCACCAACTCGAGGAGAAGATCGCCGGCCTCCGAGCAGAGGTCTCGGTCCTGGGAAAGAAGAAGGACGAGCTGTGGAAGAAGCATGCGGAAGTCGAGCTCGAGGAGAAGAACAGGGTCGTCAAGAGCGGCGGTTCTTCTGGCAGCGCCGGCGGCAAGCTGGGTGTCCTCCTTGGACTGGCGAAGACGCGCGTCGAGGAGCTGCGGATCACGCTCGGGAACGTAATGGAGCAGCGCGACGACCTCGCTGGCAAGGTCATCGAGCTGGAAACAATTCTCAGCAAGTTCAAGGAGGAGTACAACCCCAACTTCAATGACGAAGGTGTCAAGGCGGCCGTCAAGGCATTCGAGGACTATGCCGCCAGAGAGGCCGATGCCCGCGAGCACATTCCCGACTCGGAGGTGTTGGAGGTCCTCAAGGAGGACAGCGAAGTCAGCGGCGTCAACTGGGCCGAGTTTGAAGGCGGCGAAGGTGACGATACCGACATTCTGTACAGCTTCGAGGCCTACCTCCCCGCCTTCGTGCGCGGCGCGATCCATGAGAAGCTTGACCAACTTCGTGTCTGGCTTATCGCCAACGGCATGCTTGCCGACAATGTCAAAGAGGGCACCGAGTCGTCACTGCTCAAAGCCGCGCGCAAGGATGCGGAAGCCGCCGAGAAGGACGTCAAGTCCAAGCAGAAGGAACTCACCAAGCAAGAGGACGACCTCGGCATGGACTACGGCCCCGGGGATATCTTCCGTGCGGCCCGTAACAAGTGCGTCAGCGTGGACGCGGGAGAGTACACCTACGAGCTCTGCTGGCTTGGTAAGACCATGCAGAAGAGCAAGAAAGGGCACGGCTCCACGAGTATGGGCAACTACAGACGCATCGAGTTCCACGACGCGGATGACGAGGAGCGACTGGATGGCAAGAGTCTCGGACAAGGACGGCGGATGGTGATGAAGTACGAGGACGGGCAGCAGTGCTGGAACGGCCCTAAGCGACGCACGGATGTGTGGCTGGGCTGTGCCGAGACCGAGGAGGTCTGGCGTGTGAGTGAGTCGGAGAAGTGTGTCTACAAGATGGAGGTTGGCACCCCGGCGGCGTGCGAGGTGGAGGGGCAGCCGAAGAAGGCGGATGGCAAGGATGAGCTGTGAGCCCTTGGGTGACTGAGCAACAATGCCAGGCATGTACCGAGAGATGGGGACAAACTATAGACAGCGATCTGACAATTTGACGCCTTACATAGACGGCCAGGAAGAAGTCACGGTGGGAGTCATCCAAGCAAATCCAGTGGCTGATGTCAGACTAAGAGCCAAGTCCGGACACTTGTGAAATACCCCAGGTCACAACGTTGACGCCTATAGGCACCTTGAGTAAGTTTTACTAAGGGAAGAGACAATGTTTCGCTGGAACAGATCCTCACCGGGCGCCACCCTATCCGTCATCGACACTACGCTTCTTCTTGGCTAGTCCCGGAGAAAAAGGAGACGGGAGCCTGCGCGGTGCATGAGGTTGATGCTGAGGAGGATTGCAATCCTTCTCGCGGACCTTGGATACAAGACTGGAGGCCAAGTTTGTCCCAACACCTGTCGAGGTTTCGGTAGCCAGTCGCTAGTGAGCTCGATCTTCCGCCTCGCCCTGATCGTGCCCATCAAGTTGAGGTCCATGAAGTTCAGCATTGGTCTCTTCCGTCTCCGGGTCGATGCCGGACGATCTGAGAAGCGACCGACAACCACAGACAATGGCTGGGACCGCAACCTCGTTCGACTCCGTTTCACTTACCGGAGTATCACCTTCAATGGCTGTAGCCTCTGAGTGCCGCCTGCGCACCCTCGCGTTTGCTGTTTAGATGAACTGGTTACGGTAGTTCTTGGCCAGCTTTCTCAAATTCTTGAATGCTCCAACACCCTCCATCCAAGCGTCATGGCTGGTCGTCAACACGTAAATGTGAAGCTGAGCCACAGGCTGCTCTCGACCTAATGTGCAAGTTGAGTTGAGTCCATAGACTCCATAATGCGAGGTTAGCCATGCTCGCGCAATTGATCGTCGAGCTGAAACTATTTCCTCGTAGGCATGCTAGCCCAGCCCGCTGTGTGATAGTGCCTTAAAAAGTGCACGTCTCGGCGCAACACACATTTCAGCTGAGTGCAGGTCTCAGCTGAGGTACTCAGCTGAGTACATGTCTCAGTTGGATGCAGCATCAAACATCCCCAGCCCTCTCACACAGCGATGTTTTCTGCATGATGCAATTCTGGATGAAGATCGCACGCAACCGAGACCCAGGCTATCTTACTCTTGCCTGAGGCTAATTCCAATCAATCCCATCCCCCGTATCATTACCAATATAAGCGCCCAGAGAGCTACTCCTTTCGTCCCTGAGTCTTGACCAGATTGTTTCTGGTCCTGCCCTTAATGGATCAAGACGCTCATCTGCCGCACGACTCGCTGGGACCGCGGGCTCTGGCTATCGTCACGCCCTTTCTCATCGTTGCCATTATCGTGTCCTCAGTGCGGATCTACACTCGCGTAACCCCGGTATTCAAAATGGATGCTTCAGACTACACCATCTCAGTCGCTGTCGTGAGTACAAGACAATCTAGATGAATAGGTAAGACGCTGATCCGAGTGCAGCTTGTCGAAGTCGTCGTCTACTCACTTTTCATAGCAAGTGTTGCGTCCGGGCTGGGACGCCACAGCTACGATGTATCTCCGGAGCAGGGCGTCAAGACCCTTCGATATGTTTATGTAGTTATCTTACTGTCAACTGTGGTGCCTGCCCTCGCCAGGATCTCGGTCGGGTGTCTACTTCTAAAGTTCGCATCGACCAAGGCGTGGCGCGCAATCATCTGGTCAACGATTGGTATTCAAGCTGCCTGCATCATCGGCACTGAAATCTTCCAGCTCATCCAGTGTCGACCAATCAATGCCCACTGGGAAGAGGTTCCAGATGCGCGGTGCTTAAGTGCACAGCAGATTTGGATATGTGGCTACGCGTCGGTGGGTAAGTTATCAACCACGAAATTGATCCATGTTGCATGGTGCTGACCTCTTTGCAAGGAGTTGCTTTATTCGGCGACTTGACTTTAGCCATCATGCCAATTTTCTTAATCTGGAAGCTTAACCGATCGACAGTGGAACGGTGTCTCATTACCGTCTTGATGGCGCTTGGCCTGGTTGCGACTGTTACCGTCATCATACGGCTTGTCAAGATGCACACGTTGGACTTTGCTTCCCCGGAAAAGTTCCGGACTCTGATACCGATATACTTTTGGCTTCGAATGGAAGAGGTCATTCTGATAATAGCTTCTTCCGCGCCGATGCTCAAGTCCCCAGTTGAGCATGCCCTACATCAATTCGGCCTACCTACGTTCCGGCCCAGGATCAGGAAATTGACCTCGTTTCACACCAGCACCCCAACGTCGGGTACAACACCACGCTTGCATCATCAGCAGTCTCAGCAGGAGCTACTATGATACAAGCAACCTTCCTTTATGCATGGACCCCGGCTCGAAGCAGCAGAGGACGGTCCATCAACGTCGAACAATATGTGGTCTTTTAGCGATATCCCTGAAGCACGGGCGCGCTTATTATCTCGTCATGGATTGCCGCGAAGCGCTCTGTAGCCTGATCGGATAGCTCGACAAGAAATACGGCTCAAAAATGGAAGTCTTTTTAAATCCAGCCCATGGGTTTCGCAAAACTCGGACTCAAGTCACCCTGCTGTATGCTGGGTTGTCGGGATGCTAAGGCCTTAAAATGCAAAAGGGAAGAATATCAAGAGTTCCTATCCTGTCCAACCAAATCCTAGATCCTCACGACGGCCCCCTGGACGAGCCAGATTGTATGAAATTGGGATGATGTAGGGGGATCTTCCGCCTATGATAACGCAAGCTTACGTGGCTTCCTTACTTATGTAAACACTCGCAAGCTGCTTCGCAGGCTTGCTCAATCAGTTCACGGTAGATCAAAACCAGCAGCTTCGGATGACGCTTTCAAAAGACTTGTCCTCGGCTCAGGAGGCACTAGTCAAGAGTGTAACACAGCTACTTTGACGGTACTTCCACTACTGGCAAAAGCTGTCCGAGTGAAAGTGTACTGTTACTGTCTCTTGCTAACGAGTGATATTACTAGCGCCTTGGCAGGACGTTACTTTCAATAGCGTCCTCCGTACTCACACTTCGGATATCATGCATGTCAGGGCCACCCGCCTTCGCAAATCCGTCGAGAGTCCAGCTTTCCCCTCGCCTAGCACGGGCATGACTGGTCTCGGATATACCGGGCTTCGATGAATAATTGCTGAGCATTCCGTCGTTCGAGCTCTTGATAGGGCTAGAGGGCTGAGCCATACTTTCGACAACTTGTCGTAGAAAGGAGGAGGGAAGTTCCAGGCGTCGTCCATGGACCACGCGGTTCGATTTGACGTCGCCTTGGATGTAATTCATTTTAGTAGAGGATCGCTTGTTCGCAGCTCCCTTCAGTTCATGGCTGTGCATCGTGGGGTCATGATCCGTGTGAAATATTGAACCAGGAGACGGAGCGGTGTTGATTGGATTTATGTTCATATTGAATGCCAATTTCAGTCGTGTAACAAAAGCTCGGACAAGAGGTCGTCCACTAATGGGGTTAGCGCGCCTGCTCAGCTTGGACTGTGACATGCCAACGATTTTTATATTAGAATGAGTTAGAATAGGACAAGGTAATTAAATAAAGTCCTTCAGTGATCGATATGAAAAGGGGGGGCGGGGGGCTTTCATCCATTACGGCCACTTGGTCAACGTACTCGGCCCTTGAAGCTTGTAAAGGCGAACCAAGTGAATGAAGCATAAGCAGCAGACATCGAGTGTAATCGAGAATTCAGTATTACCACCGGACAGCATCAAAAATAGCAATCACAGTAAATGCTCCGAAAGGCAAGACCCACAAACCGCCGACGTATTTGAAAAGGGGGAAAGGCACCAGATAGCTTACCCCTCTCATTCACATTGTGACGTCCCAAGAAACTCTTATCATTGATCACCATTGTGATGGAAAGATGCATCTTCGGCGCGAAATTATACCTGCTGAGCAGGGTCTCGAGGGACTGTCGACATTGGCGGATTGTCCGTCCCAGCGGTCCCTGGCGGCGTTGAGGTCGCTCTGTTGGTCCCATTCTCTAGGTGGGTGGCAGAATGCGATCTTGGTGGAAATGGTGAGTATCTGCTGACGGTAACGTTGCGAGGGGTGTATCACATACTTTCGCAGTTTCCCGGCCTGCCTCTTTGCGGTGGCGACAGTGTCCTTGACTCTGACATACGTGCGGAAGACGTAGATGCCCTGCCATCGAGATTAGTCTCGCCCAAAGCATTCGACCTCTGACATACTAAGATGAAGCTGAGCAGATGAGCCATGGACGCCAGAAAGGAGAAAGCGAGCGTTGTTCTCCAATAGCCACAGCCAGTGTTCCCAACAGCGACTGTCCCGACAGGGCCAGTCCGCCACCACCGGCCCCAGTAGTAACCCCAGTAGTTGTTGTACCAGCCTGACGAGCAGTGCCTGGATTCCTGTTGCCACCATTGTCAGCATCGCGTCTCGAGAAGAGGGATTCAGGGTTACACACAGATGCAAGTAGAGAAAACGCAACGAGCCAGCCAACGAAGAGGATGAAGTCGAACGGGAAGCTCATCGACAGGGCGTTGATGGGCAGGCAGAAGAGGATCGAGAAGGCGGTAGCGATAGACGCAATGACCAATGCGTACACAATACGGCCCTGCACGTCGACCCGGGCGATGCCAACAAGGTACGTGAAGCGAGCGAGGATTGCAAGCACAATGACGGCACAAACAAGCTCGCTCATCCGAAGGAGAAAATAGGCCACCCTGTGGAAAGTACCCCCTCTCTCCTTTTCACGGTGTTTGCCGGTCATCTCTTTAGTTTCGCTGGTCGACATGGTGCGAGAAGGTAACTTTTGCTATGGTCCGGGTGCACGGTTTCTGACTGATTCAAGAACCTGGAAAGTCTAATGACCTACTGCGGATTGCGGGAGGTCCTGCTTGAACTTATGTCGCCGGCGGGAGCGTCGCACAGTCTGGTTCTGGCATGAGGGTCGGCTGATCCTAGGTGGAAGGCCTGGCTCTTCCATGAGCAGCCATGGCATGTTCGGCCTCGTCTGGAGACGGGCTGGATGAGAGTGCCATTCCAGCTGGCGTGGAAGCTTACAGCTTTGCGAGCATGCCACACCGGATCAAGCCACGGTGATTCATTGGGTTCTCAACCCGTGTAGGTCGGAGTCTAATCCGTAGCGGGAGTCGGGGGAGGGCTGGAACATGTCCCGAGGATAAGGCTACGGTACTAGTAGGTTGGGCAGCTGAAAAATGAAAGATGAAGCCAACCACGTTTGAGCCCTCATGCAAATGAGGAAGCTGTCCCAGTCGGCGGTGGCTGAAAGTTTGAAACCTACTTGAACCTACTTGAAGGAATGAGCCCATTCTGACGTAGCTGGAGCGGGATGAACCTGGGGTGAATGCAGGCGGGATGGTTGAAAATATGGCGGACCAAACTAGAGCAAGGTGATCCGACTCTCCCTTATTAGCCGTACCGGTATGTTTGCATGTGAACATGCTTGGTTTGCTCGTGATGTTTGTGGATCCCACGTGGCCGAGTTTCAAGCTCTCAGCGTCGGCTTTGGCAGCTTGGCAGCAGCTAAAAGCGGCGACATCTTATCGATAAGATAAGATCTACTCATGGTCCGTGGATGATGGAGCTCCGCTGCTCCAGTCGCTCGCTTCAACAGTACACCATCTTGGGGTTCCTCATTCCTCACCTCTCAAAGCCTCGACTGCAAGGCTCATACTGTTCATGGCGTGATAACCTGATTTGTATCGACGTTGCTTCGGTGGCTGAAGCTTCTTTGCCGAGCTCGAAACTAGCTGTATCACCGAGCTCAACCCCCCCCCGCGCACAATGAACGTGAAGCCAGCACTCCGCCTGAGGGGCCATCCCCTCCTATACGCCATCTGCCTTCACCTCGCCATCGGTGCCTCTCTATGGGGCTACAACATCGGCGTCCTCTCCAGCGTTCTCGTCCACCCAGGTTTCAGCAAAACCCTTCGTGATCCGCCGCCATCCACACGCGGTATCATCACCGGCGTCTACTATGTCGGTACACTGCTCAGCTACATCTTCCTTGCTCATCCCCTGGCCGATTGGCTTGGGCGCAAGAGTGCTGCTGCCATTGGTACGGTGGTGATGGTTATCGGAATGTGGTGCATGGCGGCCGCCAGAGGTCTGGCCCCCTTGGTCGTTGGCAGACTGGCCTGTGGCTTGGGGGTTGGTATCATTAGCACGACGGTGCCTCTGTATCAGAGGTATGACTAAAAAACCCCTTGCCCCTTTTCCAGCACACGCTAATACATCCTGTTAGTGAGATTTCCCCGGCAAAGGAAAGAGGCAAGTTCGTGACGATGAACCATGTCGGCTTCATCGCGGGCATGGCAGTCGGTCTATGGTGGGATAAACCTACTCGGGTTCAATGTACCCATCGACTAATCTTCCCAGGGTCGGCTATGGCATGTCATTTTGGAAGACGACATCGGGAGACTTCTGGGGCTGGCGTTTCTCCATCTTTTTCCAAATCATTCCAGCATCCATCTTCCTCCTAGGGCTGCCCTTCCTACCTGAGACGTAAGTCACATACTCCCAACCATCCATCGCCACGGCACTTACACAAGCAAGACCACGATGGCTCGTCCAACAAGGCCGCAAAGATGAGGCCAAAGCCATCCTGCATACTCTGCGCCCCTCCTCGATCGCCACACAAGAACTGCACCTCATCTCCACCTCCACGACGCGTTTACCCCCGACATTCTCGTCCTTCAAACGCCTGACTTTCTCACTCTTTCGAGATCCGGCACTCTTCACTCGTCTCTGGCGGGCCTTCCTCCTGCAGTTCATGGCGCAGATGTGCGGCGCCGCAGCCATGAAATACTATCTCCCCTCGCTGCTCCAGAATCTAGGGCTGAGTGTACAGAGCTCGCTGATGGCTGGTGCCATTGAGATGACGCTCAAGATAGGCATGACAGTCGTAGAGATGTGGATCATCGACAGGCTCGGACGAAGATTATGTCTGGTACTCGGTGCAGTAATCATGGGTGTCGCCATGCTGGTGAGTACTCCTCCAAGCTATTCTCCCCTCTGCAGGTCGAGCTAAAAGCCAAAGATCAATGGCGCCTTGCCGCTCATGTACCCCGACAACATGAACAAGCCGGCAGATGTCATCTGCATCATGTTTATTTTCGTCTACGCCATGGGTTACTCCCTCGGCCTCGGCCCTGCGGCTTGGGTCTATTCCTCAGAGGTCCACACCCCATTCTACTATGCCTGATCTTGCACTGACGAACTGATAGATCTTCCCAACGTCCGTGCGCGCACGAGGTCTCAACCTTGCCGCGTCCGGTGGCGCGCTCGGCTCCATCATCGTGTCGCAGATATGGCCACTCGGCAATGCAGCCTTTGGCAGCGGCATTTACTTCTTCTTCATGATCGTGAATTTTGCCTGTGCGCCGGTAAGGCCCGCCCCCACCCCCCCAACCATGTTCACCATCATGCTAGCATCCACTGACAAGCCGGTAGACCATTTGGTTCCTCTACCCGGAGACCAAGGGCCGCGAACTGGAGGACATGGACGCCCTTTTTGGAGAGACGGATACACAACGTGAGCTGGCCATGGGGATCAACAATGGCGAACAAGTCAGCGCGTCACCACGCACAAGCGGGGAAGAACAGGACCGTCTCCTCGCCGACTGACGATAGTCAGCAATTCAACAGCATAGAGTAAGCATCCATGCAATAGACCAACTATACCAGTACAGCGCTGTCGCATATTATACATCATTACATCCCATCGTCCAAGCATGCCCTTGTACGCCTGGTAAAAGTAGACTACTATACCGCAAATCCCGCAAACGCCTGGATATCTACCACCAAACATCCAACCCCCTCTCTAGATTGACGCTCAGTATATGCTGGAAAGAATCGGAAATAGTGCGTCAGACACGATGGACGGCGTCTACCAGAAACTGCACCATCCAATGTAGTGCTGACAGAGGTTCTCCAACTTGGTCGCCTCAATGATGAGTTTGTTCACCTGTGCGACAACCTCGAGTTCCTCCGTTGTCTTAAAGTCGCGCCCGGTAAGCTTCTGCTGCACGCGATCGAGCACCTCGACCGCACGTGCGTTCTGGCTCTCGGCTTCCTGCACGGGCGCCATGCCGTTCACGAAGCCGTTTGTATGATCCGTGTTGTTCGTGGCGACGGTAGAGTTTGTCCGTGCGCGGCTGCGCGATGGCAGAGGCACGCCTTCGGCAAGCAGCTCCGACGGCGCCATGTCGCTCTCCAGTATGGACTGGCGGCGAGGACGGGCGCCGTTTGGCACGACGGCGGCCGTTGCCTCGGTCTCGGTGCGGAAGTTGGGACCCGTTGGTGATGCGGCGTTGGTCAGACGCCACGTGAGCAGAGGATCGTGGATGAACTAGTGTCTGTCAGCAAACTGGCCATTACGCACCAGTACAGGGCAAAACACATACCGCTTCGAGTACCGCCATGATACTCTCCTTGTTCTCCCGTAGCACGCGCATCACATGCTCACACGTGATACGGAAGCTACCCTCGATGTTGCTCACTTCCATGGCATACGTCAACATCCTCGTCAGTCGGAACGGCACCCTCTCTGGGTATTTCTCTCTCTTCATCGCCACCTCGAAGCAGTCGCCAAAGTCAATGTGCACTATCTTGCCAGTGATACGGTCGAGCATCAAGTTGGACGGGTGTCGATCACCTAGGCCCAGGATGTAACCTACCATCGACATGACACCCAAGGACCGGGTGTAGTTGGTCCTCCTTTCTAGCCACGCCTCAGACGACTTTGACTTCAGCCAGAGCACTCGGTAGAGGTCCTGGCCGGTCGTGTTGTCGAGTGCATAGCCAAAGACCTCGACCTTTTGCATGAGTGTCAGGTTGTCATAGTCGGGGGCCATCTGGAGCATGATCCTGTGCTCAATGTTGAGCAGAATCTTGCGGCTTTCGCGGTATTCCCGGATGAGCACATGCAGCGTGTCGCTGTGGGGTACCCAGCCCAGTAGACCAGAGCTCTGCGACAGCGGAATGGCAGGGAAGCGTTGAATGTTGAGATGCCTCTTGAAACATTCCGAGTCGTTGGCGAGCAAGGTATTGCATAGGCCGAAGAGCTGCATGACACGTTCGTCTTGACGAATGTCTTCGTGTCCCTTGAGAAGGAAGGCGTACTGGTTCCCATCGCTGCCATTGCAGGTGGACTTGCGCGGCCGTTGCTTCGAATTGATGACGGTGAACGTCGACTCGAAACCAGTGATGCTGACCACAGGCTGCCCACTGCGATAGGTGCCAGGCACAGCCAGGCTCAGATCCTTGGCATTGAGAAGCTTCGGCGAGCAGTACAGTAGCTCGAGAGAGTTCACCTGCACAAGCTGCCTCGAGATCCTTCGGAATACCTGGTAGTAAAGGTCCCAGGCTTGATTCAGGTCGTTGACGTCCCCGCTCTTCTCGTATTGCTGACACCACTCCTGGGCCTCCTTCAAGTCGCGACCAAAGGCTTGCGCAAACGAGATTTCTCGCAAGGTTTCCGGCCCGCGCTCCAGCAGATCGTGAAGCGGCTCCAGTGTCGCGAACATGCCTTCAATGTTCTGGTCACCAAAGTATAGACGGGAAGCCTCTTCCAGACCCTCGTGCCAAAGCTCGTGCCACAGAACAGCAACACGAATGAGCTCGTTGCTCACAAGCTCGGCCTGCGCAACAAGCGTAGCGCTGTGCTGGCGCATGCTGTCCATGATCATGGCCGCCGACCTCGACCGGCGGGTATTCTTCCATGACTTCATTGCGACTGTCAGAGGGTACACCAAGGCCTGGGGATGGGCACGTCCAACGTCAGCCAGCAGGTTGTGCACAGACTGCTGCACGCGGCGGTTGGGTTGGTTGATTCTTGCGATTAACTGAGGAATGACCTCGAGCCACGTATCTATGCTGACCTTGGAGAACCCCTCGGCCACTGCACCATTGACATCGGGGTGGCCGCCGTGGGCAAACCATAGTGTCAGCAAGCGCAACGTGTCTTGCAACGAACTGCCCTGGAGTAGAGCAATGGATTCGAAGAAGCCCGTGATTGCAGGCACAACGTGGTCAATCAGCATGGCTTGATCAGCCCTTGACAGCTGTGTCCCATCATTGAGCGCCACGGCCCGCTGGACAATGTCAAAGTTGGCCAGAGCCCAGGCGTGCCAGGCCTTGTACCACCGCGGGTTGTACTTGGTGGCCTCGGAGTACGATGTCAAGACATCTCGCGAGTGGTTGTCCTGCCACTCATCCTTATTGAGCGCCATAATCCACTCTCCCTGCCGCAAGTAGCATTTCGCCAGAAGGGTAGTCTGATCGACCAAAGTCTGCCTGGTCTGCTCGCTCATAATGGCCGGGTCGACGTACTCCTGGAAGGCAAAGTCGCTGCTAATGTTTTCGCTTCCCGTCGTCGTTGAGAGTTGGACTCTAGCTCCCTCGAGACGCAAGGCAAGATCATTGGAGAACCTCTGGAGACAGTACAGCGTCTTCTCAGCCGTTCCCGAAGTGCGATGACCTGGCTGCTGGCCAATTTCCCACTCATACTTGAGGATGGCGTACGTGACCTGAGGAGGGATGCGGTTCAGCACTTCCCTCGGGGCAATCTGGTTATCCCAATACGGGATCATGCCCTCAAGCTTCTGCTCCGTACCGATCAGTTGCTTCAACGACTTCTCCGCCAGACCAACTCGTCCTGACTTGCGGCAGAGGTTGGCAAACTTGATCCACATGTGCAGATTCTCACTCGGGGCCATAACTAGGGCGCGCAGGCGCAGCATTCTCTGCCACACGTCCACGTTGCGCTGGCAGCCCTTCAAACGCGTCTCCCATGTCTTGCGCATGGTTGCCTGCTTCTTCTCATCGCATTGCTTGTAGACGATGATCTCCTCCAGTTCAGCGAGCATTTGAACACGCACCACAACGTCGTAGGAGCGGTTGTATGATTCCGTCACCAAGGCGCTGAGTTCAGTATCTAGGCCTTCACGTGCCATGGCAATGTTGTTGATGGCCTCCCGGAATTGATTGCGATGAAGGCACAGGATGGCGCCGAAGAATGCTCGGTCGGCCGTAGACTTTCCGAGTGATGACAGATAATTCTCCATCGAATCCCATTTACCGAGACCCCAGGCGGCAGCTGTCGCCAGCGGCGCGATCTTGCGCTGCACCTCGAGCGAGGAATTGGCCCAGGCCGTGCCAGTGAGATCAGCCAGGGCATCCCACTCGCCCAGAGCGTGCAAGCAACGCATCTTGCCCATGACCACGTCGACGGGCACAGGCTGATCTTCAGGGATCTCGGCTTCGCGCTTGTTGTAGAAGGCGAGCGCCTCATCCCACCGTTGCAGCTTCTCGAACCACGACTCGCGCAGCTGGATTCCATCTTTGTACAGCTGCGCTTTACGCAGAATACCAATGGCAGCATCTGACTGCTGTAGATTATTGTTGATGGAGATCAGGGCTTCCACGGCGCCGCTGCTCTGGTCTTGCAGGAATTCGAGCTCTTTGTAATGCAGTGCCTTGGCGTATGCGTGACAGCGCGCAGCTTCTCTTCCCAGGACCCGGATGTCAATGGGCAATGCTTTGTCGTCATGTTCCATGAATTCCGCCAGGTTGAGCAGGAGTCCTAACAAATCGGGCGGCACATTCTCAGACTTGATGGCATTCTCAATGTTCTGGATGAGCTCTTCTTGGAACTGCTCATACAACTCACTCCAACACGACACGAACGCCGAGTTGAAGAGATCGCGTGCAAGCGGCGGGTATGTTGCTCCCAGCGAAGCGCAGGCTCGCAGCGCATGGTTCGGCGACTCGCTCAGCAGTGTCGCGCTGAAACGGCGCTGCCACTCATGCCAGTCGTCTTTGGTGGACTTGCCGTGCGTACCCCAAGCAGCCTTGAGGTGCATGGCGTTCATTTCCAGCTTCTTCCCCTGAATGTCGGCAAGGGCAGGTTCATCCACCACTTCGACGAATGGCGTTTCGGAGCTCAGATCCTGCGGCAGCACTTCGCCATTCTGGAGCTTCCTGACGAGCAGCTCATAATTCTGATGTTGAATCTGGTGCTGCGCAAGGACTTTGTTCACAGTTCCGGCAAAATGGAGATAGTCCCGACCCAATTGCTGTATGAGGGCACACAGGGTGTCAAGGGACACGTTGCGTAGCGAAGGGTCGCCCGCATCCAACACACGTGTTAATGGGTGGATGATTTTAGCGGCATAATCGTTCAGGTTGACCTGTCGGGAGATCTTCCCAATCGTATCAATAGCGGAGCGGCGGATTGACGCTGGTTGGCCTTGTTTCTCAAAGGTCCTCACAATGACTGGCATGATGAGATGCATATACTCCTCTGCACTGGCACCGAACACCAAGAATGCATGCAGTACCTTTTCCGAGGGCATGCGCTTTGTGGAGCCGTCCTTTTCCAGTACACCCAGCATCAGCGGCAGAAGACCAGCTAGGTAAGTCTTGAATTCACCCTCCAACGAACGGCTGATTGCTTCAATGAGAAGCAAGATTGTCGTCTGCATTGCAGCGGATGTGTGCCAGTACTCCTGAATAACAACTATGATCTCTGGCAAGTAGTTCCTGATATGCTGGCGGACGATGCCGACGAGAGTAGCCAGATGACTGAAGTAGGATTCCAGACTCCTGTTTGTCGACGTTCTTATCACCGTCAAAAAAGCCGGAATGATCCTGTCAAGGAAGCTGACACACTCGAGTCCGAGAGTGCGGAAAATGCTCATGATCCCTTCAACCACGGCAGCATGATGTTGCACTAACGATTGGTCTTTGAGAATCTGTAGCAGGGCATTAATGGCCACAGTGGGATAGTACTCCTTGTTTGATGGAGTTGTACCCGTCATCATCAGAGAGATATCTGTAGTTTGACCTTGCTCCGAACGCCGTTGCTCCTCAGGGCTGCTCTCCTCCACTTGTTGGTGCTTATACGGATCGAGCGCACCAAGCACACCGAGAAGCTTGATGGTGGCTTGGCGCAGGGGAATAACATGGCCTTCGTTGCGAATGATGTTCTGGAGAAGCTCGAGCAGCTGGGGATACTCAAGATAAGGCGTGATGACATAGCCCGAGCTGCAGGCAAACTGGCCCAGAGCATGCAACGCCGCTTCACGCTTGATGTTGGAGCTCTGATCTTGCAGCGCATCAATGATGATGGGCATCAAGTCGGCCTTGTATTGCAGCATGTCTTCGCCGCCCACAGTTGATAACTGCCCAATAGCCTGGAGAATGGTGGCGGCAACGCTGGGATTCGAGTCGCTGGCCCTTGGAGCCAAGACCGAGATCATGGGGTCGACATATGGTTTGATCAGCCCTTGCGCGTTTTGGACAAGTAGACTCAACAATTTTGCGCTCTCTTCCTTGTTGCGCGCCACGTCGGAATACTCAAGCTCTGTAAGCAGCTGAATGAGCGTCTTGCGCAAGGACGGAATGACATAGGCCGGATTGTGCTTGGCGAGACGGCCAATGATCGAGATAGCCACCTCTCGAATAGCAAAAACCTCGTCATTGAGGGCAAAAAACAGGACTCGGATGTTCTCGGCCTTGCTCAAATGCTTGTCGAATCGTTCGTCGAGTGCGGCGAGCACCACGCGTCTGATGCCAGGCTCGGGGTCGGAAACGCCAACAGTGAGAAGCTTCTCGATGACGTCGCCAACCACCTGTAACGCGTGTAGGCTGGTCTGGTTGACGATGGGATCGCGAACATATAGCTGGCAACACGTGAGGGCCGCCGCTTCTCGTATCTCCGGGTCGTCATCCTCCACGTATTTGATGGCAACATCTCGTACGAATTCATTCAGCACGTGGCCTTGGAAATCGAAGCTGCCCAACGTGTTAAGTGCCAGCTTGATCTCGGCCTTGCGATGGTCATACGCCCAAGGATCCTTTGGGTCTTTGGTGATGACTGGCACTGAGCTCAGCGTGTTGGGTTGGGGCGCGCCGAGGGGTTTGAATGGCTCGCCGCACAGAACCTTGCTGAGCATGTTCAGTAGCCGCTCCTGGATAGTTGGCTTGATGGGGGGGATGTAGAAAGCCATGTCAACCAGCGCTTGCGTGAGCTTCGGTGTGAGGTCGCAAGCAAAAATTGGATCCAGTAGAGCTTCCACGTATTTGCTCAGAGTCTGCCCAACCGCGACTGCCAGACGACTGATACAGTCAAAGACAGGATCCACGGTCCCTCTCTTACGAGATGCCACGCTGAGCCCTTCTCTGACGTGAATGACCACGCCGTCCAGATACGGCGCAATGGAGCTTTTGACAGCATTGGCAATGGAGCCGATGGCCAAGAAAGCGTCGTTGCGTTCCTTGTCCTTCTTGAGCATACCGTTGAGGTAGACCATGAATTTGTGAAGCCACGCCTTGGAGAATTCAGAAGGTGCGTAATTGGCAAGGTTGGGGATCAGGATGACCACAGTCTTCCTGATGGTGGGATCTCGATGATCCTTGTGCTTGAAGACAATGTCGCAGACCTGCTGGTAATGCTCGTGCATGAACATGCCGCCTTGCTCGAGTAGCTCTTTGATGACCAGCAGAGATCCATGTATGCTTTCGACAGTGGCCAACCGCAGGCCTTGTTTAGCCTCGGTATACGTCTTGTTCATCCACTGCTGCTTCATGCTCTGATCTCTCTCTCGTATGATCTTGAAGGCTGCACTGACCGTCTCGGCAGAGGTGACGCGAATGAGGTGCTTCGGGTCGCGCAAACCGATCCATATCCATTCAAATATGATGGGCATGTACCCATACATGAGAGTTGGCGCATTCCGGGACAGTTCGCGCAGGACAAGCACAGCACTGTATCGGCGTTCCTCGACTCGGTCGTTCTGCAGCCACTCCAGGGCGGTGTTGACTTCGGAGTCGACCACTTCGGAGATCATAGAACCGCCAGGTCGACATAGCTTTCCCAGTGCCTTGGCAGCAAGCTGCATGGGATTGATGTCCTTTCCTCGGAGGATCGTCTTGAGGTTCTGCATGAAACGAGCGTATTTAGCGGACGCTTCGACGCCTTCAAAGTCGATGAGGGCATCGAGGGCGTAAATGCCACCGATTCGATCGTATGAGTCGTTACCGTGCGCGATCAGATTCGATATGCTTCTGTTAACAGCACCGAAGAAAGCCTGAAAGTTCTCATTGCTCATGTCTGGGTAGTCAGTAACGAGGGACTCTTCAGAATGGGACGTTGCGCATGCGCTTACCTCGATGGCAGACACCGACAAGCTCTCGGAGCTGCAACGCAGCCCTGCTGCGTACTTCATCATTGGCCCTGGCTTTCTTTAGTATCCATCTCGCGGCGAGTTGAACATGAGGGTGAGGGACGTGGGGGACGTACCTGGATCGAAGACCGCGCGTAATGACTTCGAGTCGGTCCAGGGCAATCTGCTGCTGAGGATTCGTCGTCGCCATCCTCCCCGTGGGCGACTATACTATATATACCAGCGACGCATGTGTCGCCCCGAGAGTGGTGAGGTGTTCGTCGCTTCGTTCGCGCGCGCCGTCGGAAGTTTGGGGTATTGACGTGGTAGGTGCTCAGGCCGCAGGTGTCACCGTGGGCGACTGTATCTGTCGAGTCGTTCAAGGCGGAGACAACGCGCCCTGGCCGCCCTTTGAATCGTCGTATCGAGTGGCCGAGGGTCGCCTGCACCGAAAGCAATGGCGTTGATGATGGCTAGAGGTGTGCGAGGCTCTCGAGGTTGGAGGTCCGGCGGTTGGAGGTCCGGCGGATGGACGACTGGAGCTGCAGTGCTGAGAATTGTGGAGCGCGGGACGTGCCAGCCAATTGTTCAGAAACACTGGATCGTTCTGTGGCTGTCGGCTTCGGGCGTCTGCACCACGAGCGAAGCTTGTCTTTTCATGTACGTACGGTCGATGTTCCTTGTTGCAGATCGTCACGGTGCTTTGGAAAAATTATTTGAAACGAAGAGAGTTAAGAGAGAAGTTCCATCATCGGGTCAAGCCATTAAACGGGGCCAGATATTATTTTGTGCTTTGACTCAAGCTTTGTACCAAGTGATTTAGCGTTCAGTGGCAGCCCCAGCGCAGTTAGGACTGGACGTCCCCTGGGCACTGACAGTCTGACAGGGATTGGGCCCCACCAAGGTCGGCACAGTGGCACAGCACAGTACAAACAGTAATCGCCCTCGAGGTCGGAACAACCTTTCCTGCCCAACAAGTGAACCATACAACACACATCACGAGCGCAACCAAACTTCGAGAACACGGTATCCGAACCAGCCACACAATATCCAACCGCCTTAAATTGCGCGATGGGTAACGACGGTGGCTCGATTCCCAAACGTCGCGAGCTCGTCAAAGACGCTGTGCGAGCCCCGACGATTTCCGAACTCAAAGCGACCGCGCTCGAATCGCTGGGCCATGCCTGGACGCACTGCGCCCTGAGCGGCTCCCCCATAGATCTCGCGTCGGTCGTGTCAGATTGGCGAGGGCGCCTGTACAACTACGAGTCTGTGTTGAATGGCCTTGTGCCAGCGGATGAACCCGCCGAGATGGCGCCAGCCTCGATGGGCATCCGGTCGTTGCGCGATGTCGCAAAGCTACAGTTCTCCAAAACAGGCGACAAGTGGACCTGCCCGATATCGATGAAGGAGATGGGACCCAAGATAAAGGCAGTGTACTTGATACCTTGCGGCCATGTGTTTGCCGAAGTTGCCATCAAGGAGATACAGGAGAAGGCATGCCCTGAATGCGCCGAGGCCTTTACCCAGGAAAACGTCATCCCCATCCTGCCCACCGCTCCACCAGATCTCGATCGCCTCGAGAAGCGGCTGGAAGACCTACGCGCGGCTGGGCAAACACACACGCTGAAGAAGGACAAGTCCGAGAAGAAGAAGAAGCGCAAGGCCGATGATGCCAAGGACGACGATGCCGACAAGGCCAAATCGAAAAAACGAAACCATGGCGAGGAGAATGTTGCCAAAAAGGACGACTCGCGCACAAACGGCATCAACAACTCGCTTGCGGCATCCCTGACTGCTAGGGTACTGGCCGAACAAGACGAACGCAACAAGCGTCGCAAGATGGCCGCTTTTAAGACCTGAACTCAAGGCTCAATAGGCTCTGTCTTTGCCTAAACAAGGATATTTCACAACCTCAACATCACGGCCGCGTCGGATGCACTCGCCTCCACTGTTGAACAGCCATTCACCCGGCAGTAAACTGGGTCGATCGAGGCTGTTCGAGACTAGACAGCAGTCTCAACATCGTGGGTTCATCCTCCATATGCACGACCGCGACAGTGCCATCAGGCAGTTACTCCGGCATGCCATGTCCCAACATATTCATATGCATCAAATCAGACAATGTACTTATGCCTCATACATGATGAATCTCTACTCTCCGTGCCATGCTGACTTCTATCCCAGAATCCTCCACTCATTGAACTTTGAGGAACGTCTTTCTCTCATTCCACTCCGTCATCCCCGGTTCCGGGTCCATAAACGTCGTGATCCACACGTCGTCGGCACCGGCTGATCCAATTGATGTGTTCTTGATACGACTGCTTTCCGTTATGCCAAAGGTTGCTTGAAGCCCTCCCGGGCCAATATTGGTGATAGCGCGCGCCGCCTTGACGTCCTGAACGAGTGGGAGCGGTCACCTGGGTGTGTCACGTAGTGGTAAATCGAATGGTGTTCCCTGCCCGATGTCAAAGAACTCCTCTTGGCTGAACTGCTTCATTTCCCTCGCACAGTTCCTCGTGCAGGCTGCTGAGAGCCAGAACAGCATGCCTGACAGCTAGCTCGGTGACTGTCAGCCGGATAACCAAACCACCCCAGAACTCTTCGCCCGCAACGGTGATCCCGCCCAAGAGAAAGGCAGATCGACTCTTGTAGTGGTTGAAAGCCCGCAACTCATCACCCGTCTCCAATGCAGGTGTCAGTCTAGGCGAGTTGAGCAGTGAAGCGCGTGGTCGCAGGACAGGATAGCCATCGCAAACACGACCAGGCTTCACGCAGCGTTGACATAAACGCTGAGTTTCGTCGCATTTGACTACGACATGATACTGCAGGTGTGTGTCTCACTCTTAGTGTCGACTGCGACTGAGTTGAGTTTGATATACAGGGTGCTTGTCACTACCTACTGGTGACTCTCAGAACCGATAGGAGCTAGATGCTGAGAGACAGAGGTCTGACATCCGAAGTTGTCGGCGGTAGGCACTATATTTGAATTTTCCAAGCAAATCGTCTGAAAGAAACACCAATTCCGAGTGTGTACCATACCTGCTCGGATGTCGTCCGCCGGGTCCAGTCGCAGTATCGGTTTATCAAGATTTCTCCACGGATCTTTGATCATAGACCTAGACAAGGGTCTTTGTAGTTTTACTCATGCTTGGGCGGATTCGGTGTACGCATAGCTAATGTAGTGTTTGATTGTATAAATCGAATCGATGACAGTCGCTCCAGTAGATGTACAAAGCGCTCCAATCGATCGCGTCGAGGTTCCAGAATTGTCACTTTGGCTCTAAGAAATCATTCTCTCAACCATCCTGTGGCGATGTTTCGCTACCCCGGGGACATTAATACCAAGGAGACGTACACTAATCTCATGGCTGCCTTGTTTGAATACACTCAAAGACCGATTTGCCTCGAGGGGCAACACGGAGACAGGCTCGATGGCAGGCATCACCTAATCGAGAATATGGATCTGGGTCTGCGGCTACACGCATATACTTCCCTGTGGTAGCAAAATCTTCAATTACAAGGGTGTGTACAAGGTCTAGATGCAGGCAATGTAAGTTAAATGCCCACGACCAACTCCGTGTCAATGCTGTCAGACCTATTCATGTGAGAGACACCGCCCATGGTATCATAATGTACAAGTATCGCGCCATACAGTGTTGTACAAGCCAGACGTGCCTCGCGCTTAAAACATCTTCTCCCCCTGAGGCTCAGCAACCTCGTCCCCAGCTTCATTTCCGTGCTCTGCAGCCTCCTCCTGAGCAACGTCCGAGGTCAGGGGCTTCTTCACAAAAGAGTGTACAAGAAGACCAGCTGCGACACTGACGTTCAAACTGTCCACGCACGTTTCCTGCATAAATTTCGGAATGGATACCCAGTGCGTGCATGCAGCCTTGACAGGCTTCGGCAGGCCGATGCCTTCGTTGCCCAGCACGATTACGCATGGATGTCGTGAGACGGGGCTGCTGCGCTCGACGTTGTCAGTCGTGATGATCCTTTCGCGATGCTGGCGAGCGAGTCTGTTATCGATGGGTGGTACTGCGGCAAACGTCATCCAACCCGCGTTGCTCGAGTCGCGGAGGAACGATTCGGCATTGTCGACTTTGAAGATTGTCATCTCTTCAATGGCCCCTGCGCCCGACTTTTGCACAACGGGGGTGAGATCCGAAGATCCAGTAGAAGAGATGCCGACGGCATCCACCCCGAGGTAGCTCGCTGTGCGGATGATGGCGCCTAGGTTGCCTGGGTCGACGACCTCGTTGAGGAAGAGCACAAGAGGGCGGGCCGTGACTGCACTCCTCCTTGGGACGAATGTGTCCGTACCATTCACCTTGTCCTCCTCTTTACTCTGATATCCGAGTTCGACATGGAAGCCTAGCTTGTCAGGTCTCTCCTCGAGAGCCCCAAGGGATGCCACCTTCCTCGTGGGCAAAGGGCTGGTCTCCAGTACGAAGCCGTTGTGTGGTCTTCCCTGGCTCATTTTGTCCATCAATCGCTGGTCCTCGGCGGGAACTATGGTGATGGGCACATTCTTCTGCCTGGCGAAATTCTTGATCCTGACAGTCTCCCACGTCTGGCGACGGTTCTCTCCGCCATAGATATAGAGATTATACAGTTTACGCTGACCTTGGTCGAGGGCTGATTTGACGACTGACGTTCCGTAGAGAAATTGTGAGGCGGCGGTCGTGTATTTTACTTGGAGTGGCATCATGTTGTGTCGCCGTTCGCGGGGCGCAGGTCGAAATACGCCATCTTCAGGCTCGTGTCGGGTGGGACGGGTGTCTCTGTCGTCGGTTTTGTCAACATTTCGAGCATGCCGATCATCACGACGTTGGAGGGATCGCCCTGAGCGGTCTCCGTCGGCATCAAAGCGGCCTCTCCCGGAGCTAGACGATTCTCGCGCACGCTGGTCGGACCTGTCTTCTCGCCTCGGTGTCATAGGTCGCCTGCGACTCCCAGTAGCAGAGACTTCGTCAGAGGTGTTGTCCATTCGCTGCTTGAAATCGTCGTTGGTCATTCGCGCCCCCCTTGCCAAAGGCTTGACTGGTGGCTCGATGGCATCCTTCAGTCCTTGCAAGTGCCCATGCTTCAACTGGTACACCAAGCTGTTCTTGCCAAAATCTGTCGTCTCATCGTAGAATCTTTTCCTGCGCGTCTTCTTGCCTGTGCCATCGACCTCATCCTGCTTTTTCTTCAACTTTGACAGCAGCTTAGCCTGCTGTCTTTTGGAGCCCGCCCCATCCAAGGCCTTCTGTGTAAGAGACTGGATCTCGGATCGCGCGCGCACATCTTGCCCGGATGTACGTGGACGCCCAAATGAGTTCACGACGCGGTCGCTTGGCTTTCGCGGGCGGCGGGCCGGAGCGCGCTCCCGAGCTTCGCCATACTCTGCTCGTTCGGACTGGCGAAGCCCGCGATGAATAGCCGACAAGCTGGCGTCTCGGGTGAAGACCTTAGACAACGAAGGAGAAGGTGAGCGAAAAGGCCGATGAAGACCTGGAGTCTGTAGCCTGAGTGCTCTTATCATTGCATGGTCAGTTTCCCCGTAAAAAGGGTTGCGATAGTGACGAAGGCTTAATTATCGCGAGACCATCCTCGAGTCCCGAGTGGAAATCGCGTTCTGCAAACAATATCGTGGTACGTCTTTTTCGGCCACGCCACTAGACCGAATGTAGCGGGCGGTGAGCGCTTTGCGAGGTTAGCCAAGGGACCCGCGGCAGGGGGCAATGCAGCAAGCCTTTGATAGACGACGCGCTTCTCAGCAGCCGAAACCGCGTTCCCCAAGACCGAATTCCCACTGTCGAATGCGACTTTGCCATTATCACTTCACCATGAAGTGAAGTACACTTTACTTTTATCGTGGCTGCTGTTTCACACCTTGATCAACCTTTTTGCCCCTTTTGAAAAGCAATATGCCCTTGTCAGCGCTACCTGTGAGCTCACAGCCATTGCCTTTTCTTACAGTGAACCCCACCAGTCGCAAAGGTAAGTTTTGAAGTCAGCGCGTGGCACCCCACACTGCTATCGCGGATCTGGTGTTGACGACTCGAATTGTGCCAGATGGACCCCGATGATCCTCCCATCGTGGCGAGAGACAATGCGACAAACTTGCCTGTGGAAGATGGCAGCTACAACGACCGATCGATGGACATGTCCTTCGACTTCGACAGCCGTGGTGATGATGGGGACCACACCAGCGACGACGAAGATCGTATCGCCAGCAACAACAATCAAATAGCTCCGAATATCCAAGAGGAACTGGGTCCTGAGGAAATAGCATTACGGGCATTGCAGGCATCATCACCGGGCCTAGACGGCCTCGAGCCCAACGTTCGGAAAGAGGAACACGAGGCTGAACAAGATGCGGCGGATGTGGTGATGGGCTCGACAGACCAAGTAGAGCTTGGTACTGAGATCTTGGATACCGACGACAACGCAGCTCCATCGATGTACGGCTCACTACAGCCTGCCCGTACGGACGAGCCCCAAGCCACAGGGCCGGCGCCGCGCAAGACCCAGGAGCAACCTCTGTCACAAAACGTCGAAGTTCTCTTACAGTCAATATCGCCGTCGAGGAGACACGAGTATGTTGAGGTGGTCAGTGACATTGTCGACTTTGTGAAGGGAGAGAACTACAACTCTGCTGGCCTGGCGGGCTTTGCTGTCGAGTTCACAGATGGCAGAGAGGAGCTGGTGAGTGGGCTTTCAACCTGGTATTTACCATTTGCGCACCAGCCTTTCCTTTGCTTCTGAAGTCTCGTGTCCACGGGCTGCTTCCTTCTCGACAGAACAGTTTTGTCAAGCCCGCGAACAGGAGTCCGTTGATTCGAGTCCCCTCCATTTTCCCTCCTTGATATCAGTTCATCTCGCACGTTCCATTCAAATTAACCCAGGAGCACAGCCCCGGGCAGCCTTGCTTCTCTCTTCCTCATAACCACGTCATTTCTTCCGATTCAATGATTAGCACATCATTAGCATATCATCACTCAGCCCCTTCAATTACAACATCGCTGACGCAAAAAGCTTACTCACGATCAATTACTCTCCCACAAGAACGGCCCAATGGCTCTACAGCGCTTCTATACACCTTCGAATGAAGTTCTCGGGAAACGCAAGCGCCTCGACGGGGATGATTTTTTGCCAGGAGACCGCTTTTCTTCCCCCGAAAGCTTGGTTGACGACCTCGACGACGACGAACAGCATCGGCGGGCCTCCAGACCAATGCGCAGCTCGCGCGTCACTACTCACTATGACTTTGATAACCACTCACTAGCAGATCTGGAGAACGGTGAAGACGAAGACATTGTCATGCAAGCTCCGCGCCGAAGTACTCGTGAGAGGCGGCGCCCCCCGATAGCACCGGCACCCCCTCCCGAGGACATGGACGAATTGCAACAGTCTGGCGACGATCGGGACCATATTCCTTTCATCACCTCCGATGTCTCAGTCTTCAAGCCTGGGCAGAAGGGCAGATACCGACGGCTTACCATGCGCGGCAAGCTGCCTGGGCGCTCAAGAAATAAGTCACCAGCGTCAGACATTGAGTTTGATGCACCTCGTCGATCGAATAGAAGCACCCGGCACAAGTACAGCATGGGTGATGACGATGCTTTCGAAGAAGAGTCCCTCTATTTGGTCCCGGAGAAGCCGATAGGGCCCCCCAAGGCCATTTCCATTCGGGAGGTCTATCGGCAAATCGACCCCCAAGCGCCTTTTGCTGCACATCATTACGCCGCTTGTCACACTTGTCGCTCGAGTCAAAGCAGCCAGCTAATATACTGCCAGGGCTGTAGTCTGACGTACCACAAGAATTGCATCGGATATCGAAGTGGTCGTGAACACATCGTCACCAAGGTTGGCGACAGTGAATTCGTTCTACAGTGCAAGTTCTGCATTGGTCTGTACGAGAAGAAGGACGTCAACGCACCAAAATACGATCGGTGCCAGGGATGCAAACTGCCCGGCAAGGCCTGCAAAGCCTTTTCGGAGAAGAAAACATCCCGCCAAGAGGAGAAACTGCGCGAGGAAAACGGCGGCATAGACCCTGTCACGCATGTGAACCCGGCTCTCGTTAACAACGGAGATATTACCCTGTTTCGCTGCGTCAGGTGTCATCGTGGTTGGCACTTTGAGCACCTACCGCCCATTGGGGAGCACTCACCCGCCAACGATGTGCGAGCTGAGCGTCTCAAGGACTACTCTATTGATTGGCAGTGTAACGACTGTAGAACAGCGCGACGCAACATTCATAGGCTCGTTGCTTGGCGACCAAGTGATCGGTTTGTCAAGACGCTGGGAGAGACCGCTTACAACCTGTCCTACTCGGAAGTGTGTGAGGATGACAAGGAGTATCTCGTCAAGTTCGAAGGTCAATCTTACGCCCACTGCAAATGGAAGGCGGGTGCGTGGGTGTTCGGCAGGGCTGCGACGGTGTCCCGCAATTCTTTTGCAAAGAAGGATGCCGAGAAAAGTTTGTTGATCCGAGATGAGAAGCAGGCCATACCTGACGAGTACCTGATGCCTGATGTGATTTTGCACGTCAAGTGGGACAAGTCTGCACCCCGATTCCAGTCTCGCGCTGAGGAAATTGCAAACATTGACTACATCCAGAAGATCTTTGTCAAGTTTCAGGGACTTGGGTACGACGACGTCGTTTGGGATCGGCCTCCAGCCGAAGACAGCGGCAGGGACATCTACGGCGCCTTCATGGAAGCCTTTTACGACTATTTGGAAGGCAAGTACTTCGAACCTGTCTCTCACCGTAAGATTCAAGAGCGGGTCAAGCAGTACAGGGCCACGCCGTACAAGGAAGTCAATCAGCAACCCAAGGGCTTACAGCAGGGCACCCTCATGGGATACCAAATCGAGGGTCTAAACTGGATGCTCGACAATTTCCATTGTGGCATGAGTGTGGTGCTGGCTGACGAGATGGGGCTGGGGAAAACAGTACAGGTGGTGGCCTTGGTGACTTCGTTGATCCAAGACCATCCTCAGATCTGGCCCTTTCTCATTGTCGTGCCGAATGCCACATGTCCCAACTGGCGTCGCGAATTCAAGCGTTGGGTACCAGACTTGCGTGTGGTGACCTATCACGGCGGTCGAGCGCCACAAGAACTGGCATACAAGTACGAGCTCTTTCCCGAGCGTTCGAGCGACATGATGGCGCATGTGGTGATCATGTCCTATGATTCGGCCGCCGACCCAAACACCAAAAACCTGTTCAAGAACGTACACTGGCAGGGTCTCGTGGTTGACGAGGGCCAACGTCTGAAGAATGATTCAAACCTTCTTTACGGTGCTCTCAAGTCCATGGGGATTCCCTTCCGCCTCTTGCTTACAGGCACTCCTCTGCAGAACAACAAGCGTGAGCTTTTCAACCTTTTACAGTTCATCGACGACTCCCAGAACGCAGCCAAGCTTGATCAAACATTCGCAGTCCTCGACAAGGAGACACTACCAAAGCTGCACGAGAAGATCCGCCCATATTTCCTGCGCCGTACTAAAGCTGGCGTCCTCAAGTTTCTTCCACCCATGGCGCAAATCATTCTCCCGGTGTCTATGACGGTCATTCAGGAGAAGCTTTCCAAGAGCATTATGGCCAAGAATCCCCAGCTCATCCAGTCCATGTTTGCTAACAGCAAGATGAGTAAAAAGGAGCGCGGAAGTCTGAACAACATTTTGATGCAGCTGCGCAAGTGCTTGTGCCATCCCTTTATTTACTCGGACGCCATTGAGGAGCGACACCATGATCAAGTCGTGTTGCAACGCAACCTGGTGGAGGCATCTGCGAAACTTATTCTTCTACAGATCATGCTGCCCAAACTCAAGGAGCGCGGTCACCGAGTGCTCATTTTTAGTCAGTTTCTACAGCAGCTTGACATTGTTGAAGACTTCCTGGCCGGTTTAGGGTTCGGGTACCGACGCTTGGATGGACAAATCTCCAGTCTCGAAAAGCAACGGCGCATCGACGCCTTCAACGCAGCAGACTCTGAGCTATTTGCTTTCTTGCTTTCTACGCGCGCTGGTGGTGTGGGCATCAATCTCGCCACTGCCGACACTGTCATCATTATGGACCCTGACTTCAACCCTCACCAGGACATCCAGGCTCTGTCGCGTGCCCATCGTATCGGTCAGAAGAAGAAGGTCCTCTGCTTCCAACTTGTGACGAAGGATTCGGTCGAGGAGCGCATCATGCAAATTGGCCGCAAGAAGATGGCCCTCGATCACGCACTGATTGAGAGCATGGACGATGATGACCTTGCAGGCGATGACCTGGAGTCTATCCTACAGCATGGCGCCAAAGCATTGTTTGACGAGAACTACCAAAAGGACGCCATCGTCTACGACTCGGCGTCTGTTGACAAGCTACTAGATCGCTCTGTGGTAGAGCAAACCGAAACGACTGAGGAAGGTTCCGGTGACAACCAATTTTCGTACGCCAAGGTATGGGCGAACGAGAAGTCCCGATTCGACAACGCTCTTGGAACGAGTGAGGAAGCGGCGCCCGAGCCACTCAAGTCTAGTGTTTGGGATCAGATCCTGGCCCAACGTGAAGAGGAAGCGCGGAAAGAAGCAGAGGCCAAAAAGGAAGTACTTGGCCGTGGTGGTAGAAGGAGAGCGGTGAGTGAAGTTGGGACTCCCCAGGCAGTGTTACGCGAGCTAACTTGCCACGAGGTGGTCGACAACAACGTAAATGCAGCTGTCGAAGCGGCGGCCCTGTTGGGCCAAGCCGAAGCTGATTCAGCGGATTCGTCCGACGCCTATTCTGGCTCTGACGAAGGTGAGGGATCCGAAGATGAAGCTGATGCTACCAAAGGTAGGAAGCCAAAACAAACCTCCAAGACAAAACCAGCATCAGCATCCATCCCTTCCAACAAATCAACGCCGCCCAAGAAACGAGCAGCATCCACTAACAAGCAGAACAAACAGACTCCCAAGACCAAGCCAATGTCGTGTCCGAAGCGCAAGATCTCCGGACCGCAGACACAGGCGGCCGCAGTAAAAGCCACATTGTCAACGGCACCCAAAGTACAGACCCCTCGAAAACGCACAACTACAAAGGGCAGGCAAGCAATCCCGCCAAAGCAGCTCCCTACCCCGGCCAAAACCCCGTCCCGAGCAACGTCAGCCGCGGCCACAGAGACTCCAACCAAACGCAAGCCGGCGCCAGCTTGCCCTCCCAGGCCATCGTCCATGGAAATGGTAGAGGAGCCCCTGACCCCCGCTTCTGTGGATACATCGGAGACAGCCCAGTAAATGGCAGCATGCAGCACATCCATCCGCCACAGCCTCCACAACAGCAGCAACAGGCAGCGGCAGTGCAGGCGCCCATGTTTCCAATACCAAGTGTAATGAAAACGCACTCACCAGCTAGTATAAGGCGAGCCAATGCTATCCCTGCAAACGGGAGTAACCATCGGACGCGGACGATGACGATAGATGTGAACACAACAGAAGCACAGATACGGCTTGCCATGGATTCAATACAGCGTTCTGCATGGCCCCGCGAGAAGAAGGAGCAACAATTCACGATATTACTAAAAGCACTGAGCAACAAGACAAAGGAGGGCACACGGAATTAGCGGCCCGTTGGATTTAGGAACATACCCATAACATTACTAACTGAACGCGGCGGAAGAGGCCTTTGAACATGGCTTCAACGGGGACACACTGGCTTCCGGCACAGGCATCAGGCTATATTCACCGCCAGGTGATGGCGGCAGAGGACACACGGCAATAGCGATAAAGCAGGGATGCGTAGCTTGGCTCGGACGCAATTCGGCATTGCTTGCCTGCATATGCTTCGTTGACGTGCAGCGAAATGAGGAACCGGGATCCATCAGATCTTAACCGTTGGCTTCATGCATCTTGCCGACGGTCAACAAAAGTAGCAAAGCAAACGCCATTTTGATCTGACCAGATGATAGCCTGGTTCTATTTACTAGAAGTCCAAAGGAAACTGTGAACCATTCATTCCTTGTTGTTCTCATTCTTGACATCGGCTTCTTCTACTGACTTCCTATATCGCTTCTGGTGCTGTCTGCATGTAGTATACAGCGTCGAACATCACTATCCCTTGTCTACGAATCATGACACATCTCTTTTCCCCGGCCGACTCCGCCAACATGACGCCTCGTCCGGCCAGAGATGCCAATCCAGCTCCTCCACTCACTCCGCAGCACGTGTACTCCATGAGTCGGGACAGCACGGCCGTCCCAACCTCAGCAGCGTCCTTTGTCCGTCGCCAGCTTCCCAACACGTTCGCCCAGCACCGCGACAATTCGAGCAATCTGGGCCTCACCAACAGAGTATACCCGGTGACGTCTCAGATGGTCGCTGCTGGGCAACAATCAGTCCCTCGAACGAATCATGCCACAGACATGGTCAGCAAGCCCCATCGCGCGGGAGAAACCATCTGGTCTACCGTCCCGAACGTGCAATGGCACAACTATGCTACCAACCCGCCCACGCCAACCAATTTCGACAACTTGTCTGCGTTCCAGAATCTGACCATGGCCCCACAGCAGACGCTGACTTCTGCTACGCACATGCCTGAACTCACCATCAGGACGGACGGCCACCACGTCTACCTCGACCGTGGAGGTGGTAAAGTAACAAGGCTCGTGGCTGTTGACCGCTTGCCATCTCTACAGGGAGTCAGTGCCGTTGAAGATCTGCGGCTGGGCATGGAGATTGTGTCCAGCGTTCGTGCCCTGGGTTTGAATGAGCGTGTCATGGTCCAGGTAAGTTTCATCCGTGAAAAACCAACGGAGGCGCTGCGCTAACAAGATGACAGGCTTCGCCTCTTTCGTCTGTAGGTCTCCAGTCTCAGTTGCATTTCTTCTCCCAGTGGTATGGCGAGTGTGCTAACGACTTCCAGCAGCATCGAACCGCGGGTTCTGTTAACACGAAGAAGACAAAGATATACTGCGACAAGTGGATCCACGAGGGCATCTGCGCCTTTGAGCAGCAAGGCTGCCGGTTCAAGCATGAGATGCCCCAAGACAAGGACATCCTTCAGAGCCTGGGTCTCTACAATGGCGTGCCGCCTATCTGGTGGAGAAAACACCAGGCCGAGAAGAACCGTCGCTCTCCAGGTTCGGCTGGCCACAAGCCCTTTGACGATGTCGGCAAGTCCACTGGCGACCGGGACAACGTGGCACTGGCAAGCAACAAGCCTGACGCGAACTGGCGACGCAGTGAGGGCAGCATGCAGGCCGGTGAGGACACTCCGGAAAATCGAGATCGACCATTTGTTCACATGCTGACTACCTTCAAGGGAGACGTCCTGCTTCTCTGCAATCGGGCACGGCGATCACACACCCATTTGGCCCCATTCAGCCGCCCAGACCCAGCAGAGATTCTTGGGTGACTTGAGTTGGGCTTGAGAGCTGGATGGGATTAGGTGGGCAGCGACGGGACCAAGGTATGGATTGCAGTGGACAGGCATCATAGATATTTTCGTATCAATTGGCAAGTTCTCAAAACAAAAGTTTCTTCGTGAGAGATGGGGGACCTTTTGTCGTTAGGGGAGTTTTCTGTGAAATCATGAGCTTTGTTGATGTTGTCATTGTCAGGGGTTTATTTACTTGTGAGTTCGGAAGGCAACAGTTACAAGGACGGGATACGTCGCCGTACAGCGCAAACAATTAAAACTACTTAAAAGAAAAAAAAGGAAAAATCGAGAGTCAATTGATTCTGTTCAACAGTTATGGTATTGTAAACAATGAACCATTTGACGCGCTGTTCCAACCAACCTCAATGACGAGTTTGTTGGGGGAGGTGTAGGGTAAGTCTGCGGAATGGCGCCCGTCGGTGAGCGCTCGGTGACCCCGCGACGCTTATGGCGGGGAAGCCAGAGGTACCTCATCAGGGCTGCCTTCGGCTAAACAATGGCGCGACGCGAGCTTGCCTCGCCGTGCCGTTCGAGCCTCAGAGCATGCTCACTTCCTTCGCCGCTATACCGGCTAGATTACCTGACGAACTTCGATATTGGTCTCTGATTGCTCAAGTCTTTCCACACTTCGAGCTGATACATCCTCATCGAACGTCTTCCGAGCCGCTGCAACACCTTACGCTGCGATCGACAGTCAAGTACGTCACAACACCACTCGATACGATATCTGCCACCCGATAGCTCGATCACACCTGTGTGCGAGTGCGAAGGCGCCCGTTGACGGGCCTGCGTCGATATGGAGCAAGATTTTGGCCTCCTCGCGAGCTTTCCTCCGCCTGTGGAGCTCCACATCGAAGACCAACATCTCGATCATGCGGCCAAAGAATATATCAGGGAGCTGAACCTGAACAAAGCTGAACTCAAGAAGGCAGTCATTTCGAATCATGCGGGAGCAATAGAGGTCTGAGTTGGCAGCACAAGCATCGATAGTCTATGTGCTAATCGAATGTAGATTGCTGATCCCGCGACAAACACCATCGGCTGTTGCTTCGTTGCCTCGATTCTGATTGATGCTCTCCGGTCTAAGGACTCCTCGGCGATTGAGCCAGCAGCGGTACACCAAGTACTCTTCAACTTTCTTTCGCGCTTCGATGTTCTTCAAGTCCGTTATGTCGGCTCGCTTTTCCGCTCAATATTGGAAGAGGTGTGCACCGCGAGGTTTTTTTCGGTAAGGAGCTGTAGCTGTCTGGCGACAGACCCTTAGCTAACAGGACAAGCCACTTTTCACTGTTGAACTCGTGAGTGCGGCTATCTTCCGTCTAGATCCTAGTGGTTCCGTTTACACTTCGGCGTACCTGCCGGTGGCCAAGCTAGCTCTCGCCGAGGACTGCGTCGACGCTGTTTTACCCATAATCGACCGCGATCTCACATTCTTCCCTGGCGCGCCCACTATGCGCCACGGCCGACCGCTCTTCGACGCCGCGCTACCACCACCATATTACATCACGAAATCTACTGGCCTGACCGACGACGTTGAACCGGCTCATGTGCTCGAGTACTACTACGTGAGCGGACTCCTGTACATCACGAGACGGGATTGGACCAAGGCGCGCAAAGCCTTTGAGCGCGCCGTGACGTATCCCGGGAAAGATCGCGGGGTTAGCAGAATCTCTTTGGCGGCATACAAAAGGTGGCTCTTGGTCGGGTTGCTAGCAGATGGCGCGGCTCCTACCCTGCCAAACTATACCTTGAGCTGGACGAAGCATTCATTTCCTCGACTGTGCGCTACTTACACGAACCTCACCGAATCCTTCCTCGCTGGCACGTCGGAAACTCTCACGAGCACGGTGTCTTCGAATGCTGCAACCTGGGAAGAGGACGGCACGCAATCGCTGGTTGCTGAGGTGGTCGACGCCTATCAGCGGTGGCTTATTGTCAAACTCCGCCATGTATACTCACGGCTCCCGATTTCGCAGATCCAGAAGGAGATAACGCGCGCACTGACGAGCTTGAACGCAGGGGATGTGATAGCGTTACTGGAGTCGATGATTGATTCAGGATCGCTCAAGGCTGAGCTGCGAAGAGGAGCGGCTGGAGAGGAAGACTACCTCATCTTCCAGGAAGACAGAGCTCTGCTTTCGGAAGCGGACTTTGCGCGCGAAATTGCCCAATCACACCACACAATTACGTCACTGACAGAGGAATACAAGCTTGTGAACGAACGCCTCAGCACGAATCGCGAGTACGTGAGCCACATGGCCAGGGAGACGAAGCGGGCCGAGAAGGAGAAGGAGAATTTGATGGGCGATTTCGAGGAAAACCTCGAGGACGATGAAGATCTGATGACGGGCGCCATGCAGGTCGATAACACCGATTAAGAGGCGCCACACTCCTGGCATCATGCCTCAACGTTGCATTGAATTGCGGGTGGCATCGCATCAGAAGGAGCATAGCCGTCTTGCTGGTGAATATCAATAATACAAGCAGCATTTCATCTTTTATAACCACATTGTTTGCAACTCCTCGGCGCGGCTTAACTATGACCTAATAATAGTTGCATACAGGCCAGAGAGTGGCAATACCGCCTGCACTGTGATTTGACTCTTGCTTCCGCAGAGCTTAGAGCTACTTGACACTTTCCCTTATTACTTAGGTACTACCGTAAGGTATCTATCTACCTTAAGGTTAGGTAAGGTACGGTAAGATCACCCGCGGTAACTTTGGAAACCTAAAACTCATCCTAGACCTGCCGCCAGATGCAAGATCCCCTCTCCCCTCGCAAGCACCTCAACTGACTTGCCAGGCGAAGGACTGCATGTCTTGCGTTGGCACACCTACTTCACCAACACATGATTATATCACCTATATTGGATATCGATAGCCACCATGCATCTTTACGCTGCACTATCAGTTGCTCTCGCTAGTATTGATACATGGGCTTGTGCAGCACCGACGGCTTCGCAGGATCTAGACCCCTTTGCCAACACCACCAAAAGGGACCACGCTTTGACAACTGACAGCAAAGAAAGGTCTCGTAAGTCAACATGCAAAGCTTCAATTGACTCAGACGAATAATGACACAATTGACAGCGTCTGGAAACGCAGGCGCATTGTCACTCACCTCCAATGGCCGAGGACTCGCACCCGTATACCGCTGTAAACACTTTGATCACCTGGGTACCGCCTATCTGACTCTCATGAATGGAACACCTTACACTTGGCAGCGTAACTATTCACACTCCTATCAAATGGTTGGTTAGAAACAAGAGTGTCCCTTGTTAGTGAAGGCAGGTGAGGCAGTGCAGTTCCTCATCCAGCCTAGTCAAGGCCTGTTTGAAAAATCAACCGACAGCGCCGGGGAGCTTGTCTTTCATCTTGAGGGAACATTGAAGCCCATGGCATTCGAGCTGAAATACCGCCATAACAAGCAAAAGTACCAATGGGAGGCGCAAATTATCTTCCGTGGGGATCTCATGTCTTCGCAAGCGGGAAAAGGCGCCACCACGATGATTGGCAACTCGCACACATGGTTTGTGCCGCCTTCTCTACCTGGAGCGTACGGCGGAACGGCCTTTCTCTTGGCTGGCACCGAAGCAAATGGTTTCATTTCGACGACCGACGTGGACAAAGCTGATGGAGACGCTGGCTAGATGCACAACATGCTTCCGCAAATTGGACAAAAGTCGTTACGCGAGATCATTGTCCCGCGTTCACACCACGCTGCCCTCAATGTTGAGAATAGCACCAGGCTCGGGGTTTTGGGGATCGAGAAGTATGCAGTTACCCAGACTCGCTCACTGGCAGAGCAGCTGCGCCGTGATGGCGTTCGTGTTCTGGACACTCGCGTAGCAAAGATCTATCCACGACCGCAGGGCATCAGTTCTTGGTCTGACACGTTGTTCAGCGAGTTTCACGGAATCAATTCTGGTGCTGGCTTGCAAGGTATGGCAGGACATACCCTGCCTCATATCATTGATGCCATCAACCAATTCAACGAAGAATACCCCGGGGAGCTGATCATCTGGGAGTTTCACCAAGACACCTTCGTGCACGTTGGGAGAGTCGGTAGCTCACAAGATGCGGCAACCACGCGCAATCTGGATGACGAGGAAAGGATGGAAGTATTCAATATGCTCAAGCGAAATCTCAAGCACCGCGTGGACTTGCCCGCAATTGCTGAGGGCGTGGAGGACTATACGCAAATCCCCCTCGAGCGCTTCATTGGAGACCGGAAGTCAGCAGTTCTGGTCGTCTTCGCAGATAACTGGATGCACGCCATGATTGACAAGGGCGAAACGTTCGCTCAAGAGGGCATGACAACCAGAAGCAAGTTCCCCTACATAGGGCAATGGACAGACACCGAACAGATAGCCAAAATGACGAGGAACCAGCTTGCTCAACTAAAGAGACTGCGCCTCCAGCCAAAAGACAAGCTTCTTGACCTGCAGTGGATTCTCTCCATGGGGCCATCTACGTTCCTGCGGATGTCCGGCAAAGATCTGATTACAATGGCACGCCAGAGCATGGTTGAATTCAGAAAATGGGTTTGGATGTATATGACGACGGGGAGGTATCCGAACTGGGTGACCCTGGACGGGCTGGAGAACGGTGAGATGAGGACCTGGGCAATGGCAGCCAACCTGTGCTTCGTGGCACGAAAGTGTGGTGACTGGGCACTGTCGCCGAGATCTGACATGAAAGGGGGGAGCTGAGGATGTGAACTTATTATGCGAGAGATCCGACAGAACACTACTTGCTGTACCCTAGTTCATTGAATGGCAACATGACTGGATTTCTCTGAACGCGATGAACTCTATTCATCTGAGTGCTCTGATTTGCAGTGAAGAGACGCAAAAGACAGATTCCACGGTCAGGGAGCTCGATTTGGACTGTGCTTCATTTGGTGACCGTTGCCACTGCTTGATGTTCCAGCCCAACGTGCTCGATGGACGACTGGCCATGGATTGAATGTCAAGTGCAACTGCGGGGGCCTGCGTGTCTAACGCAGTAGGGGTTTTGCCGTGACTGAGTAGGTAAGGCGAGTTCTTCCAAATCACCCAGAACTAGAAGGAGCGCCGAAGGTTACTCGGCTGATACAGGCAGAACAGACTTGCCTTATTCGCTGGCACAAGCCAATTTCATTTTGCGTCAAGAGTGCGTGCTTCTGCAACACATTAGACCGATACCAATTGGGTACCCAGCTGGCATTATGCGGCAGATGGGGCTCGAAGAAGCAATCATATACGTTCTTAGCACACACAGATGTCAATATCATGACTTCTCTACTCTGCTAGTCCTTCCCCCGGCTGCACATGCTTCTTGCCTGCCCTCACAGGGAGGCAAGCACCACACGTCCATGAAGCAGGTAGGTACCTACCTTACACTCATGCTTCGAAAGGAGAAGGAACCTCTTGCCTAAAAGAGATCGTCAACAATGTACCCCTTTAAAGGTCTATAAGCTCGCAAACGTACCGCCTTTTTTTCTCTTCTTCCCACCATCTTCTTCACAACATCAACAGAATCAGTTCTTTTTGGCTGTCTCAAACCCATAACAATCTTTCCACACACCAAACCATTAATTGCGTCAACTTCCATCATCATGGGGAAAGGACACCACACGACCCGTGCACCTTCCAGGAAACATGCCGCCACACGTGTGATCGCGCATGCCGAGACACAGACTGCGATCTTCACGCACCACTACAATCACGACAATAATATCTTTCCTCGACGTTCCATCGAAAAACGTTCAAATATCACACAGCTCCTGCTGCAAGATCTCGGGGATGTTTGCCAAGATGTCAACAGGTTCTACGATGGAGATTCCGACGAGGATCATAACTCGGAATTCGGCGGGCGATCATTTGTCAAGGCTAGCGATGATACCCCCAAGCTGACTGGCGAGAGTCTTGCAAAGTACTTTGGCCACGAATGGGACAAAGAAGACGAGGCGAAGGACAAGGAAGTATGGGACAAGATTGCTACTGATATCTACAACTGGGCCTGCACTGACCCCGAGGACGACATTTCGGATCAGGGCACTGACGATCTCGATGCACCCGGAGCCAAATCCACGGGCACATCTCAGCCGCACTACAACATCACCGATTCACTCAACTTGACGCATACCAGCGGATTCGGGGAGAAACCTTCTACAACTGAGACAGCTGTCATCGCGACGAAGTCTCCCCTCGGAAAGAGCACCGACAATGTTGCCACCATGGGCATGGGCAACGTTCCGCTTGCATTGGCAGCCTTTCTTTTACTGGTGGCATTTGGCATGTGAGGCATCTATGCGCCTGCCAGTTCTCGGGGAGAAGTTGTAGAACATTATTAGCTGTAGACAAGGAAGCCCACCACAGGGGACACACAACAAGGAGGAATACAAACACCATGGATAGTCTCGATCCCACACACCTGTCAATCGATCGCGTACCATCCAATCGTGCGAGCTGTACAGTAGTGATGTCGCGGCGCAAGCGGATGACCTTGTACTCGAGTTGCACCATGCTATTTGCTTACAACCACGCCAGGTCTGATCAGGGGTTTCACATCTAGTCCAAGCACAAAAGCAGGAGGACCTTGGAAGGATTTATTGTTCATGCTATGGCAATCCTGCTTATTCAGGCATGTGCTTGAAGGGCTTCTCCAGGTTCTCCTTGCAGAAAGGCAGCTTGCCGACAGTCCAGATCTCGGTATCCTAGATTGGTCAATTTTCTGCAGTACGGAACATTGGGGACTCTAGGTGAACATACGGGCTTGAGGTTCTTCTTGAGCTCCGAGTCAAAGGTGCCAGCCTTCAGGGCGATGATCTCGGGGGCGGCATCGGGATCGTGCGCAATGGGCGAGCCGCACTCGGAGCAGAAGAGGCGGTGGACGTCCTTGCCGGAGGAACCCTTGGAGGAATACTTCTTGACAGGGCCGTTGACAGTGAGCTTGTCCTTGGGGACGACGGCGACGAGGGCTGGGGATGATGTGAGTCTTGCCGAATGCCAATGTAAGCCGAATCAAGGGGGAGGCTTACAGTAGGTCGAGCCGGACTGGCGCTGGCAGTCGTCGCAGTGGTCGTAGCCGGTGATGAGAGGGGCTTCGACGTCGACCGAGTAGGTGACGGCCTTGCAGAGACAGTGTCCGGTGAGAGGCATGATGGCTAGTATGGTATGTGCGAGTAGGCGTAGGATGTAAGATTGTAATGTCGAGACCGAAGAGCTCTCTCGAGGGGACCTGGCGGGGTAATAAATAAACGTGTCTCGGAGCTATGAGCTATGGTGGACCATGACGATATGTCATAGGACTCTGGTACAGGGACCGCGGAGAATTGGCACAGTCGTCTTCCAGTCATCTCCAGGTTCTGCACCATCTACCGCCCATGATACTCTGCCTGCACCCAAAAGACGGCAAATTATGCCTAGTTACATCCAATTGCAATGGCATCAGTCTTCCACTCCGTTGGAATAGCCCGCCAGAGTCTGTGAAGAGCTGTCTTGCACGGTGTGGAAATGACCAGAGGACGGGTGTCGAATGTCGTCTCGCAGCTCTCGCTCGTGTCGGCGCCAGTGGGTAAGCTGCCAAGAACGGGAATGATTGGGTGATATAGATCCCGTGTTCTAGCATTTCCTGCCTGCCGGGGGAATCATATCATGTCGAGCTCTTGGGCTGCATCGTCACTGGCGTGGCATCGCGTACCTAGAAGATGAATTCCAAATCACGTCCCAGCGCAAACAATGCCAAATGCTTCAAAAAATCGTCACGGGTTCTCTCTTGCCGACCCACTGATCCAGTTGTTTCGGATTGGCGCATCATGTACGCAGTAGGTATTTGGAATCGATGTCGCAGCTCCAGCCTGGCTGCCGCTGACCCCGCCAAGGGGTCCTGGAATCTGACTCCGAGTATGCCGGTCCGTCCTTCCAACGTCAAAGAGGCAACAAACCATGGGCGAGTTGGAATATATCGTTTTGCCGAGTGATCCGCTCTTCAATTCGTGTATTTTTTAACAGATACGGTGCAGACCTTGGCGATGGTCCACGCTATCGTGAGTCTGAATGCAAGTCGTATCACGCTCAGTGCGCGTATGGAACCGTGGAAGAGGCGCTCGGCAAGAAACAGCTGAAGTACAGCCGACCGGTACCTCCGTTTGAGCTCGTTATCCCTTTGGCCAAGGATGAAAGCATCCATCGCAGACATTCGAAATTGTCGAATGTCAACACCCGTTGGTAGAGTAGATTCTTTCCTAGTCGACGGGTTTTCCCTCTTGATCGCAGGTGGTCGCTTACGCAGCATTCGGATAAGGCTGAACGCGACATAATCCACGAGACTCTGCGTCTGTAGTGGTCGACTTGGCCTTTTCAGAAACAATTGACCAAGAACCTCGGGTTTGTCTGTCCAGATGGTTTGATGCTCCCGCAGCTCGCAAAACATAGCCTCCATGTCATGAGCATAACCGATGAATCTCCTATAGAACTCCGGGGTGAGTACTTTGAACTGGACGTGAATAACTCCGTTGGACTTTGTTGCGATGGCTGTGGTGGGAGGATTCTGCTGTCGCCGCTGGACGCCGCTCCCAATGTAGTTGACCACGACAGGTAAATTGCTTGCTTCCCCGGATGCGAGGAGATACTTTTCAAATGCAGACTCGATATCTCGGTCTAGGAAATCGGCGGGGCGCTGGTCATGTATTTCGGGTTGCTTGTTGCTACGCTCACGACTAGCATACTGGCTGAGATAAAGCTGGATGCCTTCGAACCAGCTTGTAACCGTTGCCGTGATGATGGTCGACAGAACGGAATAGGTGAACGTGAGCTTCTCGAACACACCAAGGTGCCCAACCCTGAGCGGTTCACCTGTAGCTTGTAGGCCTAGAATAGACTCTCTTGGCCCATTCGAAGTGTGGTCGGGCATGTCGATGGCAATGCTTAGTTTCTGCCGCTTGCGTTGCATTGAGGTGAGTGGATCAGTCGTTCGGATCGTCCTTGTCCCAGCCTCTAAGCCAAGTCCAGAGATCGAGGGGTCTCTCAGGAAGGTGGTCTCAAAAGAGAACACACGTGGGCCGGACACATCGAGCACCGGATTCGTAGACTGGGTAGCTCGAGAGACTGGTATCGGGAAACCAATGGAGAATTCGCGCTCACCACTGGGGCTGTGTACCTCGAACACCATCACAGAGAGCACGCTATCCATGGAATAGAGATACCAAAGCGAGACGCGCGGTGGGAGGCAAACCCCAAACGCATTGAGCCCCGTGACCAAGTAGGCATGAGAGAAGTACTCGGGTTCGATTTCCTGACGCTGTTAGATCGGGTACTTCGATTCAGGACTGATATTACCTGTGACCTGAGGAAAACTTTCAGTTTCAGATCCAAGCTTGCCGACCCATCGTCGTTTGCGAGGTGGTCTTTTGGGTTCACCGTCGCCCAATAATGGAAATTGAGGTCAACGCATCGGGGGCGCGTATGCACATGACCGCTGGTGCATTTCTGAGCCGGCGAGCGGAGCGAAACCAGCTTTCCCACCAAATTTAACCTGTCGGCTGTATAGCTCTTAGTCGAAATCGTTACTTTGCACGGTATCAGCTCCTCGTTGCCGGTCGATGCTTGGCTCAAGGCGTGACCGAGAAGGGAACCGCTGGCCAGCGCCATTGCCACTACCGGCACCAAGGACAGGACAAGGTGATTGCTGATGACATCGTGGAGTCGAACAGCCAGATATAGGTCTTGTAGATTCAGCCATGAAAGGAACAGGACAATGAAGATGAGGTTCAGCCGCGTGTGGAAGAAGTGGGCGTATCCAAGAAGAGCAGAGATTGCCCAGAGGACGTGGCCATGGTCACGGAAGGCCGTTTCAGTGTAGTCCCATGCATTCAGAGCGCAGACAAGAGGAGAATCATCGTGAATGCTATCCATTCGTAGGAGAAGCTCTGATTTCAACGAGAAGAGGGGACGGTCGGTGTTCTGGAGGGTCGTCCGAGGAATGACTGGCCATCAAGGTGCAGCCTGTTTTAGGGGAGTGACAACACTGCAACGAGCATTCATCGAGATGGTCGCACTGAGTGCGCTACAGTCTACAGACAAGACAAGACAAGTATTTTACAAAACTCTAATTATAGAAGGCCCCGTTCAATGAGCGTAATGAAGCACATATTTATATACATGAACTAATGCCCTTTGCTGCAGCTGAGATGCTGGAGACTTGGGTCGCGACTCGCAGCCTTCCCTCGTCCCACGTCTGGCAAATTAGAAGCCTCAAAATGGTTGTGCATATAAGTCCAAACAGGCCTTAACAGATCTGGCAGGGATAGCCGGCCACTGCCAATTGTGTAATTTTGTCACCCTCGACCCCTCTACTAGCACATTCCATCATCCCCCCCGCCGATTGAGTCAGTGCTGCTTGGGTCCGGCCTTTGCTCATCGACCGCATTTCTTTCGAGGCTACGGATACAAAATCCACCACAACCCTTCAACGTCATAACGCACGCGAGCCACGATTACTTGACATCTTCTCGCCTACACCACGAATCCCAGAAGGATATCGCATCATCGCATCATCGCCTTACAAAAACGTCACAATGTCTGATTGGGATCAAGTCACCAAGATCGGCAGCAAGGTCCGTGGACCGGGCCAGTCTGAGCGCGAGACCGTCATCCGTGGCAAAGCCGCCCTCAACGCCGCCCAGCGCAGCGGAGGCATTGTCGGCACCGAGAAGAAGTACGGCACTGCCAACACTGTATGTTTTCCTACCTCCCTCTGATTAGTATTCATTCCTTGTTGCTGACACGCCTTGAAGGCCGGCACTGGCGAGGGTCAGCGTCTCACAAAGGTCGACCGCTCCGACGACATCATCAAGCCCAACACCGTTGGCAAGGTGGTCGGTGACGCCATCTCGCAGGCACGACAGAAGATGGAGCCCAAGATGACCCAGAAGGATCTTGCAACAAAGTGCAACACCACTCAGACAGTCGTCGCCGACTTTGAGCGGGGGTCGGCCACGCCCGACCAGAAGGTGCTGGCGTCCATGGAGCGCGTGCTCAACGTCAAGCTGCGGGGCGCCGACATTGGTCAGCCCAAGTTCCCCAACAAGGCGAAGAAATAAAATGTTCCCAGTTTTGGGATTCGGAGCATAGCGTAGGCGGATGATTGTTGGGATGGACTATGATTTGATGATGTATATGGATAGATCAAAAGCCTCGAATACAAATCAAGCAACCCACTGGTTTTCTTCATTGATGTACGGCGATTGTACTGGGACTACGGCAAAACGTCTCGAGGACGGTTGAGAATGCGATATCAACCTAACCATAGTGGCCAACGTTACAGATCACACACACCCTTGCAAAATGCGGCTGGAGGCTGGTCAACCCATCATTGATTGTCTTACGAACACGTTCATCCAAGCAATATCTAAACCTGGTACTTGTCGCATGGCGGCAGGATTTAGAAGTGCAGGCGCGAGAACGCTACACTGGTTGGCTGTCGTTATCGGCGCCGCAGCCGGACGATAAGGCGCCTGCAGAAAAAATCCCCGCCCATACCGAAATCCCATTCAGCGTCTCTCTAGCACCGACTTTTGACACCAAACACACCACTTTTACGCAATCAAATCATCGTCGTCCTAGAACAGCAATGGCTCAAGGCGCTGTCAAGCCCCGTGTCAAGGGCAACGCCGCAAAGGTCGTGCACTCGAAGCGTCAAGCCTCCAAGGTCTCGAAACCCAAGAAGACAACAAAGCAGAATGCCGATCGTGTAAATCGCAAGTTCACCTCGGGCATGGTGGCCCAGACAGAGGCCGTTTTGGGCGAGCGCGCCGGGCACTTGGAACTGATCGGACAGGGCAAGAAGGGCAAGACCAAGGGCTTGGGCAAGGGTGGCTCCAAGAAGTTTGGTTAAGCGAGTCTGACAAATCTGTCGCAAGGCGGCCCTCCCAGCGGGAAGTGCAATTCTATTTGACTTGGACCAATTCAAAGTCACGACCCTCGGCGACAGCCGCCAGTATTTGCTCGACGATGCGGCCGTCTCTCTCAACATCCACCTTCCATGTAGATACCGCGATCCGCACAGCCTTTTCGCCCTTCCATTTGGTCCCACTCACATACATCTGCCTCGTGGCGTTGATCTTCTCCACCAAATTTTCGTTCGATTTGTTGTCCCTCGCCCGGAACAGGACGATGATGAACGTTTCCTTCTCAATGTCCCAGTCACCGCCAGGGAGAAGGTCGTATTGTTCAGAAGCACGGATCCAACCTGCGATCCGACGAGCGAGGAGGACCATCCTGGAGATCATGGCGGCGAAACCATTCTGGCCTTGCGAGAGAAGTGTCGCATATACCGGCAAGGCGCGGAAACGGCGACTGTTCTCGAGTCCATTGTTGAGGGGGGAAGAGATTTTGGAAGCAGAGCCCCCGGCGAGGTATGCTGCGTTGGGATTGGCGAACACGGAAGGCAATGTTGACTGGGAGCGGGTGAAGAACATGCCGCAGTCATACGGCTGTCTGGTCAGCAGTGGTCGACGAGAACAGTGCCTGCGGCACACTCACAACATTGAGAATCTTGTGCCCGTCCACAGTAATACTGTCCGCCAGCTCGATGCCCTCCGCCTGGCGCTTGAAGTCCTCAAAGCCGGCAATCTCGTCGAGACAGCGGGCGAAGATACCAAATGCTACATTCGTCAGCGTCCGTTTTCGTTTCTCCTTCGTCCAAAAGAAGTGACCTACCGCCGTCCACGTGTATCCAAGCGCCGTATTTATCGGCCAATGCTCTGAGTCTCTTCATGCCAGCTAGTCCGTCCACAGCGAAACGGCCAGTGTTGACTTCTCCTGCGCTGATGCCAATGATAGTAGCGTTCCCCTCTTTCTGTAGATGCGCTTCCACAGCGTCAACATCCAGCTTCCATGGCTCGTCAGCGCTCACACCCAGCTCCTTCACTGACTGTCTCCCGAGTCCAACGACACTCGCTGCCTTGGAGAGGGAACTATGCCCCCCGCTGGTGAGGACCTGTATGTTTCTGATGCCGGCAGCCATACACGCTCCCAGGAGCCCATCTTCGCCGACATTCCCACCCCTTTTCTCGATGATTGCTTCGCGCCCACAAGCGAGGCCAAGGACATTGCTGCCCGTCGCCCCCGTCGTGAACGTTCTGCCCTCGAAGCCGTCGCCTAGTCTCAGCAGTTCGCCTAGCATATGCAGCGCTCTGTCCTCAACCTCCGTGGCAATGCTCTGGTGTGGTAGATGGACCTGGACATTCTGGTCGATACGTGTGACGAGTGTGTCGGCCCAGGCGGCGATCGGGAGGGAGGACCCAGTCACGAAGCCATAGTACCGCGGGCTCAGGGCCTGTCCTGTAATAGCGGGGACAATGTCCGATGTGATGTGCCTGATCACGTCTTGCTCTGACCTGGTGTTGGTGATGGACGGGACGAGTGACAATGACCCCGTTGCCAGTAGCTCGGGTGTGGGGAGGGTTGGGTATGTGGTTGATTGTGCGTGCAGCTTCTCGAGCGAGGCAAGGTTTTCTTCCTCCGCCTTGGGGTTGAAGATATTGTCCATAGCGAGTTGTGAAGCTGCGACTTGCTGCGGTGAGAGTGAAAGCTGAGTTGGTATCTCGCTCCTTAGTTCTTATACCCTGCGAAGTCCCACTTCCCTGGTATGAAGTGGTTTGCTGACAAAGCGAGGCAGGAGTTGGCGCGAGCACTACGTCCAAGCACGCGGAACATGGCATCGTGACTGGAGTCAGGAACGGCCGTCAGCATTATATGGAGAATTGCGGATAGTATCCGAGCTAACATTGCTGATGTATTGCCAGATGCTGGCGGATATGTTGGACTGCCTGCCTTCCTCCCCTATTCCCTGGTGCTTTGCTGGTCTTGGAGCGCGACGCACATCGCTTGACAAATCCGTCAACCGCCGGTGCACACATGGTGGACGGTGAACGAAGCCGTCCGTGATGCACCGCAGTCGCTGCTCAAAAGCCTCTCACAACTTGGCGCTCTCGCCCACCTGGCCAATCTTCAGTTTCGCGCCATACTTCTTCAAGACGCTCTCGTTGTGGTACTTCCAGAAGGATTTGGTTGCGTTCTTTCCAGCGAAGCGCTTGAGGATCTTGGCGCCTCCAGGGTGCTCCTCGAGGAATTCTGCAAGTCAAAGGTTAATATCTGTTCGTCTCGCCAGCTGCCAGGGTCAGAGCCTCCCTGAGGAGCCCTTGAGGCCATGAGAAAGCACAACCTGGGAAGGATGAGAGCGCAGGGCATGCTTACTTGAGACGTCGTAGACATCGTTCTCAACAATGAGCCAGTAGCCATTGGACTCGTCCTTGTGCTGCGCCACGTCGGCGGTTGTGTACGTCTTGGACATGATTCAAAGCGGTAGTTTTATCTTGAAGCAAATTGTATGGTGTTGCGCTTGGAGATGTTCGTTAATCCTTCGCTACAAGTCTTGTTGAGTACGGTTGCGAGCGCGAGCGTGATAAAGGTCTTAAGTTTACCTCGGCACCTTGGGGAATCTGGGGCCGGGCACCGCTAAACACTTGACGGGACAGGGGTCTCCGTCTGCTGGAGGCGCCTGTGGATCCAACGTCATGCCCCGCGTCAGCCAGTAAAGACAGCGCAATTCGTCACCAACCGAGGCCTCGTGATCCTACGGTATGCTCAGCCTCCAGTCGCCGGGGACTGCAATGTACCTGGACGTGTCAAAAGCTACACGAAGTTCACAAGTGATGGCCTGAATGTCGCATCGAGGGGTCTGCGTGCAAATATTCTATATAGACCAGGTAATGATCCGCGGGGGAGGGACGGCAGAGGCCCAGCACAGGTGCCTGTCTCTACGTTCATCCCTCTACCATGCCACGCCCATGAATCTCCTATGTGAGAGCGCGTCTCTAAACTGGCGTGCTATTGCGCCTTGGCCACCATGACAGTCGCTGGCCTGCCACTTCTCCATGGCCTCGGGCAGCCACTGGGTCAGCTTCTCGATGCGGGAGCCGTCCTGTACTCGTCAGCGTACCACAATGATAAACCACAGACACACAATACTCACAGAAGGATGCGTACTCAGCATCTCCGGCACCTCATATCCTCGGCTTTGCGACTGGACGACTTTCATCCGCTCCCAGAATCCAATCGAGTGGCGGGGATCGTAGCAGGCCTCGGCCATCATCATTAGCCCGATGTAGTCCGCCTCTGTCTCTTGCTTCCTGTTCATGGGCAGGTCGTATATGAGACTTTGCACATACCGCCCACCAGTAAGTGTCCAGAGTCCGGCCAGAGTCAGACCTGGTAGGAGCCCCAAGAGGAGGAACAGACTTCCACTGGTGAGGTTGGCAATGATTGCTGCCGACAATCGCTCCGCTGAATGAGTGGCGACATTGTGGGCAATCTCGTGCCCTAGGACGGTCGCGAGGGAATCGATGTTGCCGCAGAGGTTGATGATGCCACTGAAGACAAAGACATGGCCGTCTGGTGTGACAAAGGCGTTCGCTGCGCCTGCAGACCCCCCCTTGTGTTAGAAGTCTGCTTGTATCTCCCGGCGATGCATGGACTTACCATCATCGAGTATGACGTGGACTTTCCAGTCTTTGTCCGCTTGGCCGCTGACAGGGACGAGCCTCTGCATCACACCCATGACCCGTGCATATCGCCAGTCATATTTGGGAGCAAACCGGACACCTTCTCTCCGGAGCTCTTGTTCGTACGCGTCGCCCGATACGCCAAAGATCGTCAACCAGTCCTCGCTGAGGAAGTTGAATCGCCTCCTCCCGGTGACGGGGACCTTTTGCGAGTTGGCAAAGTAGAAGACGACCGCGGCCGCGACGCAGAGGAGGATGAATGTTCGATGCTGCTTCGTTGTGCCAATCGTTTCGAGTGTCTTTGCGCGTCTGTTTGAGAGGAGCGGTCGCGCTTCGGCGAGGCGGCGGCGATACTCTTCCTCGGGGATTTGTCTGTAGTGCCGGCAGGTCGACGGTGGTGATTTCGGAGAGTGCGCAATCGGACGTTTGGGTGCAACAGTGGATCGCAGCAGAGGCAAGTTGGATATCGACCGTGGGTAAGCACCGTGGTGCATTAATCGAGGGCGAAACATGTTAATACATGTGCGCAAGAGTGAGCGTATGTTACGCGACCATTGAATTGACGTCGATGATCATGGCCCAGGGCAGTGCGCTGTGCGCCCAAAGGTCTCGTGGGGTCCATGTCGGTCGGCATGTCGGTGCCCAGGACCCCCGGTTCCAGCAGCACATCACCACCGGGTAGGCATTACCAGCATACCAGCCACGTCGATTTAGATAACACGTCTACTACTATAAGTATCTTATCGTTGATGCAGCTGCAAGTGCGCACCATGCCGCCAACATCGGGACCATCAGCATCGCTTACGACTTGGAATACTTTCCAGATAAGCAAGTATGTGCAGGTCTCGGTACTTGGAACGAATGGACGACTCCGTACAAGCCCATCTACCTACTCGACAGGTAGCGATGTCTTAGACTAAGTTATGTAGTACACTTGCTACGATCATATCTTCTCCACCGTATCGCCATTAATCTCTGTTTATCAGTAACTAGACTAGATGAATAAAAAGCACCCCAGCTCCCGCCGCCGCCTACTCGTCTCTATTTGCTCGCGTCTTGATACTGTCACCCCTGGTGGTTGCTTCCAAAGCACACACGAGTCACGACTGTCACCATGGGTAATGCCACCACCTCCTCAGATCCCTCGCTGCCGCCTCTGGAGAAACCAAATGTCCCAACTCCGCCCGCTGAGGAGAATGCGCGTGTTCAGTCGACTATCAAAACCTTGAACTTGATCCCTCACATTGAAGGCGGATACTTCCAGCTCAGTGATTCGTCCCCAAGGTCTATCCCATCTCCCTACGCGGCCACGCCGCTCAGCGAGGACTCTCTCAAGTACGCTGGTGCCAAGCCGGCAGGGGATACGCGTCTCATGAACACGTCCATCTTCTACTACCTCACGCCCAACTCGCCTAAGGGCAGCTTCCACCGGAACAGATCAAGGATCATCCATACCCTGCACAGAGGTCGCGGACGGTACGTGGTGATACACGAGGACAAGTCCATCGAGACCTTTGTCGTGGGGAACGACATTGAAAAGGGCGAGAGGTTGCAGTGGGTTGTGGAAGGGGGGAGTTGGAAAGCAAGTTTTCTGCTTGATGATGGCGCTGACGAGGGGAACTTTGGACTTTTGATTACGGAGACTGTTGTTCCGGGGTTTGACTACTCTGATCACGAGTTTATGAGCCAGGAGTTGTTTGAAGAGACTGTGGATAATGAAGAGGACAAGAAGCAGCTGCGCTGGCTCATCAAGCAGGACTATAGCTCTTCTACCTAGTCGTGAACCTCTTGATTGTCATGATTCACCAACCTCGCCCGGAAACGGTTTCCTCCCCCAAACTACATGCACCGCCGTATACGCGTGTATTTTACTGTTGGCGATATCCTTCCTCACATCCACGAGATACACCTCGATTGCATCCTCCTTTACGCCGAATGCTCGGTGAAAGTTGGCAAACGTGAACCCGCTGAGACCACTCTGCACGTTGAGCTGCCACCCCCTGCCCAACTCCTTGAGCCTTTCATCCTTGGGCCATGCGCCACACGGTATCTTGAATATTTTCTCGTGAATGTCCACAAAGCCCACCGAAGCGTATATGTCCTTGATGCCGCTCACAAAGACCATGGGCCGATCGATGATGCGCGAGGAGAGGGCCAGGTCCTCGCCCCAGCGGTAGAGGGCATGGCCCGGCTTCAGCGAGCCGTCGTCACACGAGAAGGAGGCGTCGCCCTCTTGGCTTTCCATCCACCCGCCGGGATTCAGATTCTCAAAGGCCTGTCGTAGAACCTGTCGTTCGTAACTCGACCAGGAGCCTCCTGTCAATCTTGTGTGGATGAAATCAAATTGGTGCGAGTACTCCCATTCCTCCGAGCTGTCCTCGACGTAGAATTCCACATTGGGCGGCACCTCTACGGGTTGAATGGGCGAGAGATCAGTGGCCACGACGTTGGCTTGGGGAAACAGGTCGCCCATCTGGACGGCCCAATCCCCGGTGCCAGTGGCCACGTCGAGGATGTGCCGAGGTTTGTCGAGCGGCGCGAAGAAGAGATTCCCGTTGAAAGATGCGTCTACAATGTCATACTGGAGCTGGAGTCGTTCGCACTCCGGGAGGTCATTCGGGAACGGGTAAGCTACATGGGTCTCATCAGCCTCGTTCCTGGGAACAGCAGTCGGTCAGTTGAGTCGAAAGGCACATACAGCCTGCGCGATACGCATGATACGTGCGACCAAATTGTTTCGGGTAGGTCTGGACACTCTCCGATAAGGAAGCTGAGGTATCATCGTATCTGGGGTGTATGTCGATTAGTTCTGGGTCGTGGTCGGCGACTGCACTCCGTTGTGGCTCTCGACTAATAACTTACATCCCCGAGAGTACAGGCTACGTACTTGCATCAGCCACAGCTCAATTGCTTTCTCATTCCAGCAGACAATAGTACTCACATCAGCCTCGATGGAATTGCTGATTGTCGACCCGGTGGAGGGATACCGGAATGTGAATTGACGGTCTCCATTCCCTTCCCCAGAATGTGCCTCGTCGCTGTTGGCCGCCATGCGGGCACACGCAGCTGTCTTGGTGACACTGTGTTGGGAAAGGCTAGTCTAGTTAGTAATGTGACAAGATCGGCCCGGCGGCTTGGGTTGGGGAGGGGACGCCGGCTTCACAGCCCTTGCTGTATGTCTGGTCTTTGAGATGTTGGTCGCCAGTGGAGTGGCAACAACCCAAATCAAGCAACGAGTATGAGGGATCAAGTGATGGGGGAATAAGGTTGCTCTATGCCCGCCTGCCCCAGCAAGAAAGAGTGGCAAAGACAGAATTTGGGGAAAGGGAAACTGAAGACGACAAAGACTTGACACGAGTGAGGGCGGAACGCAACCAGAAAGACGGTTCTGTCAAAAGGACCCAAGCACCAGGTCCCACGTCCCAGCATGCCGCCCCAGCGTCCCACGACCCCAGTACGGCTTGCATTGCATTACCTACAGGCTCCGAACGTAATTACTACGTACCACAAAAGCAAAATGTCCCTCGAAAACGCTAGACTAATCAGCGAGAATTCAGCGCATCATCAGGAGCCCAGAGCCGCGGTGCGATTCGCAACTCGCAGCCAGCAAGGGTCACGATCTGGCGGGGCCCAGTTGTTGGGCACAGCTCAGCTGCACAGCCAAGAGTCAGTCAGCGACTCCGCGCGAGACGGTTTCCCGATTATTCGGATAAGGAGCAGCAGGGGTCAAGCTTTGTGCAACGAACGGGCCGGAAGACTCGCCCGGCTAGCTCAAAGGGGAGATTCATTGGCTCGTGCTGCATGTGGGATTGGGTCGATGCGATGGATGGATGCGATTTGATGCAGGCGAGGCGACCAAGGTCAGGCAGGGCTTCTTGGCCTTGGGATGTTTGTTTGCCCCGTGATGAGTGTGACTGTCCATGCCTCGACCATTCTAAATTTCACTTCTTCCGCCATGGCCAGACGGACATAGTCGGGTCCGACAACCCCTTCCTGACTCCTGAGCGCTGGTTCTGCTCCGCGCTCCACTTTGCTGCTTGCAAGTCGCTCGCCCTGCATGGTATTGTCCCATAAAGGGTACATGGACCGACACGACTAACAAGTGGAACAAAGTTGCAGCGCGCGATGGCATAATAAAGGAGCGCAGAGCCGGTCATTGAGGGCACAGATGCTGCATTGCAACCCTCTCGGCAGCTCCTGGTTCGTTGGGGAGCTTTCCTGATGTCAATCTTGGGGTTGCGCCAGACGCCAGATGCCAGCCAGCACGGCCTCGTCGACTTCATTCCGCACCTCTAGACTCCTGGCGGTCCCAGGACCCAGACCCGCGGAGCGTCTCGCGATCTGTGGGAGATACATCACGCCTGCATCTGCAGGTCTCATCACATCCAGTGAATAAGCAAGCACGGGCACGTCATGGACATCTTGGTGATCCCGTACGCTCATCTCGAAGGTCTCTCAATATGCCCAGTCTGTCTATAGATCACTTGCTCTCCATTCATCATTTCCAGCTGGCTCGCCAGCTGCTCTGTTCTCGCATGGGTATATATATAAATTCGTGCTCGCCAAGATCAACATGTACAACGCAAATAAGGGGGAATAGATCGAATAGAAGTGGCCACGTACGGCGCTGCTGGATGCCGCTGGCGCAAAAAGCGGAAGGGAGAGATGTCAAATGTCGTGGGCCCGTCATAAAATGATTTCGTCACCCTCCTCTTGCTGCACCGCCTACGCGTGCTCCCGCCTCCTCCTCCTCCTCCTCCTCCTCCTCATGTCAGTACTCGCTGCCCTGCCAGGGACTCATCATGCCGCTGTTGGTCGCGCTCTCGTCATTGGCCATGTATGTCTGGTCGATGCGCAATATCCAGTCCATCTTGTCCTTCTCACTCCGCGCCGCAAACAGCCAGGTGTTGTCGGTGCCGTAAATAGCAAAGACAGCAGCCTGCATGCGTTCGCTGAGCCGTGTGATCCCCTGCTGCGATTGACCGCCACCATTGGCTGACCCGTTGCTGGCGCCCGTCCAGATGGTGTTGATCACACGGCCCGAAGCGGTGCGCCGGTGCCCCGGGGTGAAGGTTGGCCCGCTACCATTCTGTCCCGGTGGTGCGTCGTAGTCGTCTGGACCATGCAGCAGACCCAAGATACCGGGCTGGCTGTCCACACGTGAGTTCCTCAGGCTTACAAGTCCCACCTCATCACCATCGGTCGCCGAGTGGATGTGCAGATATGGTCGTCGCAGTTCCACAAACCTCTTTTGCCATCGTGTAGAGTCCTCATTGGGCACCAAAAGATAGCCACCCTTGAGCACCTTGGGATTCTTGGCGACCCGGACAATGGTTGTGACCAGGCTGGGCGCAAGTGCCGCTTCTGCTCCCACATCAGTGGGTGGGGCCGTGTTGGCTGGACTCAGTATGTTAGACAATGGGTCCGGGTACTTGACCCATAGCTTGAGACATCTCTCGAGTAGCTCAGTGTGGCGCTCAGAGTACTCTGACTTGGAGGCAAGGCCCTCGCCCGTCGTGGCAGCTTCAGTTTCACCCTCTGCCATCTTTGTCCCGTCGGCCGCCGACCCGTCCCCGTCTGCAGCCTCTGCGTCGCCATTGACGGACGGCTCTGGGGACGCCTCGGGCGTGTCGTTGAGCAGATCATCATCATTTGGTATAATAGGTTTCAGCTCGGGGGACGGAGCGACGTCGGGCTCTGAGGGGTTCGCTTTGCTGCCATCTGCCGAGACCCCCAGCTTGTTGAGCATGTTCTGGATGGTACCGATCTCCGCAACCCGCCGTCTCTTTTTGTGCGATCTGATAAAGTCGCTGACCAAAGACACGCCGCGGGGCGTCCAGCTCTGCAGGTTCTCCTCGCCCTTGACGTAATCATGCTGGCTGTTCATGCGCCAAAGGTCGCCCACCCGCTTGATAGGTGCGGGTCGCATCGTCAAAGTAAAAATACCCGTAGACGTCTTGACGAAGCGCACGTTCTGAAACATGGACGAGAATATGGATGCTTGTCGGATGAACGATCGAGGCATCACCTGAACATAGATCTTCTGGGAGAACTTCATGGGCTCCGACAGCTTCTCCGAGCTGATTTCCCACGACACTGTGAGTTGTACGTGGTACTTTTCAGCTGTGACCTTGTCTAGGAGCAACGAGCCGTGCAACGACGAGTCCCACTGCGCATTAACAGTGATGCTGCGCGTTCCGTTGGCGTTCTCGCGGTAGACAGGGCTTGATGCCATCTTGAGTGTAATGTCGGGCTCGGGAGCAGACATGTTGGGAGTTTTGCCCGCAGAGTCGATCAGCTGGATACGACCAATCCTCACAGAGGTGATGTCGCCCCATGGTAGAGCGTCGCCGGAACTGTGCGAAATGTCGATGCTGACACGGCGCTGAAGACCTTGGTGGAGCTGGAAAGTGCCTGTGTCAAGTTCACTGGCCTGTGCAACCTCGACCGGAGCATACTCGCCAGCCTCGTCCAGCTCCTTGATCTGGATTCTCGACAGCAGGTCATGCTTCTCCTGGGTGAAAAACTGCGACTCGTTGATACGCTGGCCATTTCCATTGCTCCGGGGAGCTTCGTCCCGCATATCGTCCCAGCTTAGCAACTTGTCCAAGTGCATGGCGGATACGTTTGCAAAGATGGCTACGCGCAAGGTTACATCTTGCGGTGCGAACAGAGGCACGCTCATGCTATGAACGCTCTCGAAGCGGATGGGGCCTTCATCAAAGTTGCTGATCATCTGCGTTGTTGTGATCCCGTCCTCCTCCGACACGCCGGGGATGAAGAGCTGCGCGTGGATTTCCGTCCCTTCACGCTCGGCAAAACCAACCAATTCGTGCATGACCACGTTGAACTTGAGGGTGTTTGACGGGGCTCTGGCGTGTGATGGTTCGAGAGACAGCTTGACTATGCCCAAAACATCGGAAGTGTAAGGGGACAGCACGTCGAGCGAGAAATCTTGCACCCGACTCTCAAAGACCGCGCGCAGGGGCACGTCGGCCTCACCAACGAGTGTGTAAGAAGGCATGCAAGATTCTTGGAAAGGGTTGTCGAGGCTCAAGTGCTGCGCATAGTCCGGCTGGTCAAGGTATTGGTGCATCTGCCGCATCTGTCGCACCCGGTCGTGGAGCTTTTGCAGACTCCAAAGATGCACCACGTTGCTCCTGTAGTCAACAACGCGGATGCCGATGCACGGCTTTTGCGCTTCCTCAAGCCCTACGTCGTCGCCCTCAAAGGTCAATCCGTTCAGCATCATGTCGTATGATGAGCAGACAGCGTGACCCACGTCAACCACTGTGAACTGGAAGACGACATTCTCCTCGAGCGCGTTGCTCATGATCTGGGCTTCTTTCAAGATGGCAGCATTCTGAAGCACCGACTCGGCCATTTTGACGTAGTGGCGGCTACGCCAGTGCTTCAGGACGCTCTTCGCTCTGTTTTGCTCCTCATCGGATAATTTGGGATTGGCCTTGGGTCGCTTCAGGGGGTCCATCTTCTCCAGCTTCTCCTCATACTTCTTCTTTTGCAACACTAGTTGTTTTTGCATGTCGTCTTTTAGATCTTGCAGTGCTGTCTCCATGCGAACCTTTTCCTTCTTGATCTCCTCAACCTCGACATTGGCTGCCTCGGCGTTCTTCAGCTGCTCGGTGAATTCCTCCTTCTGTTTCTCGAGCTGTACTTGAAGCTCCTCGCGGACCTCCTTGAGCTTGTCGTCATACTCTCCCTGCTTAGGTGTCGAAGGCATGGTCAAAGCTGTGTCAAGGGAGAAGTTGTCAATCGTCCCAGTGGACATGTACTTGTCCCGCGTCGGATACGACGATTCGGAATCATCGCCATCTTCGCGAGCATTGACGCGCTCAGCGCGAACCTTTTGCACATCCTCAAAGAGGGCGTTGAGCTCCTCGTCCGTGAGCCCCTTGAGATTTTGATCTGTTCCCAAGATGGCACCGGCCGCTTCCCTTCTCGCCAAGGACCAATCCGAATCACGCCCATTGCGGCCAAAAGGCGCCGGCGAGTCTGGTCTCGAGTCAAGAAAGTCGGACGCTTTACTAGACATGCGCTCATGGCCCGGACGCGGACTCGGTGATCCTCTATCGATAGCCTGTAGCTGGCTTGCTGTGATGGAGTGCCGTAGCAAGCTCGTACCAGCCCCTGTCCCTGTCTCTGCTCTCTCTGCTTTGGCCTCCATCGGATGGTTGAATCGAAAGATGTGGAAGTCACCGAGGATGACACGGTATCCGGAGTGTAGCTGCGTCGGCCCATCGATCCGCTTGCCATTCACCATGACAGATGCGCCCTCCGAAGGCAGAAGCGTGACAGTGCCGTCCGATGCATTGTCAAATTTGCAGTGGTCGTGCAAGATCCTTGTGCCGTTGAGTCGAACATTTGCTTGGTGCTCACCGTTGGTGTCAACATTGCCAACCGTTGTGATGCCTGGTTTGAGATTGTAGACAAGACATTCCGCCAATAAAGGGTCGTCAGACAAGTTGACCAAATGAGGCATCTTTTTGGGAGTGGACAACCCAATGAATCCTTTCTCGATGCTGATGCCGAGCTCTTCCAGTGCAGACTCCCGCTCTTTGTGGATCTCCTCTGTCTTTTGCAGCTTCTGCTCCCATGTCTGATTCAAGTCGGTGAGCAGCTTCTCGCTCTGGCTCAGTTGCTCAGCAATATCTGCCTTTGACACCTTCGTAACAGTCCCATCCGGCCCGGTGATGCTGACCAGCTGCTTCTCGAGTGGTGTATTCTCATCATAGATCTCATCGGGGTTCGGGGCGGCCCCTCCAACGCCACCAGGTACGCCTCCGCCCAGTTTACTTCGTAACAACATCAGCTCCTCCTTAAGTTCTCTGATCATTCGGGCATTCGCATCCTCGTTGATCACGGCATGGTTCTTGATGCGTTTGGCGGAATCGGCATATCGTAGCGTACTGAGCGTCTCGTCGTAATTAATGTCTGCTGGACTGATGGCGGCAATCATGGCCGTCATACTGTTTCCACCAAGCGAGTCCTTGAGAAGCCATGTGAGAATACTGTCACGGTAAGGAACTTGGTTGGCGCCCTTTTTCTTCTTGGCGCCGGTCGACATGTCCGCCAGAGCTGCAATGACACGACCGAGCGTAGAAAGCGACCTGTTGATCTCCGCACCCTCCTTGAGGCGCGCGCCAGTCGCACCCGTCGAGTTAGCTCGCTCGGAGCCGGCCAAATCAACGAGACTGATCTTGGCCACCTTTTCGGCCTCCATTTTCGTCTCAGTGTCCATCTTCTTTTGCGTGAGCATCAGGGTGAACACAGCGTGACTTCGACTCGATGTTTCGTTCATGTTGGTAGCAGCGACGGTTCTGGCCTTGTTGCCCTCGTCCATCAAGTGTTCGATCTCCTGGAAGCCACTGACGACAAGCTTGGCGAGGTCTTCAACATAGGGACCCGTGGAAGGATGCTCACGCACGCGCAGGTTGCCTTTGTTCGCGGGGTTAAGCAAATCGCGTACTCTCTCATTGTAAATCTCGAGGTACGAGACTTCAACCGTGCATTTCGTAGCTCCATCAGCCTGCATCTGGTTGATTCGTTCGAACATTTGCTGACAGATCATGGGTATAATGCCGATTTCCTTGCCATATCCCATCATGGAGTACGATTTTCCGGAGCCTGTCTGCCCGTAGGCGAAGATGCAGTTGTTGTAGCCGTCAAAGGCATTGTCGAGAAGCGGAGAGCCTAGGTCATCAAATAGGTTGCTTTGGCCGGCGTAGTTCGAGTCGTTCTTGTCGAAGGACCAATACGACCTGTCAAAGGCGAATGTCTTCGCGCCGGTCTCGCCCTGCTTCTTTGCCTGGTGCCCGTCTGGTACTGTGAGCACGGTCTGCGCATTTTTCATTTCCACAATCCGTTTGGCCCCTCTATCGATTTCTGTGCTGGTCAGCGTAGGTTCCCCTTGCCTTGATAGCTCAGCCTACCTCGCCCATTAAAGGGCCGCACTCTCACCACCACCTTGATGTTGCCTCCACCGCCTGGCGGCATCTTGCCTAATGTGTCGCGGGGACCTGAACTGGTCCCCTAGCGGCCCGGCGGCGGTGGTTGTAGATTGCGCAAGAAGGGCGGGTGCCGGGCCCCCTGGTTAGATAGGAGTGGGCAATGTCGGATGTAAGAAATGCTCAAACATGCAATCTTCGAAAGGAATCCCGATGGCCTCTCTGTCGCATTTTCCGTATTTGTCGTGTACAAGGGTGCAAGCTGGTCCGGGGTGCTGGTATCGCTTTCGGTTTCATTAACGATGTCGACTTGGTTGAGGCCAAGTTAGTCGGTGAGGGACGCGCCAGAGCCAAACGGCACGGCAGGCGTAGAGAGAATTCGCTGAGGGAGATGCAGTGGTCCAGCCGTCGGCTCGTAAGGGATGATCCGTGAGGGGAGCTGCTTCACCAGCGGCACTTCCGAGTCAAAGCTCGAAGATTAATATGCGCGGTTCGCGACAGCTGCAGTCGTCCACGGGGCTGCAGGCACCCCTAGTGACTGATTGGGCGGCCATGCCACTGACATCTTCCATGTGGCTGAAAAGTACCGGGGCTTAACCGAGGCTAGCTTGCTTCCCGTTAACCTTAACGGTCTCCCAGTAGTACGGATACCACCGTCATCTGTCATCAGGAGACACCGGAGCAGAGTTCTAAAACCTCAGCGACCAAAAGTGACCTCATGATAGTTCGTTGATTTGTTGGTGCATAAGATCATCCGCAGCAATTAGTTGAACCCTCACGACCTTCTGCCGCTCAACTCGTACATCTCCGCATGAGTTCTGGTCACCCGTCAACCCACCCCTCTTCACATGTCATGTCATCTCATAACATGCTGTACAGCGCTCAGGTGTCGATGAGCCACAATAGACTTGTACGATGATTCATATTGAAACAATGTAGCAGGTCATTTCTCTTGCCTTCACACGATTTGTGTGAGTTGGTATTGCGGGTATAATTAACATTAAGTTGTGTAAAGTAGGGATGAAGGTAAATCTACTCATGACTCTGTCTAATGTCGCTGGGTATATCATGTTCGGCCATGAAGAAATTCATAGATATAGTCGAGATAATCAACCGCATTGAAAGGCGTCAATTTACTCCGAATGGAAAGCGTTATAGCGCTTCTCGACCGCTGTTCCGTTTCCGACTGACTTGTCTGTGTAGATGGAAAGGGCATCCGTGCTGTTACCGTACTCAACGCCACAGGCATCCGAGAAACCCTCATCGAAAGCGGACATTCTCTCCTCGAGGTACTCCTTGAAGCCGTCGCGAGAGCACAAAGTGCCCGGTCCATCGGAGCAGCCTGGGAGAGACTGCGGAGCACTGTTCACCAGAACTCTGTAGTATTCGTCGTCTTTGTAGCCAGGAGCATCGGTGCAATTGAAGCGCTCAAGGGCAATGTTGCCCAAGAAGGGGATGATGTTGGACGACTTCCAGGCTCGACGGTAGTTGATACGATCCAACGGCATGGTCTCGTTGATGTTATTGGCGCCGCTGAACTCTGAGTTGTTGAAAAGTCCCATGGCTACAACGACCATTGGGGGCAGTTCGCGATGAGTGAAGCTGACGTACAGGTCCTCTGCATCTTTCCCTGCATCGTTGTCGAGCAAAAGCTCCGCAGTGGCGTTCAACCACGGAAGTCCGACCGGCCCCGAGACCTTGTTGCCATACCCGACATTGTAGTGATAGCGAACGTCCTCCGCATATTCCCAGCTCAGCCAGTCATCAGGCCTGAAAAGATCTAGGTCGCAGAAGGGCGACTTTCCCCGGATGACAGTCTCGTAACCGCACAGTTGCTGCATGCCAAAGATATTGCTGATCGTAAAGTTGAAGTCGGGAGCAAGCTCGTTGAAGCGAGCGGCCAGGGGCTTTGCATACCTCTCCTGGAATTTGCTAGATTCATCACTGCCGGTGGATCCAGAGTAGCCTGGGCAAGCCTTGTAGGGGGTAAGACTGTCGGCGCCAGACTCTGATCTTTCCGGAATCTCGACGACGTTGATGCTCTCCTCATCTGACTGCAGGCCGCGGGCCAGAGATTGGGCAGCCTTGACAGTCCGTTCAGCAGACGACGTCCAAACGCGCTTGGGATTCCGCAGATGAGGGTAGCGGAAGTTGATGTCCACGCCCAGACGAGTGGCCTCAAGACGGCCTACCCGTGTCAGGATGGAGACCTCGTCGTCGGAAACAGGTGCCTCCCAGTCGTCCAAGAAGCTGAGATCGGGGACCCGGTTCCACTTAATGCCGGTCTTGTTGTCCAGCTTCTCGAGGAATGGTTCAATGTAGGTCTCAAAGTCAAAGTCGTTGGCGTAGATGGCGGAGTGGCGCACAAGATAGGCAGCACGCTCAGCAACACAGCCCTGGGGTGCGTCTGGCGAAATCGAGGGATCTTGTGGCTCAAAGTAGGGTGCGATGCCTGCGAGATGCTCCAGAGGGTTGAAGTTGTAGGTCGAGTACAACGTGGAGGCGGACACGGAACCCGTGAAAGTCAGTATCTTGAGGAACGTCTGCGCAGCCATTGTGTGGTAGCGACTCTGATAGAGAGGACTGGAGCTTGTGAAGCCCAGGCAACAACATCAATTCGGGCATGGTACCTTAATTATAATGGCGCGCGCCGCACCGGGCTATCTGACGCTTGACTGCGTGGTGGACCGTGAAGGAACTGACGCGTGGTATGCTGTCATTATTCCCACAAAACGTTGCTCGATACCTTGTTTCTCTGTGCTCGGTTGCTCGGCATTGATCAGAGCGTAGTTCGTGATTGGGGCCCTTGGATTGAGGCTCTTTGAGGCTCTGCTCATCCATGTCGATCTGCAATGGTTCTTGCCTGTTATAGGTCGTGATCGAAAGATCGAGCTGGCCTGGGCCCTGGACTTGAATATTGAGGCAATGACGACATGGCACGATGATGGATTCAAGTTGGCACGGAAAGTAATGTAGGTGGAATTACACACAGTTCTCAATCCCGGTCTGGGTGAACCGAACCCGTCGGAAGTATGAAAGTGGCACAATGAATTCAACGAATCTGTTGAGTTGATGGAAACGCGCCCAACAGGTGTTGAATACAAGCCTAAACTGACCTACCTGACAGACTACTACGGACGTACATGAACAAGTTAGAAGTTAGAACCACCCTTTGCCCACTCCGTCTGCCCTCTTGCAGCGATGCCTACCCTGGACGCCCTCCCGTTTGTCTTCCTGGACCGCATCTGCGACGACATGCAGATCGATCCATTTATTAACCGCTGCCGCAGTCTGCATTCGTTTGCTCAAGCCAGTTGAGTTAGCTGGCCTGGCTTGTTCCTATTGTCGAGCTCGGACCCGAGGTCTCACGGCGATGGGTCTGTCCCGGCGTCCCTTTGAAAGTCCCGGCGTCCCTTTGAAAGTCCCGGCGTCCAAGAGACCGCTGAAAACCCTATCACTTGATAATAACCGCGGAACAACGTTGCAGATTCTCGAGCGGTGGGACGAGGTCTTCGACTTGTCCGCTCTATTACACTTGGATTTCGGGTTTGTCAGACCCGGACTGGTACCAACCTTGCGCGATATGGCCGGGACAGGAGCCTCTGTTCAGACTCTCAAGCCCACGCTAGACGTCTTTGAGAACGACGACCCGCGTGGCACCACTAAGTACCTATGATCTATCATCGAGGCTCTCCGCCCGCTGGGCGGTCTGTACCTTGGGCGCACCAACTCACACGCTGTCTTTGACGCTCCGTTTGGGCTCATGGACCGCACCTGCGCGAGCTCAGCCTTGATGAGCCAATAGTGCTCATCTCGTAGAACGCGTAGCGCCTCGCTAAGGTGTGTAGTCGGCTTCGCGAGCTTGACGTGACGATACGACGATCAGGCGGCGACGCGAAGTCGCATTCTATTAGGCCCTAGGCCACCTACGTCGACTCGAATCAGTCTCTATCGCCTTAGACTGTACCCGCCCTGATAGTGTTATCACTGGTCTGGTCAAGTACGGGGAGTTCTCGACCCACAAGTACAATCGCGAGACTAGCATTCGTCTCGTCCAAACGCGCTCAACGTCGCCAGAGATGAGGATCTATCTAACTCGCTCGATCTTCCTCGCCGTCGCCCAGACCCAGAAGCGCCGGGCTGACGGCATGGGATTGCGTCAGTTTATGCTACGGTGCATTGTCGTGGAATGTCCGGACTCTGACCTATTTTACTCGCACTCGGAATTCTTAACTCTGCTAGAATGACTCCGTGGCCATTAGGTCTGCGAATTGTCGGTCGGTCTTGGGGATCCCGACTGCATCTTTAAACCAGGGGCCCAGTCGCGCACGATGGTGACGGCTCGTGACAAAGGCGCGCAGCGCAAGACGGAGTACGAAGTCCATCTGTTTGCGTATTTGGATGAGATCGATCCGCTGGCGGAAGACGCGTGGCTGCGGCTTTGGCTGTGCGAGCGCGGTGAGTGGAAACCGTCATGGAAGAGTCGGCTTCTCGCCAGTCATGCCTCCTACAGCTCAGGCCCATGTGATTCATGAGCATGGAAAAGCGGAAAAGGCGACATATCTAGTAGTGACACCATATAAGGGACCATCCAACACGGATCCTTGAGTGTGACATGGCAGCGATGGATGGCTGATCACTTCTTCAACGCATGCCCTTTGCGACTAGATTGTCTACTTGGACACGTTCAATGCAGCCCCGTTCAGCAGCATGCGGCCACAGCTGTCCACAGCGCGACAGTCACGAAGAGGGCTGACCACGACTGGCAATATATTTCTGGCGCTCCTCGGTCCACCCCCTAAGTTACATATAGAATGACTATTGACAGCGGGGCTGGTTTCTTCTCCCCTTATAGCCAAACATCTAGATCGAGCGTGCGAATCTTAGCACCGGGTTGTAGTTACATACCGTTGTGCCCCGGGGTTCCCCTCCGCTTCCATTCCAATACTCAATCTAGAGCTGATGAGATGTGTGAATCCATGGCTTGCTTGGAGGACAAATGCCACGGACAAGCCTCAGTTGGATGACCTGAGTGGTATGAATCAACATAGAGCTCAATGTAGCAGAGCTCCTACTTCTGGCGCTTGTCCACGTCGTTGGCCCCAAATAAGGCATCACTGACCATTACCAGAGCGCATATTAGCCTTGCATACAATGCCATACCCCTGTAACCAGTCGAAGCTGTCTGTCCTGCCGTCTCTTGGTCCCTGGAAGCCCGAGGTAGCAACTAGCAAGTCGATACTGCAAGCGCTGGGACAATGGCTATACGTCTTGGATGACGGTAGCAGCTTCCATTTCATTGTAAAATTAACAAGCGATGCTTGGCGCTTACGAGTGTCATGGAGCGACAGCTTCGGAGACAATAGGCGACGTCTTTCGGTCGGAGTGAGGAAGTGATGACAAATGGCAAGAGGATTAACGACGGAGTGCTCTCGCAGATTTTGGCCCCTTCAAACATTGCCAAATGGCCTACCCTGTAATCAACGACAAGTGGAATCACCTACACGTAAGGTAAGTTACCTATCTCCTCATAAGCTTTTAGTTAAGTGTTCGTACTGTCCTGCCAGCTATCATTGACAAATTCTTTTGTTAAAGAAACCATCGCCTCGGTCTTGGCGGAAAAGCACAATGAAATCCCCACCGTCGTCCGCCCATGTCAGGCGGAGTAAATACTCCGAAAGCAGTCATCGTAACCTCATAGGCTACGGTAATGCGACGCTTGCGAAGCTGACACTGTCTTGGCTGTTATCATGAATATGTTGAATATTCGAAACACAGGCGTGTGGTATCAGGACTACGGATTCACATGTAATTCTTTGGCTTGTCGAGAAAGTCTCTGCATTTGAATGTGCCGACAGTCCCGTGAATACATTTGGTCCTGATGTAAGGAGTAGTGCACTACGACATGGTGCTCAATGAAAGAGTCGGTAAAGTGTGAGTCGGCTCTTTGCAACCCATTGCTCAGCGAGTATTCTCTTGCCGTCAGATTTTTTTGATACTACTTACCTGACTACGTAGAGAAACCTAGGCCTATTCTCTTCATGTTGCTGAGCTGGTCGTGTTGAAAAAGTGGACAGTGCCCTCCGGCCTTGCGTCTAGTGTGGCGTTATTTAAACCTTGAGGCTTGGGGAGTTTTCGTCAACAATGTAGGTACCTGACGGGCCCTGTCGTTGTGGCTGCAGCCACGTCCCATTGACCTTGTCGGTGCAGTTCTATGAGTAGAAGTTTTATACTACTACTACGGTAGTTACTAGACCCCATCTGAGTCGCCTTGGGTTGATGGACTTTGCCCCGTGGCAAATGTCATAGTGGTAATTAATTGTCGAAATTTTCAGAGTGATTCAAGCCCGAGGATTCTTGGTGACCAGAAGATCGAGACCCGAAGATCATCGACGAAACAGCTGGCAGCACAGTGCAGCTTCTCGCATTCACGCTAGTGGCCCCGTCCAGGCAATGATCTTCCGTTGTAGCGGAGTCACGCCAACATGAAGTATGAACTCCGGTCTTGTTTGTGATCTTTCGGGAGGGGCTGGTACGGGCTTTTTGAAATCCCACCAACTTGCTCAGAAGCTTGATGGTGATGAGAGGACATTCCAACAATTGACCGTGCGCGAAATGACGCTGGTACCAGCACCGCACATTGACAGTCACAGCCAGAGGCTGCAATCATCTCCAAGATTTCACGCATAGCAGCAGCACCCGAGCCTGGAGCACGGCATTCTGCACGTGCTAGTCTAGTGGCATTCGTCTTTGCGATGTATGAGCCCTCGATTTGCTGGTGGATGGAATGCACTGTGCGTACCAGGTAAGCACTGTATCGAGCACAACGTTCTCGGAGGCGAAAAGCGATGAGTAAGCATTTGCTTGTCCCTGGTTGCTCCTGCCCGGCCACCAGGTCGGGCTCGTCCTTCCGAATACTGGAGTCATCCAGTCGAGCACCCCGCCCAACTCAAGCCGCCGTTGTGCATCGATGTCCTGCCGCTGCATCGACGAATTTGCGAACCAAGACCGAGTTACTGGCCAAGGCACAGTCCGCTCGTTGTCGCAAACCTCCCTTTTTGCGTTACGCTGAGTTCTTCTCTACGTAAACTCAAACTTTCCTGTGTTTGACTCCAGTGACCATTATTATCATTGGCAGCCTCATCGTGATTTTGCCACGCGAACGAATCCAGTTTCGCCTTTTTCCTCTCTTTACGACGCAACCTCTAGTCGGTCGATTCGTTTTGCATCTACGGGGCGCAGTTACTTCTGCAACAATGCGCAGTTAGTCAAGACGAGCCGGACTTTCCCCTCTCTTCACTGCGCATCTCCGGCTGTACCATTGATCTTTCGACCACCTAACGCAATCTTAACCCTCGACCGGGGCTGGTCAAGGCCACTGCCACCCTCGAAGCTGCTGGGTTCCGCCACATTTCGCCATGGCAGATTCCCAGGAGCTTTCACCTTCGCCAACTGCATCCCCGCCGAACGATGATACGATCACGATCGAGACTTCGGCACAACCTCCCGCCGCCGATAAGACCATCGAGACCCACCAGTTTGAGTCCGAGTCTGA